TCAGATTAAATTGAGTGCACAAAAATTTCGTATGTCTTATTTTGGGGCGTCAATGGACAAATAAACGTAATTGTTTGAAATTTGGGTTTTTTTCCATTTTATCTCTCTTCCCATTGTCAGATTGTCAAAACAGAATTTTCAATTAGTGAAAGTGCTTCATTTTCTTTTCAATTTTTCCGTCACATTCTTTCTTTTATTCTGAATTTCTCAAATTCTTTTTTAGAAACTTTCTTATTGATCTTCAGTGATCCTCAATTCAATGCGAAATATAAATTTAAAAATTTGTTTTTCTTGAATTTGTTTTTGTTTTTTGTTGGTGAGTTCGAAGTGCACTTAAGGTTCTCATAAAATGTTCAAAATTCACTCTTGAAGCTGCTGGCTTTGGAAACATTCGTCTTTCTACCCATATAGTCGTTTTTGTGGAACGGAACTATGAAAATTAATCGTATTTTTGTTTGCGACAATAATAAAAAAAAGCACAGGAATGCCCCTATTATGAAGTCAACTCCACTCAGCGTCAAAAATTTCAATGTTCAGTGGTAATCATTTCTTCCACTCTTTCAAGCGCTGCTCGATTTGTCTCTCCGCAACTGATTGATTGTACCCACAGACCAGATCTGTCGCTATTGCCACTACTGCCGCTGTCGCTATTAGTGGCGTGGCTTGTATTTCATATCTGGTTTCTACGCGATCATGTAAATTAATAATGTTTTAATTGAAGCAGCAATTAAACAATTTGTTGTTCGTAAAAGAATGAGTGAAGACTTGCTGATATGTGAACCATTCAATAACCAAAAAAAAAAACGAAAAAAAATGAGAAAAAAAAAATGATAATAATAATAAAAATGAATTATGTCGTCATCAATAGAAACACTGTTCCCAGTGCTTTTGATAATCAATTAAGAGCATCTGTCTATTAATTATAGTAATAATGATTATAATATATATCTCCACATCGCCGTATCTCCGATTGCTGCAAAGCGGTTTGAAAGTAACTCAATCTGGAAAAGTCATTCACTTCACTTTACTTCACTGCACTGCACTCGGCTTCATTGCGTTTACGTTGCTTTTGTGTTACTTTATCACTTTTTTGTAGTTTTAGGTATTCACTTTGACACAATAATTCCAAAATCACATAAATTCATCTCAGGCCACTTATCACCAATACTGAGTGATCAACAAAATACCAAAACACACCAAAGAGTTTGATCCCATAAAAGACATACGTTTTGATGAGTGTTGACCGAGCTTCACCTACTACTTCCTCAAATATTTCGTAAACATAAAAATTTAGTAATTAAAATAATTACTTCTGGCCAAGGTTTGTTGTTATTATCAGTGTAGGCTTTCAAAAAATGAAAATAATTAGCCAATTAATTCTACAGCATATATGCATTACGGTATTTTATAATTCTGAAAAGAAAATCGGTAGTTGATCTTAATCAAATGCGTATATATTATAATCAATCAAGTACTGCTTATATAAAGAGTTCATATAATACGAATACCTTCATCGAAGGGAATCACTATTTGGTTATCAATAATACGTATTGACGGGTTTCAAGGAACCCATCTCAATTACCCATATAATTTCTATATAATGAGTAGAACAGATGGCCATGCAATGGTACTAACCTGCACGCTATTTTGAACGTTATTATCTTATTTAACGTTATCCTAAATAAAGATAACGTCAGACAACCCAACTTAAAGCGACATGTGATGCAAGGATGTGAACGAAGAAGCAACTCAGACATGGATGCACCACACTCAAAATAGGAAAAGATCAAGAAAATGAAAAGGTGTGATCTGCACTATATATTGTACCTTCTGAAAATTGCAGTCTAGTATTTAATATATTGAAATAAATTAGTACTGCATGTATTTATTCCATACATGAAAATTTAAGGATGATTTCATATACATAGTTCTGCGTCACTCTTTGAAATGTGATCAGAGTAACCTAACAATAAATTTATTAAAATTGGATGAGAAAGTTCTTGTAACGATCTCGAAAATAGTTTGTGTAGACTTTCAGCCCGATAGTTACTCATTCTATTTGATAACTACTAATATTTTTAAATAGAACGTCGGCATAAACATATTTTTTATTTACTACTCATTTCTTTATTGAAAATCAACATTAACTTGAGTCTACCAAAGCTAACCCTTATTGTTATAAAGGATTTAAGTTTTAGGCGATGTCCTTATTAAGACCATCTAAAGCACCTGATGAATATTTTAGAAAAAACATATAGACAATCAAAGACATACCAATTAGTGTCTGGTTAAAAATCAATGATCCTATATTTATACGAAAATACGTAGTAAATAATAGTGAATAATAGGGACTAAATAATAAACATTTATATATGTTTAAACATTTATATATATATGTGAGTAAACATTTATATATAAAACACAATATAATAAAATAAAACAAAGCAGCTATGTATATACGTCTATTTGTCTGTAATCAGATAAATCACGTTTGAAGAAATGTTTATAGCGTACTAAAAAAGTCATATATTTGTTTAACTTTTGGTGACAAGTCACTTTTAGATATATGTATTGTCTGTCTGATTGTGTGACTTCTTGTATATATGACAGTCTCCCTACCTAACTGTCTACCTAACTGTGTATTATCTTTTTTTTAAATAAAAACTTTAGCATGCGAACGCCTTCTCCGTCAGGACGTACGTCTTCCATTAGTATATTAGTCACACTTTCAGTGATTCACTGACATTCCATACTCATTATTCGATATGAACTGCGAAAGTAACATATTACATTTCAATTTTTGAGTACTGCATCTACTAAACATCTACTAACATCTACTTACATCTACTAAACCAGATATTCGATTTTGGACGCTACACCTATCATATTCTCCAGTAAAACGCATCTAATGTCAAATTGCATATAGTAAAATATGATACGTTCGGTCTAGGCAAAACAAACCAACACTATATGGGTGTTTGAAGCACCCATTGCTAATAAGAAATTATTTTAACTATAGAAATAATTGACTTTAACTTGATTTCCTACAAACCAAATATTTATACGTAAGATAGCTTAAAATTCCAATATTTTCTTTTTCTCTCTGTCATTAACTAATCTCTCATTTTTTAAAAGAATTTTTAACATAACGGATAGAGGTATGAAGATTAAACATTTGGTGGAATGAGCCAAATATAGTGACTATATCCTAAGCTTATAAACGAACAATCAGAACTTATATTAAAAAGCCATTAATTGGAATTGCTTGAAATCACGTATCCAAACAGGTTGAAATTAATTAATATGGATAAATTTGAATTACCGGTTCTCTATCGGTTTGGTACAAGTACCATTCAAATTAGTGGGTCAGTTACGTATAAATCATAGAACAACGTCTGTATTTTTTAACAATTAACAAATAATTTGCAGAAAATTATATGTTAATATTATTGAAAAATTAATCGATTGTTAAAAATTTTGTTAAAGTCATGACAGTATTAGCTGATTGGTCTTAATGAATAAATAAGTTCTTTGTGTAATTTAGTTTTAATTATTAATAATTATGTTTGTTAATTACAAGTAGTAATAATAAAATAAAATGGTTCAAATTTGGGTGCAGCTTGTAAACAAATTGATAATTATTTATGTAGGGTATTTAAATTTTCTAAAAGCCAAAGTTAACAATTTTAATTGTGTTATTATCAGCTCAATTTAATTAATGAATTTTTAAAATGTTTTTTAATGAAATTTATAACAACGATGCTATTTTAAATAGATTATCTCCGACGGTACTTCAAAAGTACCGTCGGAGTACTTGTTATCAGTAAGTTACGAAATATATAATTATAATATATAATTTATTTATTTATGCGAATTTTGTTTGATTTAATTATAGAATAAAAGTAAAATAATTATTTATTACGATTTAATTATAAAATGGTACAATAATTTTTAACAAAAGCTAAGAAAATGCAGTTCAACGCAGAAGACTCAGAGGACTGGTATAGATTTAATACTGATATATGAGCAAGCCATACTACATACAGTAAAATCTCTGTTAAGCGAACATTGAGTTTTGAATAGCAGTTTTGAATGGTTAGTAGAGATGTGAATTTAAAAAAGAGAGGTCGGAGGACTAATAACGACGCTACCCGATCGATAGAGATGTTTGTTTTTATAATAACAACTATTTAAGAGAATTTTCATTGCTCTGTTTGGTGTGTAAACTGCACAGTCGAAACTGAAACAGATAGTAGCATCAATAAATATAAGTGGATTTTATTAAAAAAATCATATTTGAAGATATTATCAATAATAAGGAATTTCTCTCTGAAAATTATTCATAAGTCATTACCCTCAACCTTGAGGGTTTACACCTCAAGCGTTCCCAACTTTTTATATTTGAAAATCAACTCTTTTACAGTGCAACTCAACGGATTATTCCTTAATCCTTAGTATCGATGTTGTCTTTATGGTATTTTAAAACGAATCAAAAAAATGTTCATATCATTCTTTTACGAATACACTCACCTACATTATCGCATTAACGCATAATCGCATATTGTATCGTACCGTATTATATCGTACCGTATTGTATCGTATCGTATCGTATCGTATCGTATCTTATCGTATCGTATCGTATCGATGGAGATGATTAATTCATACTTGCGCTGGCATAATTTGTCGGTGCATTACCACTGGCCTAATCATGCCTGTTACTGCAAACTACAACAACAACAACTATAACGAAATAAAAACACAAACAACAACAATAACAACAACAATGTCAACATCAATTAAAAAACAAGAAGAAGAAAAAAATTAAGCCGTCGCAGCAACAACAACTACAGCAACAAATACAGCAAAATTGTGATTGAATCAGCTGTGAATTATGTTCAGGCGTGAGCAGATGAACGAAGCGAATAGAGCCAAACGAGCAGCACAAACTAAAGCAGCCAAGCAGCCAAACAGCCAAGCAAACACTACTGAAGCGATGAAGTAGCGCCGCCGCAACGTGAGGAGCATTCCATGTGTGGTGTGTAGTGAGTGCATGCATGATTTTTGCTATTGGGCCAGTTGCGTCAGATACGCGAGAACAGCGAACGAGACAACAACGCGCGTACGGACTAAAATAAAATTTATAAGAGACGGCAATAGCAGCAGCGCCAGCAAAAGTTTTCAGTTTTTAAAAATTTTTATTATAAGAAAAGTGTTTAAAACTGAAAAAAAAAAAATAAAAAAAATGTGATCGCAAAAAAAAAAATATATTTTATTATTATAAAATTAGAAAAGAAATAAAAAAAGGACTCTCTAACACTGTAACGAGCCGAGAAGGTTTACGAGCGCAGGTGCGGGCGTTTGTTTATGTGATCGCGTAATAATTCGCGAAGTTTTACGCATTTTGCCGGTTGGCGTTTTCTTCAGATTTTCGGATTTTCGGATATTCGGTTGCCGGAGGCCAAATAGTTTAGGCATTCCTGGCATTAAGCGAACGCGTAGTACAAAGTCACGTCACGCCGACAAATAGTGGCGCGCGTTCATTCGAATTCTCAAGAAATTTTCGCATGCGACCTTAGAACTTAAAACAAAGAAAGAAAAAAAATCAAAATAAAATTGACCATCAAAATAAAAAAAAAAATTTATGCGTTCGCAGGCAGACGGTACGGTACGGTGGAAATTCTGTTTAATGTTTCTACTAGAAGTTATAGTGTAGCACAATAAACCATCAAGAATGACATGTGAATTTATGGAAAATGTATTGAACTTAACCTTCTGCATATGCTTCTGGTTGTGGTTCTAATCCTGGTACAGGTACTGGTACTGGTACTAATACTGCCTTAACCAAATTTTGATTTGTGAGCCTGTGTGAGCCTGTGATAGTACGTAGAGCAGTATGGCAATTAAATCCAAAATTACGCGACAATAAGCACTTTCAAATCAGACCCACAAATCATCCGACCCCAAACTTCTTAGCCCCTTGTGCAGACATACCAACTGGATGAACGTATGGGTGGCTGCTAGACGTGCTATTTGCAAACGCGTGCTATACTTGGCGCTAATGCTAGATACATTTATTTTAAGATTACTAGCAAAGACACTACTGCGCTGCTTAAGTATATTATTTATATTTTGTTTAATATTTTTTTTTTTTGGAAATAAGTCAAGTATATTAATCATTTGCGATGTCTGCAGATAATACTTGTAAAATAGAAGAAAAAGAACCCGAGCAAAAAAAAAAAAAGTAAAAATAAGTAAAAAAATAAATTGTGGTTAGACGAGTAAAATTAGTCATTGTACCAGGGAAGTGGGCGTTCTACATTGTTTTTGGCAATAACAAAAGCGCCGACCGAACGACTGCCCGTCCATTTTCACTAAACAAAACAGTGAAAATTATAACAACAATAATGCCAAACAGTGGTTGTTTCTAAAACATCTGTTCTTCTTCTTTTTGCTTTGCATTTTCTTTTAAATTTTTATTTTAATTTTTGTTTATACATATAACAAAATAAATTTAAAAATGTAGAGCAATTAGTCGCAACATATCTATAGATACATATGATGAACTCGTACATTATATATGTATATAAAGATATACATACGATAAATGTAAGAAGGGTTATATTCTATAAAGTTCCTTATGAACCTTAACTACTTAACACGTCTTTCAGAAATTTCTTTACCCTAATTTACAATCTGCGGTATTATAATAGCTAGTGTGTGTAAATCAATTTGATATCTCGAGAATCATATTTAAGTTCTCTATATAACGATATACATACGATAAATGTGTGAACGGTTATATTCTATAAAGTTCCTTATAAACTTTATCTACTTAACACGTGTTTCAGAAATTTCTTTACTCTAGTCTACGATCTGCGGTATTATAATAGCTAATGTGTGTAAATCAATTTGATATCTTGAGAATCATTTTCTTAGTTCTTCATTCCCTTCTTATAGAGTTGATCGATTAACAATACCGAAGTGAATTCAAGTTTCTGTAAATAATAGTAATTTCAAAAAAATATATTGCTAATATTAGGACCCACTAAATTAGTTAATTATTATGTTGCATAAATTATATTAAGCCGACTTGATGAACTTAGAATTACTCTCTTATTGCTATTTTGAGATTGTTGCCTCTATAAATGACAGTACTTTTCTTATTTTGTCGAGTTTTATATTATTATCGACAGCTATATAGTCGTTTATACATTAGCCAGTGTTTCACGATGTCCTCTCTTCTTTGCAGAACTTGCAAATGTTATTAGAGACAAGTCCTAATTAATTTATTTTGCTACTTCAACCTATTCTAACTTATTCATAACTTATTGTTCAAGCAATTCTTTATAGATTGCTCCATACAATTTTAATTCCTCGTCCTAAAACACGATTACTATTTGGATCACTACGCAAATACCTGCGACGTGGTTGTACAAAATGAAGGAATGCCTGCTATGTGTGTTTGAACTTTTTTTACTTAGTGTCTCTATTTTCTAAGAATTTTCAACAGGTTTCAAAATTTCGATCTGGACATAATGTATTATATAAACAAAAAAGTTAGATCCAAAAATTTTAGCATTACCTAAAATAAGTAAGCCCACTGATAAGATCTTTTATGTTTTCAAATGTTTCAAAATTCATTACTTGATTTATTCATTTTACTGCAAGAAAGTCACAAAATTCTAGCATATTCAGTATAATAGCTGTCTTTAAAATAAACTTAGTTACTTAGTTGGCCAGTACAGATCTGAGTCGTTCTTGGCCTCGTCGAGTACCTTCCGCCAGTCAGCCCAATAATAATTTTCACTTTGTCCTACCATATAAAATTGAAATGATATACCCGACATATACTTGAAGAATAAACTGGGATTTTGCTATTAATAAATTAATATCAGTTCTCTGCATAAGGCCCTGAAAAAATTTTTGTAAGATATAAGATATGTAACCACACAGTAAATTTTTTTTTTTCCAATATCCATGATAATAAACACACTGAAGAGTTTTTATCCTCAAAAAGAGTTTATTTAATACAATTCAATATTATAATAAAATTGTATAAAAAAACAATGACACATTCTCAGGATATGTACTTTTAATGCTTATCATTATGTATGTTTTATAGGAATCCATCTATCCATCTATTTATAATTCTCCACATTACTTACTTCTACTGATTCTGATGATCTAGAAAAGCGAATTCCTTAAGAACGTATATGTATATGGGAAGAATAATGCCAAGTACCACAGAAGTCTATACGACACAAATATAATAAGCAGTAGTACCATTGATATTGGTACCCATGTGTTATATCAATATTATGTTTTATTTTTTCTAAACGAATTAAAAGTAATAAAACAAGCAAATATTAGGTTGATCAAAAAGTATTCGGCAAATCTAACGTTTTTAAAGCATTTTGATTTGATTTTAAAAAATTATTTTACTAATTCGAATATCGCTTATGTTTTCACCCACTTTCTGCTATTTGATTGAAATCTTTTAGGATTTTATATTTGCATATCTAACACATTTCTAATACTTATCATCAGGAATTCAAATTGGAGCTGAATTAAAAACCCATATTTCTCCACATTAATCTTAGCTGAGCACCGTTCGGTTTCTTTAGAGTTGTAGTTTCCAATTTTATTAATTAATATTTGCTTTTTATTAATTTGTTTTTTTTTCTATTAAATGTACTTTTAATTATTTCTAATTGTGGCTGTATTGAGTCGCTTTTCCGAGAAACACAAATTAATGGTCATATGTTTCTGAAAATAAATGCACTAAATTATTGAACTAAAAGCATGAAATACGTGCTCGATGTCAATATACCTAAAAAAGCTAGTAATTAATAATACTAAAATTATAAATTAAAAAAAATTCTATGAAATGATTTTAATCATAATAACAAGAATTCTTTTTAAAACAATTATATAAAATATATTCACTCAAATCTAAACCGGAAAAAAAAGCGAAAGACTTGCTCCGCACAGTCCACGTTAGCAAGTGAGTATTGCCAAAGATCAATAACACTTTCTCGCGAATCTGATAATGATAATCTAAAACTTTTTAGCCAAGGTCTTTAAATTCTTAACATACTACAAAATATGTCTATAGTTAATCGTTTTGATAACCAGTGATGATATCTCTGCAATTTCACCCAAACTTATATTATTCATGAAATCTAATATTTTTTCACTTTATAATTTCTGATAAATTTTTCTATTTTTGTTACCACACGATTAGCTTGCATTTGAATAAGAATTCGCTGATACGAGTTCAGTTTATTAAGTCACGATCTCAGGATAAAGCGTATGCTTAGTTCCAGGTTCTTAACAGAATGCATTAGCTTAGATCCTAAAGGTGTATGATAATTTGATGCATCAATTTAGAAGTGCTTCCGGGATCTGAATTCAATTAATCAGCAAAAACCTACCTCTAAATCTAAACTTAATATAAACCATAGATTTACCACAAACTATAGAATCTAAATCTTATGCTCACATTGACCTAGTTCTACAATCTGAACTTAAAACATTATAATGAACTTACTCTTAAAAGTTTTCACAAACAATTGTCCTAGCTGAAGCTGTCACATATTTTGCTATTATTTTTTATTAACATTAACTTTTCTAATAAGTCATAGTCTCCGACACCTTATCAAGTAATAATAATATCACATATTCATACATCGTTATTATTCGTATAACTTCTTTTCGAAAAGTGCAGGTATATTTAAGGGTATATTCCGATCTGTAACATTGACTTAACTTTAATACAATTTTTCCAATATAAAATTAGTTTGTTTTTATTTTTTATTCTTAAGGTCTATAAGTTAAGCACCACCATAACTGAACAGTTAATGCATTAAATGCTGAAAAACCTGTGCTACTAAGATGGAAACAATGGGCATTTACCCATTTATTTATATATCTGTATTTTCTTCCCGGTATATTATGTTGAAAACTCTGTTATTGTGATTATATTCCTATTGTTCCCGGTATATTAAGTTGGAAACTCTATTATTTTGATTAAATATCTATTTAATCGGTATATCAAGGTAAAAACTCTATTATTTGGATTATATTTCTATTCTTCCTGGCACATTAAGTTGGAAACTCTAGCATTTTGATTATATTCCTATTCTTCCCGGTATATCAAGGTGGAAACTCTGTTATTTTGATTATATTTCTATTACTCTCGGTATATTAAGGTGAAAGCTCTCTGATTTTCACTATTTTTCGAACCAACTTAAGAGAAAATACTGCTAATAAAATAATTCACTGAATTTTATATAAGAAATGTCAAGGAAGAATGTTAATTTGTCGCAATACAAAGACGTTCTTTCTTCCGAGAACTCAACGATTCGCTCATTCAACGAATCAGGCTAATTCGTTAATGATTCTATCTTCTTTGTTGTCGTACTTACAAATACTAAAATAATGTATAGTATTCACATATATAAACTGTGAGATAATTTTATTTTGTTTCGCAATTGCCCCTTTAGTTTAGAACTCTTCACCTATTTAGAATGTTGTTGTTACTCGTGTTGGTATTTCTATTGAATTGAAATTGATAAAATTCAAAAATAAATAAATTAATCATTGAAAATCAAATTTATTTAGTTAATCACTGGGAATTCCAATTTTCGAATTGGTGCTGGAAAGCGATTCGAATAGAAACGTAGAAGAAGATAGCGGACGAGTGTTTGTAGTGGGAAATATTTAATAAATTAGGTCAGCGAATTCAGAACGAAACGCACAGCTGCTAGAATCACTGCATTCGTTTCAACGACAGAGATGCATACCAATTAATTAGACAACCTGATTGCTTAGACGGTGCCATACCAGTCCACACACTTCCCTTAAGCCTTACGACTTTGTAGAGTTCGTCTTGCAATCGTTTGCGCGGTTACGTGAGATTAAGCGATTGTGAATCGCGAACAAACGTAATGATTTATGGGTTATGAATTATGAGTTTTTGGTTTTCAGTTGCAAATCTGAAAACTCAATGTATATTTTTATCTAGAATTGCGTATCGTTGAGCAATCGGATTGGTGACTACCTTTCTGCCTGCCGGCTTGCTTGCCGCATGTCTGATTTCTGTTGGTAAGACTGCTTGTTTGCATACTTAGCTGCTGTCTTCGAGGCAGCAGCTAATTTTGCCGTTGTCGGTCTCTAGTGGGGGGAGGAAGTAGGGCGTTGACTGTAGTTAATTAATAATTTAGTGAACCAAAAGCAAATAATGTATGAGCTTATGCGAATTTCCAACTAAGCTCTTTAAATTGAGGTTGTCGCAAATGCGACATTATTACCAAGAACACAAACAACAACAAAACCTATTAAGCTAACAATTTTCTTTATCAATAGTCTTATATATTTATCTGCATCTGCACTACAACTGTGCGGCTGTGGCTCCGTATCCAAGTCTATTTGTGTTCTATATGTACATATGTATACACATCTGTATATATATACATATATATATGAATTGCGAATGCGGCCGTAGTGACGGTAGTAGTGACGGTGCCGACCACAGCGGCAGCGGCAATTATCGTGAATCTTTTTGTTGATTTCTTAAGCAAACACAGGCTCACAAATCACTTTTTCTGAAGAATTTCAAATAACATCAGAACAAGAAAATAAACCCCAGTCAAATCATGTACTCATATAGTAAAATCAAGTGAAAATAACCGAAGTATGTGCTCTTGTGTGTGAGAAAAAAGCGGAAAAATAAAAATGAAAGGTGTGAAAATCATAAAAAAACATGGACCAATAAATGCCGTGGAACATTATAAAAGCAAAAGTGTTAAAGTCAAATTTGCTTTGAGAGCTATATAAGCGATTCCTTTAACCCACCACCAACGAAGTATTTGCACTAGATTGAAACAATTAAACTCTACAAATCAAAAAGTAAATAATTTTTCAAAAACAAAACAAAAAAAAAGAAATCTCATCCTAAGCCGAAAATTTTTTAAATTGTCCAGCAAGCAAACAATTTGAATATCCGCCAAAGACTCAATAGTTGCAGCAACCGTAATGGCAGACATGAGATCTAATTTTAATCCAATCCTGCTCACTTTTCTGTGCGCCACATTTTGGTACTCAGCCAACGTCGAAGCTAGCATCGACCCAAACGACCAAAGTCTGACATTCTTTCTCAAAGCAGCAACAAATTCAAATGGATACAAAGCATCAACAGCAGTGACGTCGTCAGTTTCAGCTGCAGCTCCAGCGTCAGATTCAGTCCCAGTATCGGAGTCATCTATGCTTGCAGCTGTCCATCAACATGGAAAATTGAAACGTATTGAGAAATCATTTGGGGACACTGACAATTTGTCCGCTAACAATGCAAATCAATCAAAACAACATTTTACCAGTATTCACCACGAAAATATCCATCGAGGCGAGCACCACAATGCTGCAGAAAGAGGAAGGGAGAATGCAATTATCAGTGAAGTCAACAGTTATCCAGCTAACAACATACAGCAGCCGCAGCAGCAGCAGCAGCCGCAGCAGCAGCAACAGCAATTTAATGAAAAGCATTCACTACATAAACAACAAAAAAAAAGTCATACAAAAGAACATACAACAAATCACCAAATGCACAAGCTTCACAGCAATCAGAAATATCATCAGCAAAAACATTCACAGCAACAGCAACAGCATCAGCTACAGCTACAACAACACAAACACAAACAGAAACACAAGCAACAACGTTCGCAGCATGCAAAACGATTGACAAAATTATCATCATTTCAAAATATTAACAAAATAAATAATTTAAATGAGTATCGACAACTAAATATGCTGCAAGAAGATCAGCAACATCTACAATATAGGCAGCAGCAGCAACAAGCAAAACAACAAGAACAAGAACAACATCACTATCAATACAAGAGCGAGCACGAGAAAAATTTGCGTTTGGAAAATTTGCGGCTGAAGGAATATTTGCAGGTAACAACGACGAAACCCGTTTCAGGTTACAATACGCCGCAAGAGTATTTTAAAAACGCACAACATCCCCAGCACCAACAGCATTTGCTAAATTATCGCCAACACAATAACCAAGAACAGCAACAGCAACAACAACAACAACAGCAGCAGCAGCAGCAGCAGCGACAATATCAGCAAAAACATCAACAACAACACCAACAACAACACCAACAACAACACCAACAACAACAACGACAACAACAATACCAACAGCGACAATATCAACCTCATCAGCAACAAGAACAACAACAACAACAACAGCCAACGCACAATAATTACAATCAAACATCACTGTCCAAATTAAGTGCTACGAAAAACTCTACTGTCAACACGATATTAATAACGACAACAAAAGAACAACTACAACAACAACAAAAGCAACAAAAGCAATATGCACATCATCATCAACAGCATCAGTACCAGTACCAGTACCAGTACCAGAACCAGCAGCAACAACAGCAACAACAGCAAGAACAACTGCAATTGCTGCAACCGCTATCGTTCACGCATAGCAATGCATCATCAACGATACACGCCCACAATCAATCAAATGTTATGCACTCATCGATTAAAGTATCAAAGTCCATTCCAGATGTGATCCCTCCAATTTTTGCACAGCACAATTTCAAGGCAACCAACCAGCCTAGCAACATTAAGTCTAGCAATGTTGGAGTTGGTGCTGCAACAACAACACCAGCACCAGCACCAACACCAACAACAACAGCAGCTGCAGCAACAAAAACAACAAAAACGCATATTACTACTAATACAGCCGGAAAGAGTCAACATAATGAGAATTTCTATTATAGCGACATGGAAGGTGATGAAGATGACGATGACGATGAAGATGAAGACGAGGATGATGATGTGAATGGTAATGGTAATGGTAATGGTAATGGTAATAGTAATGGAGTTGGTGTTGGCGATCTAGATAGTGTTGAAAATAGCAACGAGGATGAAGATGAAAATTATGAAAACGATAACGATAGCCGCAGTAGTGATGACCGTTACCATTACGAAGAGGATGAGGATGAAGAAGAGGAGTTAAACAGTAGAAAAGAACAGCAATTAGAAGGCGGCAATCATAATCATATAAAAAGTTTGGCACACCATTACAATCAGAATCTGGAGGTAAGTAAGTTACTAGTTTAACAAAGATTGCCATATAAAAATAATATAATAATTAACATATTAAATAAAAAAGTCTTGAAAGCAAGATAAGTAATTTGACAAGTAGGTAAATGTTTATAATATCACATATAGATGATTTTATTTCTTTTCTTTCTTTTGAGTCGGAAACTATATACAATATTTCATGTGAATTTAGGGATTTATATTAGTATATACATATAAGCTGTTGTATATGTATATAAGACTATATATATGGTAAACATCGAGTGTTTTTTAACTGCATGAGAACTTGACTGCTAATATAAGACAGAACTATTATTGGAATGAATTTTTTTTATTATAATCTAGTATTTACTTTCATGGCATTTATTTCTTGTATATGATTTCCGGCATATGGCCGCAGCGGCTACGAGTTACGTAGTCCTTTCGATCAGTCTAATTTTTGAACATTTATTTTGAACATTAGCTTCCAATGCTTCAAGAGTTCCTGGAGTTGCATTTCTAGAAATAAATTAAGTTATTGTTAATGTTAAGCGCGCTGTACGGCACGTTGTGCCGTCTTGTTGGAACTGGAACCAAATGTCGTCGCTGTTTAATGTCGTCGCCGATTCATTTTTGGAAATTGCTAACAAAAATTCAGTCAGCATGGCTCGATAGCGCCAGCTTCTTCCTTATTTCAAGACAAATAAGAAATAAGAACCGATGATGCCACTGCACCAAACATTCAATTGTTGATGGTTTTGCATCAAGAAAAGTAAAATTAGTGCGAACACGATCAATAATTGCACGAATTGCTTGCTCCCTAGGTCGATTATGTTGACCGTAAAAGAGACGACGTGCTATATGAACTTCGCGAACAAATTTATTTTTTTTTTAAGTAAATTTTCACAACTTAGGTGCGTTAATCTAGCGTTAAGATTCATAATGAATTGCCAAACCTTACTAAACAGAAATGTCAACACAGTTTGTCATTCTCAACTGTCAAACCCTAGTTGTCGATATCGATAGTTTTCATGCAGCTGAACACCCGATGTATGTAGTTTAAATATAAATGGCAACTAAGTTTTATTATACCATTATACTTCAACGGTACCTGCATAAACGAACAGGAACCTGGGTTCAGTAAAACTATTCGTTATAGATTGATTAGTTAGTTGAAACATTAGTGCTATAAGTTTTTTGCTATAATGTTATATAATTTTGTCATATCAGAGTCATATTAGAGCAAGCAATCCTATTGGGACCAGTCTGTGAGACACAGGTGCTCTCTACTTTCAAAACGCAGAAAATACATAAAGGAAATATAAAGAGTTCCTCTGTACTTTCTTTTGGCTGGTATAAATTGTGAGAAATTCTCATTTTAGCTACCCATCCTATAAACACAATCCTTTTAACATGGTCAGTGTAAAATCCACCTGAAGAGAAGAGATAAGCAGCAGTACAACATTTGTATTGTTATCGGAAAATAGCATAATGGAATAAGAATATATGTTATTTGATAAACACATTAACTCGTATATCCTTCACTATCTCACAACATTCCGGAAATTCTAAAGGAACATTTGTACATTATATGGCATCGCAATTTTGGGCACCGTTTTAAAATTGATGACTGTCGAAAAGTTTGAAAATAGAACATATTTTTCTGGAAATAAGTCGACAATAATACTTCCATTATACTTACACTTTATTAATATATTATAATAACATAAAGTATAGGCAATTTATTATACTTGCTAATGTCTATAATTAGCAAACTCAAACTTAATTTTTATTCACACAAGTATTAAAATCTTTAACTATTGGGTGTGACGTGATCTATGGTATTTCATATAAAAATCTAACTTCACATGACGTTAATTACATATTATATAGTATATATAGGCTAAATCAACTATTCTTCAAAATGTCAATGATTTTTATGCTGCATTCTAACTTGATAACTTCACATAACTATTGAAATCTCTAATTATACGGCGTGATAGGATCGACTTTATATAAAAAGTAAACTTAACTTAATGTGAATGATACACTCAAGTTATTCACACACACACAAATATGTATTCAAAAATAGAAAGAATATTTAGAAATAAAATACGTATTATTTGTATTATCGTAAAATATATAATATAAGAGTAGAATACATAAATTTAATACGTATATCATGGGTCAAGACAACTCAGGTAACACCTTATTGAATTTAAAAGTGCTGTCCAGAATTAGAATTGCAATATTTTGATTGGAGTGTTTAAATTTAATACTACATTGATCCATAAGCGCTGTTATTATTCGAGACTGTGATCTATAAATGGGCTCGTAAGTTAATAGCAAATCGAATATACACTGCACCAAAAGTTGGTATAAATGAATTTGAAAAATCTGTAATACAATCGTTTCACTTGTTATACTCGCGTAATCTGTTTTTAGGCATCTATATATATATATTTATATTTATATATAGATTCGACTATATAGTATATTTTATTTATATATAGATTCGACTATATAGTATATTTTATTTCATGTTATACTTATGTTAGTACGGCACATTAAACTGCTCATGATGTATCATAAATACTATTCCATATTACCCTATATAAATTATGTAATTTTACACATTCATACCTACCTTATCAAACTGAACTATGCAAGTACGTCTATCGAAGTACGTCTATCAATATAGATTTCAGTATACGTAAACCACACTTGAATTTCAATCAAATATTAAATATTTATTGTGCTCTCTCTGCCCGTTAGATGCTCATAATTTTCTTTGTACATGTCGACCCATTTTTGACAGCAATAACTGCGATAGCTTTTATAAAACCCATTTTTTTGTCCAAGCAATTATCAAAGCACCCCATTCCTTTATGTGTATTCAGTAATATTTTTGTTAACAACTGCTTTATGAAATTATATTTATCCATAGTAACATACTTGAGTCACATTTGACTCCTGAATATTGAACATGTTAAGCTAGCCTATGTGTCTAACTTCAAGAAACTATCCTATAAATTTTAGGCTAAAACTGCAGCTAAATCGTTTCTTCAAAGTTTAGAGCATCGGCTTCTTCTTTAAATATGTGCTTCAGCTTAGGACTCTGGATGCTACTAAAATGTATTAACCAAAAAATTTTATTTTCTTTACAAATTTGGAAATTACGGTAGAGTTCTATTCGGTAATGTCCTGCAATTTAGAACTCAGGATCCAAAATATCTGTGCAGCAAGTGTTACAATTTAACTTTGTATCAGACATGTAGGTATGTATATTGCATGCTCTAACCGCTTGTACAACAAGTCCCCGTTGAACAATATGTGAAATCGTATATGTAGTACTCTCTGTATTGTGAATTGTGAATATTAATTCAGTTCTAGATGATAAGGTCGTATAAACTAAATCATTATTTTTTTTTGTAAAGAACTCTTTTCCTTTCACAATAGCATTGACACCTGAGAAATTTTTATGCAATTCTGTATTAAAATGATGAAATTCATTACTTAAATTGTCAGTTCTGGAATTAAATTTAGCATTTATCATTTCTCATTTCTCACCCGCCTCTCCGAAGCGAAAGTTTTGACACGTAAAACAAAAGAAATGAAAGTTCTTTAGTCGTATGTCTTTGACGTAGCAAAAATTTGTCATATGTCAGCTCTACATGAAGAGGGAATACAAAGCTTTGACGGCAATTGCCTAAAAAAACATTTTCCAAGGTACATTTTCTTCTGATTAAACAACGAAATGAAAACAAATCCGACAATGAAAATAACAGGCGGAAGAGCATTGAAATCTGAAAAAATTTCAACAAAAACCGAAAATGGATGTGTAAGCATAGTTTCTGATTTTGCCCTTTCTTTTCCGATGCACTCTTCACACACCGGATTACCAAAGGAGGAAAAAAATTCGTAGACTGTAATTACGTTATTGTTTTTTCTTACATTTGATTTAAGGCTTCTGTTGGTTTCGTGTAGCTGTTTTTCGATATAAATTTGGTTCAATGTACCAATTAAATGTACTTAACGTACACATCGGTATGGAGCCCTTTCAGAGATATGCACGCACAGAGCTAGTCAGCCACATGCACAAGTAGGGAACAACCGCATTTGTATTCGCTTGACCCAGAAATTACGTATGTAATCCCTTTTTTGTTATTGTTGTTGTTGTTGTTGTTGTTGAATGGAGCGTTCCAGTCTGCGTGCTGCAATGTCATCGCAGATGCGTACGTCAACGTAATTGATGCTTATTGCGACCGTCGAGTTGTGGCACCTGTGGCCAGCCTAATTACTAAACATGATCGGTTCCGTTTCGGTTTCTTTCTTCTCTCCAGCATCGACATCATCGACATCATCGACAGCATCGACAGCACTATCAGCAGCTATTGTTGCCGTCTTTCTGTTTGACCGTGTGTCTTCTTGTGTGCGAGTAAATTGCTTTACGATATGAATTTCAATTGAAATCGTTTTAGTGTCAATATTTTCTTACCACAATTATGGATAGCACCTGCATATGAGTATGTGGGAATGGTGATGGGAACGCACTCTCCATTGCAATGCCCATGGATATGTACAACCGTTGCTGAAAGAGGCTTAAATAAAAGTGAAACCATTTAAGCACAATTAGTAAACAATAAAAAATGTGTGGCAAGTTTAGTAGTTTATACACGGACAGACATTCTCGTCTGTTTCAAACATACATGCATGTTTAAATGTCCATACATACTGAAGTTTATGGCCGAGGTGATGTGAACTGACATCTGCTGAAGTGAGAGTATTTTTTATATTCACCAAGTGACTTTGGGATCTTATATTAAATCAGTAAATCAGTCAGTTGATAGCAGCTCAGTGCTAAATTTAAAGCGAAAGCGAACGTGATAATCATCTTTATAACGACCTAGAACATATAAAACGAGATGTGTAATGTTGTCCTGTCAAATTAATTTACATATACCATATAATATGAGAAACACGTCAAGATATATATCTATCTACAGCAAAAAATATTTTATTATTATCATTAATATTATGATCGTTAGTAATATATCACTATTGATATCCTTGCATTTTGGATTTTTTGGATAATTGGATCATTACACTTAGTTTTGAACGCCATTTACTTTGGCGGCTTCCGCCACACTTCTTTATAAGATTACTTAGTTAGGAGTAATTTTCAATCAGTTCATTGTATTTTATTAACTTTCATAGTACCTATGGACTTCTGGTTTTAACTCAACTTACTACTATTCACAATATAATCATTATTGTCTTATATATACTTACACATATTCTCTTCCTTCCCTCTCAAAGACAGAGAGATTCTTCATATCAATCTGTAGAAACACAACCGTTTTAAGAAATATTTCAAAAATCCTTTTTAATAGAAATTGAGTGCAATATAAGAAAGATATCTAATACAAAAATGTTTATTTATTTATTAGTATTTATTAGTATTAGTATTTATCTATTAGTATTTATTTATTCAAATAATACTTTCAATTCGTCATTATTAAAACAGAACTCTGCAAAGTAGCATTATAAGCAGAAGTAGCTTTATTAAGCAGTAAATATGTAAAATTGAGATTACAGTGAGATTAGTGTTTAAAGGATAGTGTCATCTGGACCAAAGGAAGTAAAAAATAAAGTTGCGCTTACTGTAGAGAAATAAATTTTAGGAAGCATGAACCGCTCTTGATTGCAAGTTTAGAAAGACGTACATAAAACAGAGGGGCCTTCATATAAATTAACATAGTGGTCAAAATCTGTTTACAGATAATTTCACTATATAGTTTTAAATTTTTAATTTTTTTTTGGAGGATTTTGGCCAACTGCAGGACCTTTCAATAAATAGCATTTTAAGCTTTGCCAACAGTTCAAGGTGGTTTCAAACCTCTGAGTTTATCCCTTATATGGTGACACAATGGACCTAAGTGGATCCCTTTGGATAGCCGGTACAACCTAATATAACCTAATGTTTTTTCGATAATTAATTGTAGATTTTCTATATCCTAAATATGACAATTTTTTAAGAAGACATATCTACCAAGCGGTAAACGATTCTTATCATTGAAGGAAATTCCATGCAAAAAATAATCGCTATTTTTTGTAGTAAGTTTTATATTGTAAAACGGTTAACCTTATAGTACATTCACACTGTCTCACTTAGGCTGTTTTGCTCATTATAGCCAGTAATGAGGATTATTTACCATACAAAGTGCTTTCATATAAATGAGCTCATTATGAATAAATCAGGTCATATAAACAATTCAACATATCAATTATATACATATATAACTTTTTTGTGTGCTGTATTATTAAGTGAAGTTAATAAAAGTTTATAAAAGTTCTATCAGCTGTATAAATGAACTTATTATAATGTGAACGCTCATTTACTTTATTTCGGATTTTAAACTTTAACTACAAATCATCTGTGTTGGATCGAAAGGTTCTTTGTCGATTTCGTTGTGATGTTTATTATATATATTTTATAAGTGTATATATAATACAATATAATGCTAAGATTCGCCTATTCTGATCTTTACAATAAATATAATATTTATTTCACTTAACTAAGTATTTAGAGATTACACAAACTTAAAAATAATATTAATTATTATAATCTTATTATTTAAGGATTATCCAAATGATGAGCCTTCTCGTAACTCATTAGAGCAGGGAAGCTCTCATGGTGCATTAACTGAACAAAAATTTAAGGAACTCGGTACACCGGAAGCTGTGCAGTCCTCCCACGACCATTACTTACAGGAACAAAAACAACTACGACAAAGTGAGTAAATATTCACCATGTCACATATAGATACCATCCACATTTATACATCTTTTAATACTTCTGGTTTTATCTGCTTTTACGATTTACGACTAGTGGCTAGCGGCTAGCAGCTAGCGGCTTGTAACTTACGACTTACAGTTCAATTTGCATTTTCCTAATATTTAATAAAACTAACAACATAAATGAAAATATTTATAGAAAACGCGAAAATATGTAAGTATAAAAAAAGCATTCATCATACGCTTGTCGATTAGCCTGATCTGTACGGCTTTGTAAGCCGTTGTACACACGTGAAACAGATCGCGCCGGAGGCCTATCATTTCCATGACTAACAGAAAATTGCCCACTTAAGTTGCGCTTTAGTGTGATTTACATGCCATTAAATCACTGCTACATTGAATACTGATTATCACATCACAGGTAAGTTATCAGCGAGCCAATCAAATGCGCAAAGTGATAACCCATTAACCGAAAACGAAAAACGAGGAATTTTGCAAATTGCTGGCCCCAGAAATTTAATGCCTCTATCCGTCTAACAATTCGTCCGTCTTTCTGTATATCTTTAGGTCATCCCAGCCATTGTTGTCAAATTTATTAAACTCTTAGCATGTCCGCACTGTATTAAACCGGTGCTTGGGAGTTATAGCGGCACCCACAAGTGGAACTCACACAGCCGCGTGCCGCATGCTGAATAGCCGGATTGCCGTATTGCAAATCGCTTTATCGTTAAATCGCTGCATCACCGCAGCATCACTGCATCATTGTATCTCTAAGTCGTTTCATCGCAAAGTTGCCGAACCGCCAACTGCAATAAAACTCTTTTGAAGTTTAATCATTTGAAAGTGAATTCACTATCTCGTGTTGGTTTACATATATTTACTTTCGGCTATTTATTCAGTTAACCACCCAGCAAAAGCGAAACGACATTCGTAAACACGATTTATGTGAATTTTTATGACATGACAGCTCATTAATTGAAATATGAATTAAAATCTTGAGCTCCGCGCAATGATCGCTGCATTGCGAGTGTGTGGTACCCACGATTTGCAGATTTTAAGAGGTACTTAGGAGGACTTTCACTACTCATTGATTCGATATCCACATTACCCACATTAATTCGAACTAATTTCCATGAGCTAGCAGGGAAGTTTAAGTCATTGACACTTCCAGTTTGAGTTGCATCTTAGGAAAGCATTTCTCTCTAACAAATAAAAACATATGTTATGTTATATACTTTTCATAATCAAAAAATGAATCATTTTACACTGTTATTGCAAAGAGAAGATACGTCATTGTCTTTGGGGTGCATTGTCAAGCAACTCCCGATTTAAACATTAAAAAAAAAATGGTGGGAATCAGCCTATAAATTATTGGACAGTGAGTTCCTCTTTCAAACCCAATTCCGTCAAAGGAAGAGAAATGGAACTATGTGCTAACACTATCAGAGTGTGCACCATTAAATTCACTTACGAGTGTACCTACCAAGAAGAAACTAGATGAAAGTCTGTGAAAATTCAAGCCTCCTTGAGAGATACATATGTAAATCTCTGATATGCACTATTACAATAACATACTATATGTTTAGGTAAGTAGATAACTCCCAGTAATGAATAGAAAATTGAAAAAATAGGACAAATACATACAACTAATCATTGAGAAAATAGAACTAAGGAAGCCACTCTCAGTATATGAATGGAGCGCAATAGATCTTAACCTCGATATACTAAAGCTATACTATATCATTAGAAAAGTAATAACAATAATAATTTTAGTGATATCTACTGTTGAAAATATTACATATACATAATCTCTAATATCATTAAGACATGAGTGAATGAAGTCAATGATACTTCCAGCGGAGAATGCAATGTATATTTCGTCAAGTATTCTTACTTTGAAGGATGTACCATATTGTATTCATTATATTATTTATTGTCAAATTGTTTATTGTCAAATGTTTTCTATAAGATGCTCACGAGTAAGCTTTGCGATATTCCCTATTTAAGGTTTAGTTTACATATAATTCATCTTTCTTTAAACACGCGAAAGTAAGTTCTACAATATTTTCTGTGAGTCCCACATTGTTAGTTGCTTTAAGATGTGTTAAAGGAACTTGGATAATATCGTAAAGTCCCAAACTTTCTTTAAGAATACGCAAGCATGTCTGTTTATATTCTAAATGAATTATATCGTGTATATAAAAAATGCATTTTAAGGGTAATGATAAATGACACACGAAGGGCTATATACGTTTGATATACGTAGGGCTTTACTACAGATTTAAAAAACTTGATTACAAATAATTAAATTAATATTAATTCTTTGGTCGTTCGTGAAATCAAACTCATACGCCTTATATGGTAATTCAGCTTAGTTATAGTATATGGAGTCCAGAACCAAAATAAACCATATAGTTTGTTCTTAGCATTAATCTCTATGAAGGTTACGAGTAAATTAGATTACTTTCTTCATGTAAAATAGAGATAACAGAGGGGTATACCTTGTAATAAGGTGAACCATCTAATAATAATAACACTGCAGTACAGTCAGCATTATCATATATTTACCATACATATATAATATTACATACCATATATATTTACTGCATAATTACATATATTTTATTTTCATATTTTAGAATCACCAACAGAACTGGCAAGGGAACACATGATTCGTATGAAAACTGCTGCAAAATGTAGTAAACCAATGCCACGGGTAATTCATGTTTCCAATGAGACTTCAAAATTTTATGTGCCAGTTTGTACCATTCTGCATCGTTGCGGTGAAGACACCGGTTGCTGTGATTCAACACGACAAGTGTGTGCTGCCAAGACCCACGAGGATGTGCCAGTGTATTTTTTTGTAAGAACCATTATTAGAAATTTAAATAAATTTTATCAACAAATTTTAAATCCATTTTAGTTTGTTAAAATACAGTTACCGTATTTTGTTATAAAAGTGCAGAGCATATCTATAAACAATCGGGGTCTTTTTAAACCGATGATTGATATACCATACTTTTACCTTACAATCTTATTAGAGTTGGTGATAGCTACATAACTACTTCTTCATAATTTGGTTAGTAGTAATAATTACCGGGCAAAAGTTATAATAGTAAAATTATGTTACAATGAAAACTACATTAGCAACTTCTATTGATGCTTGCAGTCTAATGAAGACTCATCTCAAAAACTAATAGAATTTCACTCCTGCTGACACCCAAAACTGAATAATAATTGTTTTCAGCTTCCATATAGCATATAGATCAGGTTTTGCAGGATGGTTTTATAATGAGAAACTATATTCTACATTTCACACTATTGCTTAATAGTTTCGTCAATAATTTTTGAAACCATTGATGAATACGTGAACATTCATATAAATTATTTTTATCACGAATGTAAACTGTTTCTAATCCAAGCCATAAACCAAAGTGTTTACACGCTAACCGAATATAAAAGCTTAAGTAATATAGAACCACTAAACCGAACTATTTACGAAAATGATATGGTTCACAAATCTAATATATACATGTATTATCTGCTCTCCATTATCTGACTATCTATCTGTTTGTAAGTATTTATTTATTAGAGAGAGTTCCGTCACGTGAATATTAGATCACAGTATTATAAAGATGTAGCTCTTACTTGAGAAATTGTAAACTGTATTAAATGAATAAAAAACACAGTTAACGAAATATTTAATTATAATTCTATATTTCACTTTAAATGCATACATATCTCAAGTAAATTCCAGTCTATGTACTTTTTACTTACCATAGAAACACTGTGAATTTTGATTCAGCGTAATCGTTTGAGATTACTGGATCCTGATAAACAAGTAAATAATCGACTCTTGATATGTATAACCTTTTTTTATTGCCCTAATTTTCAGCAATCGCCAACACCGGATTTTCTCTTACAGTAAATACTATAAGACAATTAATATTCTAACTGTCATTGTCAGAAAACTATTTCTAAGTTTATTAAGACTCCAATTCGTAACGAATACATGCATATACGTTCCATTACGAAGTATTGAAACGTATTATTTATGCTATATTTATTTCTTCTCACTCTAACAGGTAATTAAGGTTGATTCAAACATTAATACACGCGAAACAGAGGTCTTGATACTGCGTAACGATACCGAATGTCACTGTGTGGATCGTAGCTCCTTGCCGTCAAGTTACATGCGTGACAAGCGATCGGGTCATAGCATATGGCGCCATGCGAACGTGCAAACGAACTCTGGGCTTATGAGGAAAACATACACACACTGTAGTTGTCCAACACACTTTAACGTCTTCCAGCAAGAGGATGACAGAGCACTGCTCATACATCCGCACCCACATGCTGCTAAACGCGAACTAAAGATTAATTGCCGCTGTGACTGTCTAAGCAATAATATGCCTTGCCAGAGCTTAAAGAACGGCGAGGAAGGTTTCGCCGTGGATGACAGAAGGTACGTTCTAATAAATTACAACAGCTACAACCTTTATTCATTTATTTCAACAAAAATCGTGTTCAGCTTCGAAGCTTCAAGTCGGCGTATTACTCGCTTTTGCTAAATCAGGCTACGTCTGCTCCTGCTTTTGTTGTGACACCTCCGTCATAACTAATCTCTGCATTCATGCTGATGGCAGAAAATTCATTTTATTGCCACGAAGCAGTATCCGTTGTCGCTGACCATGCATAATCCCAATGTCATTAAACAATTTTAAAGGCATCCCATGCAGCGTGGGTGTGAGCCAGTGCTGTGCGCTTTGACGCGGTCGCGCCAGGACAATTGACGCGTTTACGCACTTCCACAGTGTGAGATTGGTTAATGACTTCAAACTCTCTTCCTCCTTCCATCATTTATTGCTTTTAGCGTAGCGTAGTTCATTGTATTTTTTTCTTTTTTTTTCGAGATTTCCGCTATTATTTAATTTTTATTTTATTTCCTGTTTTTTTTTTAGATGCATAACAAATCGAATCTGCATGGCACCCACTTGCACATTTGGTGATTACAATCGGCAGACGGGTCGTTGTCCTCGCCCCAAGCTAAAAATACATAATGTAATAGAGCATGAGAACGATTTTGGCTGAAGTCGTACACCGCGCTCTTCGCACAAGGTCGATTGAGCCAGCACTTAATTTGTTGTTGTCGATCAGATGTTAATTTTATAAAAAAAAAAAGTGATTCTGTAAATATTTTAGTTAATAAGTTTTCACCATTGCTTTTATTTCCTCTTATTATTAGGTCCCAAATATTATAGTATTAAAAATTAAGTCTCAAATCACAGATAAAAGTAAATTATAAGTATCCACACAAGAACGGCAATATTCGGAATTTAGTGCCGAACTGCACGTACCAGTGACCAATAAAAAAATTTCTTCTCAAACCACGTCTGATCATTTAAGACAGGATATTAATTATTATTTACGGAATTACAAAATGTAAAAACTTTTTCAAAACTCAAAACAGCTGAAAGACGTGCGTTTCTGGAAGTGACCTTCTGGAAGTGACTCGAATCAGTTCCATTCATCCGTACTTGTCGTGGATAGTTCCGTTCACATGCTCTGAACTGACTCATTTACTTATGCAGCCCTAAAGAAATGGCTCTGTATTATGAATGGTGGCATGGAAAGCGATGGATATATATTAAAAATATCGAAAACCAGAAAGTGGAATTGTAAAACAAAAAGTATTTTCCATACATTCAGTGGTACTCGTACTTAAATTTGTTATGCTCCTTATTTACAAAAATACTAGAAAGGAATGTAAAATTGTTTTAGTTTAAGTCTTTAAATAAACTTTAATATATTTTTAAAATTTTTAACACTTTGTTTTAATTGTATCAATAATTTTTTTGTCTTAGTTCTTCTACATCTTTCCTTCATCTTTCCTTCTTCCTAATAACTATACATAATGAGTACTTCTTGAAAAACCTTTCAGGCTGGTAAAGATTCTAAATCTTAGTTCTGGTTATTTAGTTATAAAAGTGGGAATAGATAATTAATTATATGTATCTATTATTGCAAAAATAACTTGAAATAAAATCATTCGATGTTTCGGACTCATCAAATAATGTTTCGGACAACGTCTCCGATTTAATAAAATAAATCTGTTTGATGGAATAAAACGCTATGTTTGTTTGGAAGTGGAGGAAAGGTCTAGTCATATCTTACTTAGCTGTCTACTTTGCACTGTCAGGAGAAAACTCTATAGTTGGATGCTACATACACAATACATGAACAGTAAAAATGTTACTCACAGTTTATGCTAAATTAGAGAAAACTTATTATGATTAGTCTTAATCAAAAATTCCTAAAAACTGTTAATCAAAATGGAAAAAAATTTGTCTATTCTTGCTTAATGAAATTAGTATCACTTAAAATTAAAAATTGGTGTTTTATATAAAGACATTTATGTCCGTCGATCTTAAGCATATAAACTCTTGATTATATATTAAAAGCAAGAAAATGAATCATCATGATGTATACTTCCTATATTAGCTACTATTATCGCCCATTCACCGTTTTTTATAGCCAATCGTATTAAACTAAAATAATCAGCTAAGAGTCTATTCTCAACAAATAAATATATAAAAAATGTTTAAAAACTTTTTATTAAAAGCACATCCATCTATCCAATGGGTCCATAACTTAATTAAGATGAAGGAATTCAGTTCTCGGTGGTACATCTACTTATATAACACTAATCTTGAATGCCGTTTGGTATTTTCGTTAAAAATTCTGTAAGCAGTTTTTTAATAACTGTTCTAAATTTTTGTAACTCATCCACAAGATTTTGTTTTAGATCATCGACATCTGAAACCTCAAGTATATCCTCCGCTTCTATAAGCTTGTTGAGATAATCTTGCCAGTTTGGATCCAGTTGAGCAAACTTATTTATAGTTTCTCTCGGCACTTCTATGTGATATTTATTTAACACATTTAACAACTCTAAAAGTTGTGGGAACTCATTTTGTTTCTCACTCACTTCCATTATTAATTTTTTGAAAAGCAAAACAGCGTCTTGAGCCTCTTTCAAGTTGCGTGGCACAACTGAAATAAGTTCACCGTTATATTGCATATAAAAATGGAATTCTAAAAAAGAACAGACCATACAATTAAATGCATTCCCGAAGGAATAATAATACATACCTTCTAACTTATTCGCAATGAGTTCGAGTAACATGTTTATAATATCCAATTGTCGTTTCTCTATACAATCCATTAAACTGTTCCGCATGCGGTTTTGTTTAATCACGAATAAGTGTACATTTCTAACGGAGTCCATTAAAGCGATTTCGTCGGCTAAGTCACTGTAATGTTGTATCCGTTGCTCATACTCGCTTGCAATACTACTACTGATTGAAACTTCTTCTACACCTTCATTGTCTGAGTAGTCCCATACCTTCCGATACTGCTCCCAAAATTTTAGATATTTTGTTATTTCTTCCACGCTGTAATCCATCTCACAAGCAATGTTTTCCTGTATCTTCTTCGACTCCGCATCATTTGCAAACGTTTCGGAAAATGAGGTCTGATGAAGATGCTCCGCAATGTGCATTTGGACACTTAATCTGGGGTATTGCTGCAAACATGTAGCTATACGCTCAAACATGCCATTAAATATGCTTGTTACGGAGTTTACATCAGGCGTCAGTTGTATCTGCGAAAATATCTTATAAATAAAAATTGCCAGAGAAATTGTCAGTGCATATAAAATATGGAATATACCACTTGTTCACAGATATCGACTTCAACATAAAGTAAAGGTACAGGTGGTAGGCATACATCATTCGTTGTACATTGCACCACTTCCAATACGTATTGTAGTGAATTTCGTCCGCATATAAGTAGAGCCGTCTCCAACATAGCATCAATCTGATTGACGTAATTATGCCAAATAGAAATTGCCTACAAAATATAAAAATAGAAGCATTGACATAACTTGCTAGTTCTGCTAGTTTTGGATGATGTATTACATTTTCGATAAATAAGCACTCAAACTCATCGTTAATTAGTCCGACAAGTTCGACAATTCGATTATAGAGCTGCGTAATCGAATCCACTGCAATTTTAAACTCCGTGTGCATATTCAGCAGAAACTTTGTTAAACCCACAGCTGGTTTCGACTTTAAGTCAAATAGCATAACATCGCACATTTTTTGACTATTCTCTGCTATATCTTGATTGACATACTTAAAGAGTTCCATGCACATTTGTAGCTCCTCAATATTCTTACTGCATTCTATGAACAGCTCACCATTAATTTCATCGGCCCACGTTAGCTTCAACAGGTTCGAAGAAATTTTTTTATCCAAAATTTGTATTAGACTTTGGAAGAGTTTACGCTCCTGTGGCAGTATTGTGACTAAGGCAGTGTTATAGTCTTTGCAAATATTTATTACGGTGTTATGCGCACAATCTAGGTTTGTGTGGCTTTCATACAATTTTCGCAAGGAGAGTGGTAAGGTAAGTCCCAATTGTTCAAAATGTTTGGCCTCTGTAAAAGCTTTGAGTAACTCCTGATCCATATTACATTCCAACATGTGTGCTCCCATATGTGCGCTATCCCGTACTATAATACCATGGTCCAGTTTAGAAGACTGGAATACCGAAGCTGCTTTTTTAGTCCACTCTTCGAAAATGCTTTTAGACGCTTTATTTATTTCCTTTTTCAAGTCGGCAAACTTATCCAAAGTAGTGCAGGCAGCAGGCAATATTGGGAGCCAGTAAGATTCCTCGAGTCGATTGCACAACCATTCCAAATAGTCAACAAAGATGTGGTGGTAGGTAACGCGTGCAACATGATTTACTTGTTGGGACACATATTGCTTTTCACGCTGCTTAAGCTTTTCCACTACTCTGGTCATTTCTTCTTGTACCTTTGCCCAAATTGTTGCTACTTGCTTTAGGTAAACCATTTGCATGTTACTTCGATAAGAAAAATAAAACATTATATTTAGCGCTTCTAGCCGCTCCTCTATATTACAGACACGGCGAAATATATTTGTTAGGAGGCGCTTAAGCGCGTCTTCGAAATCCAAGAAAATTTTGTGGTAAGTTTCGTATTGTCCACACCTGAAATTTAAAAAATTATTATTTCAGAAATTTCAAATGGATTTCAACTGACGCATTAACTGTTTAGATTAAGCTGTTGAATACTTAGTGAGACCACGTAGAGACCTCCTTAGTAATGTCAGTTATGAAGATATAATATGTGTAATTAAACAAACAAAAATAGATGAATAGATGCTTTGTCTAAAGAATGTTTTGCTTACCATTCATTTCGGTAGACGTTTAATATTAAATGCTTAGAGTTTACACGTATCGACTTTAATTGTGCAAAAAATTTAGTCTCTATATCATCAATAATTTTGTCACAATCACTCCCGAATGCTCCACCAAATATTGGCTTCGGTATAATTTCAGTCTCATCCAGCCGTCCAAATACAATCATCGCCTCGCAAATATCAATTAAATCGCATAGACGTTTGATGAAGGTGTCTATATGGTTGAAAATAATATCTTTTTTCAAATTCCAATTTTTTGAAGGATTTCGAACCACATGTTGCTTTGCTATCTCATCGAAAATAATTTTGTATGATACGCAGCAATCGATCGCCATATTGCACATTTTAATGCCGAACCTCGTGTTGCCATCCAAAATTTTTCCTAAATTCACTTTTTTTATGCAAAATTTAATTATCTGATTGCTTAAATCGCAAAACAGTACTGTTATTAGGTCGGCTTGAGAAAGAGTCCCTGACTCAAGCCAAATGAAGTAAATCATATGAATCACTTGAGGAAGTAACGTTGTCACCGACGCTGGACTATCTGAAGTATCTATTTTATTGCATGGTTTCACTAAAAGTTGTAAATATTTTATATTCGTCCTGGCGATATCCAACTCTTTCTCACATATTTTAGAGAGATCATTAAGTTGTTTTAAATAAAGAGAATTTGTCACTCGCAGGATTTTATATATCGGTTGTGTGTCCGAATGATTTAATAATAGACGAATACCCTGTAAGCATTCAGCTGTAATGGTTTTAAGAAGTTATTGTTATAAATTTTGAAGATATTGTATTCTTATCAGATCAATTTCTAACATTGGTTAAAGAATTACTAATGTTACATGATCTGAATATTAAAAAATCGTCTCTACAATATATAAATTAGGTACTAACTTATTATTAACATCACTAAAAAAAATATAGTCAGCAGGATCTTGAGAAATTAAAATCTCATGATAAGCTTAGCAAATGGAATAAATACATTACTGGAAATAAAAAGTAGTGTCCATTATACAAAGAGTTTCAGAATTTCTAAAAAGTCTACATCATTACAAATGGTGCAAATATATAATCTTATTACTAATATTACTGGATAAAAATGTAATCACTGGAGTGCTGAAAGATCTAAATTTTTTAACTAGTTTTTGTTACTACAAAAAGTATAATCACCAGGATTCAAATTGAAGGAACAATGAAAGACGTACAATTACATGAGATTAAAAAATTTCTAGCGATCTATTAGCGATAGTAGTATGTTTTTTTATTTTAAATGCAGCTACAGTCCCCTATCTGATACCTATAAATAAAACTATTGTCGAAGATCTGATGGAGTTCGTTAATTGTTTTTGTGTTATGAAAATAAAGAATATGGACGAAGGCAGGGTTTTTCGATATTTTATAGCTTGAGTTTTAAAATCCCTAAAATTAAAGAACGTGTTCAAAATACAATAATATATATTATATTATAATAATACATATATTATAATAATACATACTGTTATTGTGTGCATAATATTTAAATTACACACTCGTGAAAATAATGTAGTAAAAAATTCATTCAAAAGTCATTCAAAATATATGTGAGTCGTGTAATGTATATATTAAATTTATATTCCTTACAGCGATATCGCCAGAATTCGTATCTGTCCGTAAGTACATTGAGCGTCTGAGGCACAACCATTTCCCTGTCTTCTATTAGTGTACGTATCTGTGCAATCCAAAATACAACCATCGATTCAAGACTAAGTACGTATTTGTTATTATATGTAGTACCCTTACGACATATTTTATCCTCAACTAGCGGTAGAAATAGAACTGTTGAACCACCCAATTTATAATGAGCAGACGTAAAAGCACAAAGAACTCGGTACAGTGTGATGAACAGTCTTAATTTTACATGATCAGGTACGTCTACGTACTTGTGGAACATGGGTCTGTATACAGTATTTAGTAACCAAATATAACTTCCATCTACATCGTTTAGTACGTAACCCGGTCGAACCTCGTCATGAAAATTTTCGACACTAAATATTTGGTTGGGTGAACGAGTAAAGTAGCAAAAATCACAAACTGGAAACGTTGGCTGTGCCATGGATGCAGTCAAATCATTTCCAACATAGTAAATAACAAGCATAGCTTCCTCTACTTCCATTAGCCATCGCCGTATAACATCTAAAGCGCTTTCCTTCCAGTCGTTTTGATTGAAGTACTGTAGTGTGCACATCTTCTGCACATATTCAACTAATTTCACCACCTCCTCGTCGTTGTAAGTCGGTTTTGGAATTTCGGGTTCAATCTCGGCAACCTCTTTTTTCTCATCGTTATCTTAAAATTATGTGTATTAGTTAATAGTGAAATTTTTTCCAACATAAGTAAAAGTTAACCTTCTTCATCCGTTGTCGATACGGTGTCAGACATATTCCTTTACAACTGAAATATTATTTTAAAAAAAAAAATAAGGATAGCAGTAACTTGTCACTTCGCAAACAAACTGGTGTGAATGTGTTGTCTTAGCAACGTCTGCGACGTCTGTTAGATCGATGAAGCAGAAGGCATTAAGAATATTTCCTATCAAACACTTGTGGACTTATAAAAATAAAATCCAATGTAAATTTTTCTGTAAAGGCAATTTATTGAGAAATTATGTTTTATTACATGTTCAAGACATATCTTCTTATAGATACTTGGGTCAGCTTAGTTTTCGAATATCGTCATTGATTATACTAAAGCAGTGTATTTCGGCGATTGGGTTGCTACTTTGAAAAAACTTTTCTGTGCACCAGGATTCCGTAGTTGTATCGTAAACACATGTGCTTAAAAATTTCCACATGTTGGGCTTTTGATATTACACCATACGGTGAGGTCAGTTTTTGAAAACTATAGTGTACCACTTAAAGAAGCATCGTGCACGAAAACCCTTTAATTAAATATTCTAATTAAATACGTTCCGAAAAATCATAAACTCCTTATATTACTATTAATATTGTTATTATTAAATGATATGAATGCACTCTGCCTAAGGGTCCAACTAAAACAATTCTAGATTATTTATAAATCTCGTAATTGCTGTAGGCTTAATTTTACCTATTCCATTTGGGACTAAGATCTAGCTTTCACGGTAGTCAAGTCTACGTCTTGCCGTCGCTGGGCAGTTGCATAAAATATTTTCAGATATTTCCTTCTCCTCATGACATAGTCGACAGGAATCACTTTCTACCGTACATAAAGTCTTCATGTGGTAATTGAGACTACAGTGTCCCATAAGAAGTTCAGTGTAGATTTTAATATCGTTTCTGTTAAGGTTAAGGATAGCGTTAACTTTGATGTGTTCAGGTTCAATGACTTTGTTTCTCCCGTTCTCCCGTTCATAAGTTATTTGTGAAGCTATTTGTTACCCCGCAGGAGAGCTCTGGACCAATGAAATTATATAACTACAATAATGACGTATGTTGAGAACTATCGAACTCTCTACCCTACCCATAGCTTTTATGGACGTAAAATGATTGAATTGTTATATCTCAATCCACTGACAAAAGTGTTTAAAATAATCATACAAATTATAGTTATAAATAATGTATTAGTGTGATTCATTCTACTAAATCGATAACAGATAGCCTACAATAATGACGACAAAACCTTTCTTTTATGTCATATTTTGTTCTGAGTTAGTAAATAAAAAATATAGATCATTATACCCGCAATCAAATACTTTAAAAAACGAGCTCAAAAGATACTACTAAAACTTTTTTTGTAAGGTAGTAGCACTGTATTATGCAAGATTTGCGCATGATCCGTTACTCAGTGTACTTACATGATCTATATTAACACTATACTTTCGAGTGTTCTGCGATGGCACAAAGCTATGAAAGTTATGCAAATTTTGGCAAAAAATAATGTGATCAATCAGGAACCGTACACACCTTACATGGACCTGCGTAATTGCTTTAGTTCTCAAAACTTAAATTGCCACTTCAAGGGAGGTATACCCAACCATAAAATGAAAATTCCCTAAAGAAATTGAAGGACCTATGAAACATCTACTTAAATAGCACCTCCGTCAGATGTCAAATTTAACAAAACAAGGTTAGTAAAAATGTTAAAAATAAGTTTTTTGTGTTGAAATATTTTTACATGCTTTCTGATCTAATGCTTTCTAATCTAAATTTTTGCTAATACTATAATTCCAAATATTTTCCTATAAATCGAATAAGTAACGAAAGATTTAGTGCAACAGGTGAAAGCCACCAAAATCAAATGGAGATTTTATATTTAATTCAATGATCAAAATATATAATATAATAAAAATAAACATTTATATGTAATAAATAAATTGGCATTCATGCTTTTTGTTGTTGTTTCTTGTTAAAAAGCGAGTAACGCTTTTAGTTCTCAGGATCATCTTCTATTGTTACGCAGTGTTTGTGTTTAGAGCAACACTGACACTTGTTGACAGGTGTGATTGGTTCCCCAATTTTTGGATTATTGTTCTTGCAAGAATCATTTGTTGTGTTTTCCTGGTTATACAAAACGCAACGCACACTCGATGGGTATTTCTATAAAATATATAATTTCATATGTTATATTCATTCATAGAATTCTTTATACCTATTCTTTGAAATCAAGACTATTGCTAGACACTCAATTTGGTATTATGTGTATAATACTTACCACAACTAAAAGATTTGGATCATCCTCTGCGTAAGAATGGTCGTAGGGATCTTCACAATCATCTAGAATTTGTTTTGATGTTATGTACTTGGTCATGCAACAAATTAGTATCTTAAAAAATGAGCATCAGTCAGTGTTATGTTCGCAAAACCACAAAAAAAAAAATAATCGACTACTTACGTCTAGATTAAATGCTACTATTATAAGTCCCAGAAGGACATACAAAATCTTCCACATGCTGTGCTTGAATATAGGTAGGCAGCCAACGGTGTTTATGTCAGCCAAATTTAGTAAAGGCATTGCACCGCCACCGTTATGATGTGACACGTAGTTCTCAAAGCAGTTCTTACAATCGTGTTTACAGCAAGCGTAAGGAGCATAAACAGATTCTCTGAAAAAATTGCGTAAATGTGGAACAGAAAAAAATAAAATCATATACACAATATATATATATATAAAATTAATACTGTACTTGTTGCTGGTCAGACAAGACCCACTTGAGCTCGGCATCCATGAAGCCTTAACCCAGTCACCGTATCCGTACACACCACAGCACTCTTGATGAAATTGCAAACCATCCCACAGATACTTCCATTCCGCGCACGTGTAGTACATGTCGATTCCTGTTAATAGCGAAGTCTCCACCATGCGTTCAAACGAATCAGCACAATTCAACAAATAATAGACCGATCCGAATCCACAAAAAACTATCATTGAACTGAATAAAGTCCACAGATTTAACAACAATAGAACATTGGAGGAAAACTGGCGACCCCACAAGCGTTGCCACATGAATATACTACAAAAGTAGGTGATGATAATCTGGATTCCTAACAAGTATGTGTTGAATAATTGACCACTGAGCAGCTTGCATTCAAGTTCATCAAGATAACCGCTAAGAATGCGATGATAAACGTATGTCAATACGATAATCATGATGCCGAGCATAACCTCCGCCACCAAAAGCATAACTATATATTGACGAGCTTTACAAAATGGTTCACGCATTTTTGTACAACTTTTTTTTTTTAATTTGTCAGTTCTTGACTCCGATCAAACAAGAAGAATATTCTACTTTTTTTTTGTCTAACGTTTTATCTACTAAATAGTTTCGACATTTAATTTTTTAAAATTTTAAAAATTAAAAACTGTGTTGCTATGAAAATAACTGAGATACATATTATAAATTTCATAATAAATCGATAAAGTAACGAAAAACTTTTAATATCGAACTTCGATTTCGAAAATTTATTTGAATATATGAAACCTACATGCGTAAGTCCAGAGACTAGTGCATGTAAGTACATATATACTATCACTTAATGTATCTGAGGTCCTAAGAAAGTAACGTTTTAAGAAACGATAACAATATAAGGATTTATAGAAAAATCAAGTACTTTATAAATGAAAGATAATTTTTTTTATTAAAAAATATGCGTTCTTTATATATTTTTCAATATAATAGTCTTCTCTAATTCAAGTACATTTAGTTTTACATTTCTGCAATATGTTTATCCCTTCTAAATAATAAAATTGTTCGAAGTTCACAAAATTGTAATTCGTGGAAATATACGCTATAGACGGATGCGCTAGTTTCAACGTAACTACCGGAACCGTAAAATTGCAATAGTGACTGACAGCCAGGCAGCTATAATGGCACTCATATCCCTCCAGGTAACATCCAAACTGGTATGGGAGTGCATTGATAAGCTGAACAATCTTGGTTGGAACAATCAAGTGCACATAATATGGATTCCAGGGCATGCTGGTATCTACTGCAATGAAATGGCGACCAAACTAAAAAAAAGAGGCGCGTCTTTAGTAAAGATAAGCCCAGAACCTTTCTGCGGTCTAGGCAAAGAAACTCTATCCAATCTTATGAACGGCGCAGAGGAAAAAGAAAGAGAAATCTATTGGGAAAGGCTATCAAGACTATCACAATCTAAAATGCTTTTAGAAACTTACAACCTAAAATGCTTAAAAGATTGCATACAACAATCAAAAAATAACCTAGGAATTATTACGAAATAACTGACCGGCCACTGTAGACTGAATAATCATCTAACGAAGTTAGGAATTCAATCCAACTCAGACTGCAGATACTGTAAAGAACAGAGAGAAATTGCATACCAAATGCTTGTGGAGTGCCCGGCACTGATGCAGAAACGAAAGAAACACCTAGGAGAGTATTTCAAGGATCATAAGGATTGAAGACTAGAAAAGATAGGCTCTATATTGTCTTTCATTAAACAAATCGGATTTGGAGAAACACTCTAATCCCATTAAGGGGCACAATAGATCTTTTAGGTCGCAGTGCACTATCCCTTTTCGCAATAATAATAATCGCTTTCTCGACAAAACAGAAAGATGTTCTTGTCAATATTATGAAACCGATGGAATAATGCCTATGAAAGATTGTCTTAATGAAGGTAATTGATAGGAAATATCCCAAATGTCTTTCGAAAACATTATTTTTCTCGCTATATCATTGCATTTAGCTAATTTTCTCAGCGTGCATACGCACGCATTCAAAGCTGTTGTCGATTTAAGCAGATGCGTTGATATTAGATCACATCTTGAAAGTCTGTTCTCCATTTTAAAGTCGGTTTTGTTTTTCAGGATTTTAACTTTTATTTGGATCGTAACATAACATTCCTATTCTCCATTCCATTCTGTAGACTATACGCCGATTTTTCAGAGTAATTGTCATCAAAATTTCAAATTAAATTAAATATTAAAAACCATTCTGCTGTAAGAAAAATAATGAGACATCACTGTATATATATCATCAGGCATATTTTTAACAAATTTATTGATTTGACTTGGCAGATCTTAAGATTAAATCGAAAATTTGTTTCATACATGTATTTTGTTTCTTTTTCGGCCAACAGATATATTTCACTTGAATATTCGTGTTCAAGTTAATCGAATGGCTTTAATACCAGTATCTTCAACTACTAAATCAATCATACTAGTAGTATTTTTAGATGTCTAAGTGCTATTCAGCCTTTCCAACAAAGACTCAAAAAGCAGAGCAGGATATCACTACACAGAGAAAAGTACCTTTAACTACTATATCAATCATAGTTGTGTCAGTTGAATGAAACTAGGATTACACAGTAACAAACATAGACTACAGTTGTTGTAATTATATAGTTATAGCAGTTCCAACTTGGCGTACAAGAACTAGTAGTCTTTTCATACGTCTAAGTGCCATTCAGCCCTTTCAACAAGGACTCAAAAAGCAGAGCAGGATACTACCACACAGAGAAGCAGTAAAATAAACTTAAAATTTGTTTATATATTTTTTTATTACATATATATATGTGTGTGTATGTAATTGTAATTGATTATACATTTTATATAAAGTTAATATTTTTGCAATTATAATAGTAAAAATAATATTGTAATAGTATAAATGTACACCATTTTGTACGCTTTTATATAAAATGTATATATAAAATAAGTAATTAAAGCAAAAGCAATAAAACAAGAACAAAACACAATATAATAATAATAGTAGAAATAATAATAATAATATTATTAATAGTAATAATAATAATGATAATAATAATAGAATAATAGTTTTTAAAGTAATTCATTTAAATTTAATTAAACTTAAAAGCAGCAATAACAATTTTGATATTTTTTACAAGATCCCGAAACGGATTTTTGTCATTTTCTTATAAACAAAAATCTTTCTTTAAATTTTATTTTTAATTTAATTTTTTTTTAGTTTATAAAAAATATATAACAAAATTTGTATTTTGATTTAAATTGGGCGCAAACCTAAAATATTATTATTTATTAATTTCTCAACGATTTAAGTAACAAACTAAAAATAGTAAATAATTGGATGGATTTATTATAATTAAACAATTTTTTTTAATTTTTTTTTAATTTTTTTTGTTTTACTTAATTTTATACAATTTTTAACAAAATATCTTTTCTCTTCGTAGCTGAAGGCGTTTAATTCTTGCTTTGACCAAAGCATAGGACACTTTACTTTCCATTTCTTTATTTTATTTAACCTTTTTTTATATATTATATATTTATTTGTATACATATATGTGTATATAAATAGAAGTTTATTTATAATTAATTATTTATTAAATATTTTTCAGTTTTTAATAAATATCTGCATATTCGAGTCGCTGAATCAAAGCGACAGCGTCTAAATAGAAAGGAATGTTTCTCATTTTTTTCGTTATGAATTTTGCGTTGAAAGGTCAGCCAAAGTTTAAGAAGCTCGAATTTCGAAATTGGAGAGATTTTCCGAAACCCAAAAACCTGCAAAAACTGAGACCTTTGAATTTTAAATGAAACGGCAATTATATCTCAAACGTTTGGAAAGCATTGAAGCCGTCTGTAAAATTTTTTTTATTTTTGGGAGATTAAAATTTTACAGCCTTGAAACGCTTACCAAAATTTTGATTTTTGACGGGAGAAATGGGGGTGTTTGTGTGGTATAGAATAGTAGTTTCTATATTCGGGTCATGGTCGGTATTTCGTTGTGCAATACGCTTTGGTTCAGCAACCTATTATTTACTTTTTTTTTTGTTGGTTTTATCACACTTAAAAAATTAAAAACTAAAAATATTCATCGTCAATGGCTGAAGTGTCCATTTCGTAGATACATTTTTTTGATACAATGTATGTATAATTTTTTTTAAATATTTTTTTGTATTTTTTTTGTATATATAAATTTGTGTTTCTGTCTGTGTGTTTTCATTTCTTTTTTTTTTAATTTGTTTTATTCGTTAAATCGATACAATTTTTAAAACTATTTGAGGATGATTTTAAATTTTGATATATCATTTGTTTAAAAAACTATCTAAGCATTACAAAAATGATAGTGTAGTTTGCCGTGCAGATACTATAACACTACGATAGAAATACGGCTTCCAACTCATCATTACATTTAATAGTTTTTTTATATGTATATATATTATATATTGATTAATTTTTTATTTGTACATTTAATGAAAAGGCGGAAATTAATTGTATATATGCATGATATATTCTATATGCTATATACGTTATGCTATATGTATAATTTGATCGAAAATATTGTTGATTTGAGTTTAGAATTTAGAATAATTTTAGGCTTATGGCTTTCTGTATTTTTAGTTCTGTTTATGTTGGTGGTGGACCATTTGGATAGGACAGCATTGGTTCCAGACTGCGAGCGAATGTGTTCGAGAACATGCAGGTGTAGTCTTCACCGTGGGGCACAAGTGTGGCAACACCCAGTAACAGCAACATGAGCGCTTGTATGGGCAAAGACGCACGCGCAACCCGCCCTAGGAAACGAGCACCGCGAGCAAGCACTGTAGTGTTGAGTACATCTCCATCGGCAACATCGCCTTCGGTTGTGCTATATAAAAAAGAAATCAATCAATCAATTTAAATTTAAAATAGTATATTTAAATGTTTTTTAATTTAAGACTAAAACATGATACAATGAGGATTGCATGCAAAGGTATAAGCACTTAAGTGCAAATTTCATGTGTGAAATGCGTGCGTTTGTTGGTTTACAAAACAAAAATAAAAACTTGGAGGAAGGAACTTAATTATGAAACTTCAAGTTGCATTTAATTGGTTTTTTTTCTTAGTAAACTAATTCTCTTAATTTTTGAATCCCCATACGCAATACATATTCCAGAGAGAAGTCAAATTATATAAATGAAAATCCACCCGCGAGCCACACAAGGCGAGAAAAGGTTCCAAGAACGGCCGGATCTACGTCCCGGAGTCAGTCGACGAGTTCGGCAACCAAGTGCCATTCGCCACACCCAAAAGGAACTACACAATCAGATCCAAGCGGGCTACAACAACTACAGCTCACATATGTCTTACTTGAAACCTACAGCCCGCTTTATAATAACTAGAACACACCTCTTGTTAAGGTGTGACAAATGTGACAGTCGATATCTTTGAAACCGGGTTGGACATACGGTCTATAACCATGCTTTATTAAAAATCACTGTTATGGAACATTAAAATAAGCACTGATTCACCTAGAATTGTCATTTTAAGTAAGTAAGTAAGTTACTTACTACAGCCATGCTACGCTAACAGTCGTTATTTTGAAGTCAGTGCACCCAAAAATGCGTTTTACAGCATCAAGAAAAATGATTTCTGATCCCAGTGAAAAATATATCTAGTAAGATACTTTTGCAGAATAAATTTGTAGTATCACTTAAATAAGTTAGGGTTTCCGACACTAATGGCTGTTAGTTTTGTGAAATGTAAATTGAAAGTTCAAAGCATATTCTTTGTGAATGCTCAAATATTAGCAAGAAAGAGTTTCTCCACTTAGTAATGTCATCATTCTAAATAAATTCGAGAAAAAATATTTAAAAATTTTAGCACACTGTGCTAGAATTTATAAAGCTTAAGCTTAAAGGGTTAAGGATTAACGATACACACAATAGATCTACTCAGGGTACGATGCGTTTCCGGTCTTAAATAATAGTAGTAGTAGTTTTGATAAATTTTGAGATGAGTAGTTATTTTTGTGAGTCTGTGTCACAAAAGATGGTAGTTTTTAAGCAAACTAAGACAATTGAAATATCTTTTCAATATTTCTCCAATCTATTTCTTGAAGCTTGACAACAATAAAAATATATAAAAATATATAAAAATCTTGCATTTAAGCAAGCTACTTAATTATTCGAACTGTGTTAATTTGAAGTAAATTCTTAATAACTTATATTGATATAATTTCTAATTATTAAAAATTAATTATTGTAATTTAAAAATAATCCACAAATATTTACTTTGCATTTTCAGTGTTTGGTGCGGCAGCCTGCATAGAAGAAGATGTAGAAGGTAATGTAGATAAAGTTTGTTCCAAAAGCTGTTACAATAAAGTTAAAAAAAAAATTAAGTAAATAAAAATAAAATTAAAACCAATTGAAAAATAAAAATTATATTTTAATAAATAATTTATAAATTTACAAAAATTTCTATATATTTTTTTTTACTCTTCTTTCTTCATTCAATACATTTTTTTTTTCATTAAACAAGTGCATCGCTGGGTTTTTACTCCTACAAATCTTAGTTATTACATATTTAAAAATAATATTTTAAGTTAATTCAAATTAATTAGTAATACTTAAAAATTATTATATCAAACAAAAAGAAGTGTCAACATTGCAAGTAGAAAAAAAACTTACCTCGTTCGATAGCACATGCAATGGTACTCCTAGGTTTTCACCATTGTAACCCAGCACCGCTCCCAACTTAACTATGTAAATGCCAGCCAAGCGACGTAAGGATTGAAGACGTAGACACAAGTCCGTCAACCTGAAAAGGGTTCTTGAATTGAATGCGATTTATTTATGATTCTCAAACTACAAGTAACAAATGGGCAATAAAAGTGGGCGGACGAAAACTTCAACAAACTCAAACAGAACATTTTGCAAATCAAATAAAAAAAGACAAATTGAAAAAAAAAATAAATAAGTAAAATTAAAAACTACGTGAAAGTATTGTTATCAAAAAGCAAGAAAATTATATTTTATTATGTTAATTTTTTTTGTTGAAGACGCATCACGTCTTATGACAAAAAGAAACTATCTAAAAGTTAGAAGAATTCGAATAGAAATGAAGAGACAATAGCAAAAATTTTAGTTAATTTATTGCAAGCTAATAACGCTGTTTTGAGTATTACAAAGTACTCGTCATCAGTGGTCTTAGGAAATATTCGAACTTTTTAATTAGTGCATAATCTTTCTAGTCATTTCTATTCGAACCCTTCTAATTTATATCTTAAATATTAAAGTTAATATACTACCAATCAAAAATACTTTCTAAAAAACCATGCTTAAATTCTAATATAGACGCACAATTTGGGTTAATAATAAATAGGAAAAAGAAGGAAGGAAAGGGATAGAAAGAAATAAAGCAGTTGTTTAATGATAAACAGGCAAATTAACTAATAAGCATAATTCAATTTAATTTTCTTTTTTTGTAATATAAATATTTAATATAAAGTTTAACCATATACTACTACTATGCGACCATGTAATGTAGTGAAAGCTAATATAATATCTGTCTTTTTTTTAACTGTACTAAAAGTAGTCACTATATTTTCATTATAATACTGAATGTCACATTTTTATCAGTCATATGAGTGTTTGTCATTTCTACAAGTCAAATTCTACAAATCATTACACATGTCATCGTCGTATTACTTCCTTTACACATCACTGTCATATCTAAACTGGTACCTGACATATTTTCTAAATGTAACCCGTCATAATTTCTTCGTTCCGCCCTCTTACTGGCAAACTTTATAATTACCTTTTGTAGGTGTGAGTTGATTCCTCCGTCGAACCGTCATTCGTTCTAAGCAATTGATCAGCGGCATCCTGCAAACTCACCACACGTGGTTCACATCGTTCCAATTCACCACGAAGTTCTTTGAATTTCTTAAATTTGGCATCGAGTATGGCACGATCTTCCGTTAGATCAACTGGTTCGGAAGCTTTAATACTTTGTTCGGTTTGTTGCAACCAATTGCATAGTTCATCAATGATTTGGTGGAATTCGCTATTGCCCATAAGAGCAGTTTGTAATAGGCCTTGCCATTTAGTTGCGTTTATGCACACATTATTCCAACGTGTGTTATCTTCATCGAGTCGATCACGTAATTGGCGTGCCTTTTCTGTATCAAGTGTGTGTGTAGCCAAATGATCACCTACTACGTTCAGTGATGAAATTATTGATTTGTGACTTTCCAGATCAAGCAAGAATTCACGATGATCCTGCACAACATCTTCCAACAATTCAATATTGGATGGCGGTGTGCTTTGCGATTTTTGCGTACCTTCAGCAAATTGCAACCATTGTTCTAGACGCCAAAGATCATTGTCTATTTGTTGCCAGTTGCGTTGCGTACAAAGTGGGCAAGTTAAACGACCAATCTCACTTCTATAAGTTACGCGAAATATGAAAAAATTAGAAAAAATTTGATTAAGAACATTAAAGAATTTTAACTATATGTAACTTACCCTCTGGCCTGATCCTGTTGTTGACGTGCCTTCCACTGCGACTGCAATGTATTGAATCGCAATGTTAATTCAGACACTGTATCAGTTTGTGCTTCTCTCGAATCGGCATTACATTCTGTTTGCAATATTTTACTCAGATGGTTTACTAATTCCACAGAAGATTGGGCGTTACTAATAAGTTTTGAAATGGTTTGTGGGCCTGGTTTTCGTGTTTTATCACATATCGTTCGCATTAAATTATCTAGATTTACTTGACATTCTTTAATAGCAGTCTCAAGTTCCATTATGTATGCATCTTTAGCTGTTATTGATGTCTCACGTTGCATTTGAGCCTTGCGCAATTTACGATTCGACAGAGTATTTACTTGCACTCCAGCTTCGGACTCTTTCGAGCGAGTCGCTGTTATAGCTTCAGAAACTGCACCACCGATTGCACCTGCAGCTGCAGCACCAGCAGCTGCAGCACGTACAGTCCAATCCTTTTTGATTGTGACTATACGGGTTTGAAGTTGTTGCCAAAGTGTCGTATATTGAGTGATGAGCAAAGCTATTTTTGCTACATCTTCTTTCTTCAATTTCGATTTTGCTTTTTCAGCTAATTTATCTGCATTTTCTACCTTATCATTGCTTGCCTTAAACTTTCGTTCCAGACTTTCTACACGGCTTAGCGCAGACTTAAGTTCACTTGGATTGTTTACATCCGCGCTTGTTAGTCTATCGAGTTCGTTTTGTATAGCTGTTAGCGACTGCATAGCTTCATTTTGTGCATTGTCAAACTCACGATACACTTTCATATCCTCATCGATTACATCGATGATGGCATTACAGCGTGGAACTAGTTGCTTCCATTTGATCAACATAGTCTTGGTCGGCATTGTCAGCTTTTGTATGTTTTCGGGATCAATGCCATGACTGGAATTAAGTTTGGCATATGCTTGCTCCAGTTGTTGAAGCTGTTCTCGGTTGTTGAATAGTTCCGCTAGTTTTAATTTTATTTTTTGTTGACGATCAATAATTTGATCTTTGGATAATGTTTTCAAATTCCGTTCTAGTTCCGATATTTCACTTTCTTGTTTTGCTAACCAATCTTTGTGTTCAGTTGTCAGTTTAATGAGCTGTTGCAGTAAACTCCAAGTGTTAAGTATACGATGCTTACGTTCACTGGACTGACTACAGACATTCTTCCACCGTTTTTCTAGGTTCTGTGCAGAAACGGCCAAATTTGAAGTGTTCACATGAGTACGCCATGTATCAGAATCGTTCAAAAGCATATCAACGAGATTTAGAACTTCACCAACATTGCTGCTGTGATGTTCAATTGATCGTTGTATCTTTTCATGTTCCTTCAGTTTCGTTTCAATTACTTGTGGTTTATATGAGTCAAACGTTAGCGGTTTGCCTAACTCTGTTTCTACTTCAAACATCCAGGTACGTATTAGTGCGATACGCTCTTCAAGACGCATTAGCGTTACTTTCAGATCATTAATTTTACTTGAACGTTGCTTGCAAAGAGTCTTTAGTTTCTCCCAACGATCTACGAGCATATTAGACTTCTCATATACTTCTGCTTTTATACTATTAGCATGGTCCGTATTTAAATCGGCATGTAAGGATATTAATTCGCTGCCTGTGGTGAGCAACCACTCGCGATCCTTTTCACGCAACTGTAATTCAGAATTGATTTGTTTCTCTAATTGCTTGGCAGCATCCTCAGGATTTGCTATAGCAGAAATGTCTGACTCACGTTCTATACGATGTTCTAAGTTCTGTAGCCACTGAGAAATACGTTCATAACGTGAATTGAAATTCGCTTGCAGCGATAAACGTTCTTCAATGGAACTAATGAGTGTTGAGAGTTGATAGTCGAGATCAGCATGTTGTTGCCATAAGATCCATATTTGTTGACGTATCGATTTCATGTCATGCGGACTTATACACTCCTTTAACTCCTCTTGGGTAACATTAAGTTTCTCAATATCCTGCGTCAGACTTGCAAGTCGTATACGTTGTCCACGCAAACTACTAACACGTTCCTGAATGTCGTTCGCAGTTGTAGGCACTTTGACAGAGCACTCCTCAATAATCTGTTGAACGTTACCAAAATCGCTTTGAATTTGCGAAACCTTTTCTTCGTATGTATCGGACAGTTGGGAAATCTTGGATAAAAATCCTGACCACGTTTGCAAAGCAGCCTTCAAATTGTTAATGCGCTGAGACACACTTGAGTGTTCCATGCGTATGGATGTAGCTAAGGCGTTATCACAGAACTGCAACAATTGTTGTTGTTGGTCTTTTAATTTGCACGCCATTTTCTCACCTTCAGGTAGCTGTTGCAATAGCATATTAAGACGTTGATTCTGACGTGGAATTTGTTTTAAGTGTATATAACGTAACTCTAAACGTGACCGTTCCTTTTCTCGTTCCTTTAACCAATCAAGTAGGACCGACAAATCTTGACGATATGTGTGCCAAGCAGACATACGACGTTCAAGCTCAGCATTGCGTTGCATTATGCGTGACAACGTTTCATTATGCATATTGGTAAGAGCCTTGAATTGTTCGACGATTCCTGCATCTAATTGTTCTTCGGTGGCTGTGTGTGACGACAGTACGCTTTGTTGTGAAACCAATAAATTTTGATGTATTTCACAGAGATACTGTTGCTCACGGAGACTAGTATAATCTTCTGGTATGGCACACGAAAGGAAAGCTTGCACATGCTGTAAATATTGACGCCACAGTTTAAGTGCTTCAGTGCTGTTTTGACTGCGTACCAGCAGCGAGGAGAGACGATGATATTCTTGGAAAGTATCCTGGAATATTTTCTGCCACAATTCAAGCACCTCTAAAACTGATGCATCCTCTTGATAGTTGGTATTAGTCGCTGCTGCATTATCGATGTTTCGTTCACGCAGATGTTTCAATTGCTCTTCAGTATGAGCCAAAGTCTCTAGGTGAGTTCGTAAAACAGCAAGCTGCTGCTCGCTGTCTTTCGCTGTTTGTGGTTGACGAGATACATCCTGAAATGAGACAGAAATTAATAAAATGAACATAATTTCATCTTAAGCAATACTTTGCGATCTGCTGGCATTCAACTTTAGTGCAACGACTTGACTTGTTAGCTAAATACATTTAACTTACACGAGTCTAGATATTCAAACGCACTCTCTACAGAAAAAAAACCCATATGACTGACTACATGCACTCATGTACTTATTTCCTGTAATTTGTTAATGACTTTATTTAAGGTAAATGAAAAACTTTTTACAAGGCAATGAGCACGGACACCCCTCACCGTTGATCCCTTCAAACCTTCAAACCTTCAAACCTTCTCAACCTCCATATTTCCACTCATATATCGCTCCTTTTGATTTGTTCAATGTTAAAAAACACATTAAGGTTTGTTTTCATTGTTCCTCTGCTGCGAGTTTTGGTTCATTTACGTTCCCGCTGCCAGCAAACAACTGCCTGACCCACTGAAACTATGAAAATCCACAGGCTGACGTTGTGAAAACTTTTTCACTATTTAACCCAATTTTCACAATTTTTGCAATTTTCACGATTTTCACAATTTTCACAATTTTCACGATTCGCTTAATGCAAATATATGTTAGAAGCGTTTTTATTTTAAAAATACACAAGTACCGAAAGTGAGTTGCGGTGATGTCTGCTGTCTACTGTCAGTTGCTATTTGTTAGTTGCTAGTTACATTGGAATGTGAATTTCGGATTGCGGATTGCGAATTGCGTTGGTAGCGAGGTGGTTGAGATGATTAAGGTGGTGTAAAAAAAATGCTCACACTAATTTCATTGGAATTCCCATAACAATTTAAGCAAATTATTTTAATCGATTGCCGTCTGGCTCTTCAATTTAAAATTACCTTTCAATTAGAACTGATTATAGCAATAATTGAGTTAGTGGGTGGTTCGGAGTATCGGAAAGAGTGGGTAAAGAGCGATTAAAGAGTGAGTAAAAAGTGTGTAAAAAGTGAAACCTTAATTATTTTCAAGATATACCGAAAGTATATCTTCATGAGGTTTAATTGATTGCCATTAGATCAGAAAGAATTGTTTTATTAAATGCTTACCTGGTGGACGTTGTGGAAGAGTTGTTTGGCTTGCATGACGTTCTCCTCGATTTCTTTACGTTCCTGGTTTTGTGCTTCAGCAGCATTAGCCAATGCAGTTATAGTTTCCTTACAGCTTTGTAAACGTTGACCTAACGCATCGAGTTCACCTTGCATAAGACTTGAGGCATCTAAGCCAACATCTAAAGCAATCTTTGAGACAATATCACGCAATTCTGTCAAACGATTATTTTGCTCATTCAAGTTATCTTGGTAGACCTAATAAAATTACAAAAATTTTATTAAATTAAATAACAAAACTTATTTACTCGAGATGTATTTAAATATGTAACAACCACCTTGAGCACTTAGTGGGTTTCAAACGTTCTGAGGGTATGGAAGTTATTCATCGTCAAACATAATTTAAGCATACTTTACGCTTTCTGATAAAATTATATCAGCAGCAACGATAACGTGAACGAAGTTCATTGAAAAATCCACATTTGAGTTTTGTTGTTTCATGAGATGAAAATAAGTCATCCATAATTAAATTAATGCGATAAAATCAACATCAAAACTTCTAACATCATATCAAAGATATGAGCAATGCAAAGCCCTACTTATCTAGAGCAATCGAAAACGTTCAAATGGAACGTGATTAGGTATATTTATCAAATATGATGTTGACATGATAGTATCATGGCATTAATTTTTAACTTTTGCAGTTATATTTCTTACTGATGAGAATTCTTGTTTAAAAGGTGATTAACATTTCCGAAATCTTATCATTTTCAATGCTACATAAAAATACGAGATAACTCTTGCTGTCTTTTTTGGCCTAGCCGATTTCGTACATGACATCAAATTATTAAACAAAAATTGGAATTAACTATATTCATTACTCACCTTGGCATGCTGTAAAGATTCTGTTGGTTGTTCCAAATTCTTGATGGTATCCATTTGCTGATCAATAAAAAGTTTCACAGCAGCTGATGCATCTCGATATTTATCCCAGAGTTCAACAGCTCTTTGATAACGCGTACACAAACTCTGTAAGTTTTCTGAAGTATCATTCCAAGCGACTACTGCTTCTTGCACTGCAGATTCAATCTGTTCGACAACTTCAACATTACAAGTTTCGATAAGGGGTTTAGCAGATAATTTCAAATCTTCAAGTAAAGTCTGACGGCTTTGCAGATCTCCAGCCAATCCCTAAGAAAAACACAATCATTCAATAATCTTATCAAACCAGATCTTAAAATATTTTATTTAAGAAAAACAAATACAATAAATGAAGCAGCGATTTATCACTTCCGCATTACCGGTTCAGAATTTCGATACGTGTTCGAAACGAAAAAGAATTTTCGACCACATCAAAACCACATCAAAACAGTCGCGTGAATGTTCTTTGCTTTCCCACAAAACACTGATGTTGGCTGGTCAAAATCTCACCCACCGAACCTCCAACAATTTGAAACGATGAAACCGCACTTCGCCAAACGGCAAAAAACGCGCACAACGACCTTATAAAATTTTTTATTTATTCAAGCCCCGTGCGTTTCGCGCTGCTACTCACTTTTCGGTCTTCAGTTTTCACTTTCGAAAGCAAAAGTATTTGAAGTGAGCGCAAGTATTTCAATTTACTTTGTGGTGAGTATGAGTTACGATGTACGTAAGTGGTGGGGCGTACGTAACGTAAGCAGTTGCAATTGTAGAAAATCAATGAAGCGTGAAGCGACTTATTCGCGACACAAGAAAATTCGCGTGCGATAACTTCGATTTCAAAAACGAAAATGAAATGAATAGCCAATGCGTTTGTCCACAACTGACTGATTCTGCGGAATGACTGCACTTCACAGTTCGCTTTCGTTTTTGCGATATGAGTTCACACTCAGAAGCAATCTGTCTTGTTTTTTTATTTTTTATTTTTAACACACAAAAGCTTTTAGGCGCAGGTAGGGAGCAGTGAGCCGAACCCATTAGTATCCTTAAAGGGATCGTATCTAATACGATAAGAAGCAATATTGTTTTTGTCAGTAAAAGTAAAAGCAATGCTGATACTAATACTGATGATTGATACTGTTATCAAATGAAATTTAAATACTTTATATCGTAACATATATCGTAATATCGTAACAACATGACAACATGACATTATTTATCCCACCTATTATAGAATAATATTATCTTTACATACTCGTGTATGTACATAAAACGAAAAGTTAGAAAAATAAGTTAAAAAAAATGCAAACACTCACCTCAAGTCGTTCTGTTGCCTTTCTCAAACGCTCGTAATCAACTTGGCCATGTACCTTCAAAAGTTCCATCATAAAATCGGTTTCTTGAACGGAATCATGCACCAATTCCAGCTGCCGTTCGTAGCGCATCCACAACGCCAATCGATTGCGTAGTATTGTCATTATATTGGTACATTTGCTTTCGAGGAAGGCGTGATCGTCCTGTAGTTGTGAAATGTCACGTTCCAATTTAACTGGTGAAACTGACATCTTGAGACGCATTGGCAAAGTGTGCAACATTTGCCGTAGCTTCATAATATCCTGCCAGTTACTAATGAGATCTTCGCCAACTGTTTGACAGTCTAGTACAGCTTTCTCAATACTTTCGCTACCCAACTTTTCGGCATTTTCACACTCGTCCAATACGACAGATATCTTTGTTTGATGTTTTCGTAAATTATTGATACCTTCTTGTATGGCGATCAACTGTTCGTGTAAAACAGAAGCTCCCTCAAGTTCTTCAGCAATTTGAGTTGTGATTTTATGCGAAAGCGCGAATAGTTCACCAACTTTTTCTGGTTTAGTTGCGGGTTCTTGCAATCCCACACGTCCCAATTCGTTACAAATGAAACCAACACGTGTGCGTAGCACTTGAATTCGTTCAATATATAAACATAGCTCTTCTTCATTTTTAATGACCCCTTTCATGCTTGTCATTGTCAAATAAATTTCCTGTAGCTCACGTTCGATTAGTTTTAGTTTTTCATCTGCAGGCATATCATGCGATGAAAAGCTACTCATAATGGTACTTTGAATATTCTCAATGGTTTGTGCTACATCATGCCAACGATCTTCGAGTTGTGCATGGAATTGTCGTTGTAGTACTTCATCGGCTAACGGCAACATTTGCAATGCCTTCTCAAAACTATTGCTAGCTTCATTGCGTACGTTATTATTCATTTCGAAATGTGCTTTAACTTCCCAAAATTGTCGCATGTGCTCAATCGGCTGTTCTGAAAGATCTTCTGGTAATTGTATTTTACGAAGTTCTTTTTCCGCTTCTGACAAGAACGATTCCATTTTAATGGTTTGATTTCCGTACTGAGTCCAAATTTCTTTGAATACGAGCAAACGATGCAAATATAATGATACCTCCTCTCGCAATTTGAGTAGAACAATTAAAGCTTCATTAGTTTCCTCAACAAGATTGGGTGCCTGTACAAGGCCTTGCAACTTATTGGCAATATTGGACATTTGAGTCATTTTTACATAGTGATGAGAAATGTCAGTGCTAAGGGATTGATATAAACGAGTGTACTGGTCATAGTCAACTGATGTAACGGCTGATAAGTCTGGGACACGCTGTTGTGCCACTTGTAACCACTGCAATTCCTCTTTCATTCCTTTCTCTAAAACGGTCCAACGAGATGCAGCTTGAACTAGTTTTGAAGAACGCTCTGATGCTTTTTCTAGAAGAACTGTTGCACGATTATACAGTTCCTTGTGCAGTTCTGAATGCTTTTCTCTTGTTTCTGCATCAATATTTTCTTCAAGAGACTCCAGTATAGCGTGACAGTGACTTAAGTTAACAAAGAACTTACGATGCTTCTGAAGTTCATGATTTAATTGTTCTAATGTACTAGAAACAAGTGGACTCTCAACAAGCTTATCAGCAACGACTGTTATGTTTGTGAACTCTTTCAATGTTTCCTCATATTCTTCAGATAAGGATTGTAATTGAAGCAAGCGGTCTCGTTCTGCTACGATACTATTTTCAATGTTCTTGCAGGTTTCGTAGCAATTGTAAATGTCCTGAGGGACTTTTTTGCCTGGGAAGTCTCGTTGCAGTGCTCGTGCATTTTGCATCAGTTGAGAAATGTTTGCCGATGCTTCAGCATTTTGTGCTTCCATTTCATCCAAATACGTTAATTTTGTATTTAACGTGCTTTCCTGCGATGAAATGATATCATAACGCTCTTGCAAATCTTCCAATATTATGTTAATGCGTTGCACAAGTGTAATATAATTATTCCATTTCTCCAGATCTTTTGTGTCTTGAGCTTGGTTATCCTTCGTGACATCTTCAACTGCACTAATATGCTCGTTGAGCTTATCAATACACTGTATTACTTCTGGTGCGTTAACTTCATTTGTATCGGCAAGTTCGGATTGAAGTACATTTATGTTTTCTTTAATGGAGTTCAGTTCATCATTCAATTTATTGTAGTCATCAATTTTTTCCTCAGAAGGCCCTTCATTTGATTGCTGTCTTATCAAGTATACGCGGTACTCAATAGTTTCCAGCCATGTCGAGACAGTTCTTATGATTGTTACAACTGTTTTTTGTATTTCGACTGGATTACCTTGTTCCTTGGCATCTTTTAGTTGACTTAAATTATCATTTATTTCCTGTAAACGTTGCTCTACAGGAACTTCTTTTATTTGATCTGATAAAGTAGCCAAGTGAAGCACATTGCTCAGTGAGGTCTGTTGAGGTGTGGTCTCCTTCAAATTTTTAATTCTACCACCTATGGCTTGTTTTGTTTCCCTCCAAATATCAGCTGTTGGCGATTCTAATGTAGTTGTAACTATCTGCCTCTGACCTGGATAATGTAATAGACTTTCAGACATTATCATTGCCTCTGACATATCTTTTGGAGATCGTTCCAAAGATATATTTGCAGTAGTTGTTGGCCAAATATGTTCATCACTATGAGGAAGCTCTTTATCAGGTCCTGGAGTAATTGGTACGGCAATCTCTTCAATTGGAGAAGTAACTTCTTCAATCATAACAGATGAAGTAGGTCTTGAGCGCGGTTTACTATTTTGCTGAGCTGATATGCTAACTTTATTTTGTTCAGTTACATGAATTGGGGTATTTGGAAATTCTTCATAGACCGTGGTTTTTGTGATTTCCAATTGAACTAACTGAGGCTTCCTTTCTGGAGTCACAGCTTGATCAGCAAAATTACGTTCTGATTCTAAAAAGTTTTGATTTGTATTAACCACAACGCTAGGTTCAGGCACACCAAATTGATCAATTTCAACGCTGAGATTAACTTCTGGCAGTTCCATACCATCATCAACGACACTGTCATCATCCGCTTTGTTCGATTTTTTTCCTTTTTTAAATTTCTTCTGTGATTTTGGTAATTCCACAGTTTGAGTATATTCATATACAGCGGGTTCAATTTCAGATGTATCAGTGTCTGCTGGAATTGCAACTGTTGTATGAATTTCAATATTATAAGGTTCAGAAAGCGATGTAGTGGTCAATGACAAATCATCGTGAGTGAGTGGTTCTAAGGAGATAGGCTCTGGTGATGTTTGCGTAACTATATCCTTGATTTGAACCGACTCTGTTAGTGTTTGCTGATCAGAAGTTTCAACTGGTATTGATGGCAAGATTTCTGGTTCAGTAGATTTTGGAACTTCTGGTTGCTGTTCTTGTTCTACAGTTTGAACAAAAGTTTCTTGAGTGGGGGTAATTTCTGTTCCTGTTGATTGGGTGGTTGTAGGTATCACTTTTTCTGGTATATTTAAAACAACATCAGTTATCAACTCTTTCGCCAGTGAACCAACAATGTCAACTGTTTCGGGAACGGCAATCTCTACAACTGGTGTTGTTTCAGTTTCTCGCTCAGTTCTAGTTACAATAATCGTCTGAACTGAAATATCTTCAGTTTTAGGAATATCTTGAATTTGTGGTTGTGGGAGCTCAATAGTTTGGTCGTCCGTTTGTATTTGCTGTGTGACCATTTCAATTTCTGGATCGTGTTTATGATCTTCTTCTATAGTTGCTTCAATGATTGGCGTTGTTTGAACTTCACTTTCCACTACCTCAATCATAATTGTTTGAGACTCTATTTCACGATTTTCTGGTAAAGGTTCCAAGCTTGTCTGTTGAGATATTTCTTCCTTTTGCGGACGATGTTCGGGAGAAGTTTGCACAGATTGCGCATTGGTTTCAATTTCAAGTTCTTTTTCAGCGACTTCAGGCTCATTTCGTGGTGTTGTTTGTTGTTGAGCATCTTCGACATATGATAGTTGAACAATTTCCGTGGGTATGACAATTTCCTTAATGGGTTCAGAAGGAGATTGAAAATCTGTGGAAATAACCGATTCTTCTATCACTTTAATTATTGTATCATTTTCAAAACTTGTTGCTTCACTTTCAGGACTTATTTCAGCAATGACTTCTTGTTGAATTTTTCCCTCAGAATCTAAACTCAATGATTCAACATCTCGAGGTGTGTCATCAGATGACGCAACAGTATAAGACTCCTCGTCTTCTATTATTTTAACTTTAGCTTTCTTCTTCTTTCTTTGTGGCTTTTTAACTTTGTTTACATCATCTGCATCTTGCGTTAAATGGTCAGCTTCATAACCTGTTTCTCTAGGAGATTCGATTTCAATATCAGAAACTGAAATTGCACTCGGAATTGGCACAGTAACTGTTTCCTCTACAGGAACAATTTCGGGTTCCACGACAGGCACAACGTCTGGTTCTATAATTGGTATAATTTCTGGTTTTTCAACAGGTACTAATTGTGCATCTTTTCTTTTCTTTTTCTTTCGACTTCGATTAGTATCAGTTGGCACCTCTTTTCGATCATCTTCTTGACCCCCAACCTCAATTATGCTCATGCTTACTTTAGGTGTGTGCACAGAGACAGAAGTTTCTTGCACATCAGGTTTTAACACTACTGTCAACACACCGGAGCCATTATCTTCAATAGAAGGAGCAGTAACTGTAAACGATTTTGGTTGTACCGGAATATTTCCTGCAGCGGCTTCCTCAGAGATGAAAAGCTTCGTGATGGAACGAATATCTTGTTTAGGCTTTATATCTTGCTCTTTTAGGATTTCAGTATTGAATAATTTATTGTCATCCTTAGGTTCAGTTTTCGCTTCTAATTTATTTTGAGATTCTATACCTACTGTTGGGGAAGGTTCATCAGTAATTACTGTTTCTTGCGAATGTTTAACTTCAGCCTTATCTAAATCTGGTTTTAACTCTTGTAATATTGTTTCCACAACTATAGTGGCTGTAGTGTAAATTTCATCTTTCGGTATTGGTTCATTATGTTCTGTTTCTTTTTTAACATCAACGATTTGTGATTGAATTGGAACCGATGAAATGGTGTCTACTGTAGGCTTATCTGTTTCTGAATTTGGTTGTATTAATATTGATTCAACTGTTATAGTGGCAGTAGTATGATCTTTGTCTTCTGAGACTGTAACAATTTCTTGATCTTTGGTAGGTTCTTTGATGTCGAGAATTTGTGATTCAGCTGGTATCGTTAAAACAGTTTCTGTAGAATAGTCTGGCTCAAGTATATTCGGTTTTATTTCTCGTAATATTGTATCAACAATTACTGCGCTCGTAGTGTAAATTTCATCTTTTGACATTTCTACGGGTTCATGATGTTCTATTTCATCTTTAACATCAACGATTTGGGAATCTATTGGAACTGATAAAATGGTATCTACTATAGGTTTATCTGTTTCTGACTTTGGTTCTATTAGTATTGATTCAACTGTTACAGTGGCAGTAGTATGTACTTTGTCTTCTGGGGCTGAAATGATTTTTTGATCATCTGAGGGTTCTTCGATGTCAGGAATTAGTGATTTAGCTGGAGTCGTTAAAACAGTTTCTGTAGAATATTCAACTTTAGGCTCAAGTGTGTCCGATTTTATTTCTTGTAATATTGTATCAACAATTACTGTGCTAGTAGTGTGAATTTCATCTTTTGGTATTTTTTCAGGTTCACGATGTTCTTCTTTTTCATCAACAACTACTTGTAAATCACTTGGAACTTGTGAAATGGTTTCTATTACAGACGTGTCTGATTCTAATTTTGGCTCTATTAATATTGATTCAACAGTAATAGTGGCAGTAGTATGTGCTTTGTCTTCTGGGACTACAACGATTTCTTCAACTTCCACAGGTTCTTTAATGTCTACAATTTCTGATTCAATTGGCGGCTTTGAAAAAGATTCTGTGAAATATTCAACTTTTGGTTCAACTGATTCCAATTTCGATTCCGTTAATATTTTTTCAACAATTTCAGTGATAGTAGTCGTAGTGTCAACTTTGTCTTCTGGTAAAGCAACTTGTTGCTCATCAGGGATTTGAGAAAGCGAAACCTGTTTTTCAAATTCATAATTATCTAATGATACTGGATAGCCTGTTTCCTCACTAATTGGCCATATGGGCTCGACTAATTCTATTTGTTCTGGCAGAGTAATTGTTTCAATAACAGGCGTAATTGTTTCATCTCTGTGTTGTGAAATTTCTATATTGCTTGGCTCCAAATGATGTTCAGTTGGCCATATATCGGTAATATTTTCAACAGCTTTTCTCGATTCAGGTTCATCATTTTTCTGTACATATGTTGTGGTTACAATTTGTGTTTCTATTGCTGGTGAGATGTGTGGTAATTTAGTTTCGTCAATCAAATCAATTTTAACGGGATCTATTACTGTAACATGAACAGGACTTGTAGCAATATCTACAGGTTCAACAAATTTTTCAACTTCTACTTCAGGTGCGAGAGGACTAATCAAATCTACAGGTGCTTCACTTGTTACAATACTTTTTGTTGTTGTTGTTGTTTTTATATTTGTTGTTGGCTGTGTTTGTGTAGTGGTGATGATAGAAGTTTCAATATCAAATACCTGTGTCGGGTCAGTTTCACCAACCTGAGGTTGACCCTGTGTCTCTTTCCAGTCCTCCTCATGCGCAACTTCTTCAATAATGACGCCTGGTTGCTTGGTTAGGCGTTCAAACTCTTCATCAGTTACAACTTTACCGTTTATAGTACGTACAATATTAACATTAATTTGTGGTGGCATTTCTTCTTCAGTAACTTCAATCTCTTCAGGTTCTTCAATAACTTCTTCAGTCACATGCTCTACTCCATTGATAATGACAATACGTTTGATGATTTTACGGCTTTTACGTATAATTTTACGAGTCACTTGCTGAACAACTGCGCGAATACTACTAGTTTGAGTCTCGCCCGTGGGAGGAATATTCAATTGATCTAGATACGCAATTTCACTAGCGTTTAATGGTACTCCTTGTACAAATTCTTCTTGAACGACAACTGGCTGTGTTTCAAACTCTTGTACGACAACAGCTGTGGAGCTTGCACCACTATTTTTATCATCTTCTGTGGTTGTGCTGACTTCGACATTTTCGGGCAACTCTTCAATACTCTGTTTTTGTACTATTTGGTGAAGTGTTCGAGTAATCTTTTTCACCACAATATGTTTAGTACCATCCGGATCAACTACTACTTCAGTGGTAGTTGCATCGGGCTCAACAAAAGTGGTCTCAAATGATTGAGGCACATTCTTTAATACTAATTCAGTCGCACGATCAATGTCACCTTGCGGTTTTTGATGATAACGAGCTTCAATTTGTACTTCTTCTGGTATCTCAGGTATATCCTTGTTAAGTGTAGTATCAATTTGTATTGTTTCCTGTCCAGCTTGTATCGTTTGCGTAACTGTTATATTCTCTGTTGGTTTTTTCTCTTTTTGAGTTTGCATAGAAGCCTCAGTTGTTTCTACAGGAACCAACATAGCCGGTGGTTCGCTTGTAAGACTTGTTTGAGCTTCTACAGTTGTAGTCTTTACTTCAACAGGCTTTTCAAGTTTCTCAGAGGTTTGTGTCTCAACAGTAAACATTTCCGTTTGTGGTGCTATATTCTCAATGGGTTGAATTGCTGTTATGGGAGCATCAATTGGTTTTACTTCTTCTTCAGGCATAGAAGCCGAATCAATAGTATTATCATTTGATTCCATGGATTCGTGCGTTCGCGTTTCTATTGATGATGGTGCTGGTGGTGATGCGGATGTTGTAATATTGGCTATAGGTGGTACTATTTGCTCTTCAGCTAATATACGCAGACGTTGCTCTTCATCATGTTTAGCTTTACGCAACTCAACAATTTTGGTTTCAATGGTAAAAATTCTGGTTGTTGCTATTGTGATTTGTTCACGGAGTAAAATAATGATATTTTGTAGCTGCTCGACAAGCGCTTGTGCTAAAGGAGCGACATCGTCATGTGATTCTAGGAGACGAGTTTTCTCGAGCAATTCTTGCAATGATTGTTGTTTGTCCTTAAGAGTGCGTAAAAGCTGTTGACTTCTTTCGACTTGTCCTTTAAGTACTCTTTCATCATTTGTGCTATCAGCAGTTGGTTCGAATGATTTCAGTTCCTTTGATATCTCAATTATCCATTCTTCAATCTCAATTAAGTGTAATTGATAGGCATTCAATTCATCTTGACGCTTCTTCTGCCCATGAATGGCGCTCTATAAAAGTTTTTAATAAGCACTGCAATTTATTTCAAAATAGTTAATATATATAAACTTACAGCAATTAATGTAATGCCCTGTTGTGTGCGTCTTAGTAGAATATCAATGCGATCTTTAATATCGTTCAGCAAACGTTCAGAGGCTGGATCCGTAGGCAATATACGGCTTAATTCGTTTAGTCTTTGTGCTTCCTTCTCTTGATACTCTAGATTCTCTTGGATTAGCTGAAGAATTTACAGATTAGTAAAGGTACAAAATTTAAATTAAGGACTAAATGAATTTTTTAACTATAAATACAAACTTCTTAAATAGTATAACGTATTAAAACTTACTACAACATATACAAATTAATCAATTACAAAACACTAGGGCAGAGTACGCATACACTAATATAAACTTCAAATCATAGAACGATATGGATATGTGGCTAACACTAGTAGTAACTAAATCAACTTGTATGAATACTTCGTTTAGAAATTTGTTGTATTCCAATACACTTGCAATAGGCATCAAGATTCGTTCCTATTGTAAATGTACTCTAATCGGTTTCATCACCAACAATTCAACACCTTTCTCAACGGAGGTGGAAAATTTTGACAGAGGTGTACGTGCATGAGCGGTAATGGTTCTCCATACAAGGCTACCACACAATATACCATATATAAAAATAAAACAAAATATGAATAACATATCCTTTTGTATATTCTTATTCTATTATATTAACTGTTATTTTTTTTCTTTTAGTATAAGGGTTTATTTTTCAATCCTAACTGGCTTGAAATGGAACTATTCAAACGAGTTGATAACGAAATGTGCGATTCATGAATGATGCGATTGCGTTACTTTATGTGCTGCACACGCCGGCATTCAATAATCGAGTTTGTTGCTATTAGTGTTTTGCTTTCAAAATACAATTCTCAGTTAATTTACTTAATATTATACCACTATTGTGTCTATTATTGAGTAATTATTAACAAGTAACTATATATTGCAATTGTAACTACCGGGATTAGTGTTAGATGCGTTTCATATCAGTACATACGTGTATGTGCGGGGCATGTGGGGCATGTATATGAGGTTATAGATAATTAAATATGTATATATATATATATATATATATTAAAATGTGTAACAAAGTATATAACAAACTACTCAAATAGAAAAATTCCTTGCATATTTCACATACCTTGAGTCCTTGCAGCATTCCATCTAGGCTACTTTGCGGTAAATTAGTGATGCCATCTTCGACTGTTGAAAGCGATTGAAGTAACTCATCGATTTCAATTGTTAATAATTCCTATAATTTTTGTTTAACACAAACCGAATGAATATAAATAAATTAGCTTGATTATTTATTATTATTTATTTAATTTTGTTTGTTTAATAGTTCATTTTATTTTTTATTTTTTTTTGCAATTCACAATACAAGTAGCAAATCAATGTTAACAACAACAACAAGAAAATCGCGGTCATTCATTTTTAGTATCTTGCAAGTTAAAAGATATAGGTAAGATATATACAGAATTTACATAGATTAACGCATACCGTCATATATTTCATAAATACATATATATAATTAATATATTCAATAAAGTTAATAAATAAATATATATAAGAACTAAAGAGGCAGGCAACATGCGGAAAAAGAAATAAGTAGCTATACTAGTATTAACTACTCATATTTCATTAAGTTATTAGAAAGAGAAAAGTTCCTTTCAGAGAATTTTAGTCGTAATGTAAGGCTGCACATAAGCTCATCTATATACACATAGGCACACTCTACAAATTTAGTTAATACAAATTCCCTTCCAAACTGGAGATATGCGAATATAAAAACGAAAGCCGTCAAATTATACTCAATTTAATATTATCACAGTAAAACTTCCATAATAAGACTAACTTCACCTATTTATATATCGTTTTAACGAAAAAACAAAAAAAGATATTATCAAAAGTAATGGTAAGAATAATCACAGCAGAACTAACCCTTCAAAATTACAAACCGTATTAAATCGTAAGCTAATGCCAGTAACCGATAAAACAATCGAAAAAAACGATAGAACTAATCGTGCGAATTTAGTTTAGAATTTAGTTTGTCTAATCTTTTTACGTACAATCTTTTTGTTATATATATATACATTTTCTAACTTTACTATTTATGAAGAAAAAAGTTGTAATAAAAATTTTCGTTTTCATGTAGTTTCGAAAGCAATTGTGTTGGCAGTTTATTATTCGAATATGATAAGCTCCTATATAGTTTTTTTAATCATTTCAACTTTTAAAACCTTAGTTACTGCAAAAAAACTCGAAAGTACCGACACAACAGAGCCCGCCTTACAAACTTACATATACTACTAACCTAATTATTTTGTACGACAATTGCAGTAACCGGCAAAATGATCTAAATTAATAATAAGTTACGATAACAAAAGAACCAATCGTATGAACTTATATATCGTAAACCAAAGCAGTACCCGACAAAAAAACTAGAGGAGCTATAAGTACCTATAATAACGAGATTTAACCGTACATACATAGATATCGTTGTAAATTTAGTTTTTTTTGTAAATCAATTATATGAATTGCCAAAACGTGTAAACTCACAAATCCTTATTAACTTGATGCTATCGATATTTTACAGTAATAACCGACGAAATGATCCAAAATAATGACAAATAATAATAACAACAGGTCTTATCACATAAATTAACATACCGTTTTTAACCTGAGTCCATCGCAAACCAAAAAAAAAAACACGATAACATAATTGAATCGATTACTTTATCGAATAAAAGCGATATTTTATATTAATTAAATTTTAATCGATAAAGGATAACGAGGTAAAAATTTGTAACTGTAAATGTAGTAATATACGAAAATATTATTTATGTAGACACTTAATTATTTTGTAAAATTTAGTTTAATTTTGAATTGTGCATAAACTGTGTGATGCAGTTGCCACTCTAAATCGAATTGAATTTATTTTTGTTGAATTTTTATTATGAACGCTGCTGTTACTCAAAAATAATTCATTGGTATGAGGAACAAGCTGAATTAGTTCTTGCAAATTTATTTATAGAAATAGCATTTACTTGCAGTGCGAAAAAGCCCTAAAAAACTATACAGCAATCTACGAAGCAATCGCGCACGAGAGGTCAAAGGCCAGAGACGAGAAGAGCTGCAAAGAGCTATAGTGGACCAGTGGCAAAAATTATTCGATGAACTCGATACTTTTATGGAATTATTCGCATATTGCATACGAGTATGTAAAATAAATTAAGTATATAAACGGGAATCTTTCGGCAAGCGAAACTTGTCAAAGGGGTTGCCACCATTTTGGTGCAATGTTTTAGAATAGCATATCCATTTTTTGAAAAAATATCTACGAAATATAATAAAAAAATAAACGAAAAATTCAAAAAGTAGAAGGAAAAATTTTACTCCAATTTCGTGGTGCAAATGTGAATTGTGTTTTTTTTTTTGCATGAAATTCTACAAAAACTACAAATGCGATGAACGACGCCTTAAGAACCCAACGTCTATTTGATTTTTTTTTAAGTAAAAATAGTTAGTTACTATTAGAAGTATTGATTAGCGAAAAGGAAATGACAGTTTAAGTCAAAGAGTAAGAAAATAGGAGAAAGTAGTAGAGAAAGCTCAATCAATAAATTTATTTAGTTAGCGTGCGGGTGAGACAACAAGTTATAGACATGCATTTTTACTATATATGTGTTTTTTATTTAATTTTTTTTATTTTGGTAGTGTACTTTATAATTATGCATATATAAATATAAATATATATATGTATATATATAACTTAGTGCTTTTTATTTTATATATCGTATAAAACTATAATACAAAAATTTTATTCAAAACAAACAAGAACGACGAACTACTTTTTGAATACATAAATGTTACATACACGCAGCATTTAGTATGCATTTACGTGTATTTAAGTGCGTGTGTGTGTTTATATATATATATATATATATATATATATATATAAATATGCTTATTATTTCGTGCTATATGCCAATCACAGTGTATGTGTTTTATGGCTAAAGATAAATGCTAAAAATAACTTTCAAATCTTTGTTGTTGTTATTGTTTGTGTTGAGTTGTGTATGTGTGTGTGTGTGTGTGTGTGTGTAGCACTACAGTTACTTAATTTCCATATTCCATTATATTTAGTAAGAAAAAACAAAAAAACAATACAGGCAAAAATAAAAAGATATTATTAATCTATTTATAAATTGATTTAATTTCTAATATGCGTTTTTTTTTTGTTTTGTTGTTAATATTGAACTACAACTACTAGAAAAAAAGTCCAAACAATATCAAACCACTGCAGGTACGTAACAGCTATCGATATTTTTCGATTTGTTTCGATTTGTTTCGATTTTGAAATGAGAATTCAAAAAGTCGTTAATTTGATGTTGTTTGTTTTTTTTTCAGTTTCTTTTTCTATCTATTTTGTTAATTCTTAAGTATTAAGTTTAAGTATTAAAAAAAAAATAATAATAAAAATTAGTAACTTTTTAACTCAAATAAAATAATATTAATAAATTTATGATTTCAACTATTTAAATTAATGTTTTGTTGTTTGGTTGTTTAGCTGTGCTCAGTAGTGATTGGTCGGATTCATTCGTTCATTTAAGGTTTACAACACTTATTTCTTTCATTTAAAAGCCAAACGAATAAACAAAGACCAAAACCACACAGAAAAGCTGCAAACATTAAAACTAAAAATGTATAAAGTCTTAATGTTATCATCACCTTCTGCTCTTGTTGTTGCTGCCGTTGCTGCAATTGCTCGACCTGCTGTGGCTGTGGCTGTGGTTGTGGCTCTTGTTGTTGCTCTTGTTGTCCTTGTTGATTATTTAATGTCACTGTTTGTGTTGTCGTTCCAGTTGAAGTTGTAACTGTAGTGGTGATTATTGTAGTTGTTGTTGTTGTGCGTCCATCGATATTTATTTCTCGTTCAGGTACAGAGACTACACTAGCAGGAGTAGTAAAATCTCTTGGTTCATGTCCTGAATATTCTGTAGCTAATAGGTTAACAGCTGGTTTCTCTATTATCTCTAATTCAAGGTTTGTTACTGAATGTGGTTCATCTTTGTCTACATCCTCAATTATTTCAGTATTGCTTGATGATTCTGTTATGGTTTCTGTTGTTGATGTAATAAATGGTGATGAAGTTAATAATGATGATGATTGTGTCGGTGATGGTGATGGTGATGGTAATGTTGATGATAATAATGGTGATAATGTTGGAGTTGTTGTTTGTAATGATGATATTGTTGATGTTGATATCCCAATTGGTTCTTGTATTGGCTTTATTTGTTCTGTTGTTGTTGTTGCTGCTGTAGTCATATAGGTTTTGTTTGTTATAGGAGTTAAATTTTCTGTTGTTGCCTGATTAGTTGCTTCTATACTTGTTGCTTCTGCTGCTGGAGGTGTACTGGTATTTGATGTTATCACATCCAAATTCGTAGCAGCTGCTAATGGTAGCAAAAGTGCAGCAGCTGCACCTGCTGCTGCTGTTATTAAAGGCACGTTCGTCGTAGCCACATTAGTGGCTTCATTAACGACTTCTCTGGCAATATTGGTGGCCACTTCAAGTGGTTTTATCGTTTCTTCCCGATTGGGTTGAGATATATGGGGTGCATGCTCAATTTCAGTAGATTTTATGGAAATGAAAGTTTCAGGTAAATTTAATATGGCAACATTGTTAGCGTTTAGTGCAACTTGTGTTTCTGCTAGCGGCGTTATTGCGTTAGTGGTTAGTTCAGTTTTATCAGCTGATATTTGAGGAACCTGTTCATTTTCATTTATTTTCAAGGCTAAATATGTACTTTGATCTCGCCAATGACCTAAGCCACCTGGCAAATCGGCTGACATGTATTCTGAAGAACAACTATTATTTGTTACATATTTCGACATATCCTGTTCTGGCGTGGGCGTAACATTACCACTACTACCACTACCTGGATCCCGTTTGTCGTTATTGTTGTCATCGTCGTCGTCAGGTTTTTCAATTGTTGTTACAACAATCGCACTTTCACCGTCACCGTCATCGTCATCGTCGTCATCGTCATCGTCATCATTATCGTCGCTATCGTCACCGTCATTCTTATTTTTGTCATTGTCATTGTTATCCTCTAGATTTAATGTGTCATCATTTTTAATTTGTGTATCTTTAAGATGTTCTATTACCGTTTTTGTTTCTAATTGAGCGCTCTCTGTCTGTCTCTGTGTTTCAAAATATGCATTACTTGCATCTACATTTGGTTGATTCATTTGCCAATAATCCAGATATAAATGCATTTCAAGCTCATTTGAATCAGCAAGACACTCAGATGTTTGTGCGTTATTAGTAGGAATGATTAGTTTGTCTTGGTTTTGTATTTCAGTCTTTTTAACAATATCTTCAGTTAACTGTTTTGGTTCAATAATGTTAGTGTCAAAATCCACAACATTACTGATCAAATTAGTTTCAGTCTTATCAACAATTTTAACTGGTTTAGTAAGGTCTGTGCTGGTATTGGCTAAAGAGGATTCACGTAAAAGGTTCATATATTTACACCAAGCTAGTGCACTGTGAGCGGTTTCTAAATGCAAAGCAGCACGATTGCGTAGAGAATCTTGACTAAGATTCCAAACTAATAAAGAGGAATCATGTAGACTTTCTGATACTGAGACTTTCTGAATTTCTAAAGTTTTCTGTAGACCATCAGATGGAGTAGATTCTGAAACTACTTTCATTTCTAAAACTTTTTCAAGATTATTTATTGATGCAGAGGCTAAAGGAGCTTTAGTTGCAACAATTTCTGAAGTTTCTTTTACAGATAGAATAGATTCTGAAGGTGCTGTTATTTGCAAAATTTCCTGTAGATTTTCTGAGCAAATAGAGTCTGAGGGAGTCTTAATTTCGGAAATCTCGGATTTTTCTTTAAGATTATCGGATAGAACAATTTCTGCAGGAATTTCAGTTTCAAGAATTTTATGTACTTTATCGGATGATACTGACTCTATAGGAGTTTCAATATCTAAATTTGCCTTTACATTATCGGTCGGAACAGATGTCGTAGTAACTATCACTGGTTTTTGTTCAGCATTAACTAGAATATCAAATTTGTTTTCAAAATGTATGTGAGGTGGATGTATAAGGTTCTCATAATCCAAAGATAGATTATGTAAAAGAATTTCGCTGTTGACTTGTGCGACATCACGCGGCTCTATTACTATAAATTGTTCAACAAGTTCGTCATCACTTGTTTTATTATTAAACTCTTCCATCGCAGGTAACGAACTCTCACTCAAACCAAAGGTATCCATTTTTTCTGTAACAGTTAACGTATGTATAGGTTCTTCTACAATATTTGTAGATGTTATCTGCTCTTCAATAGGAGGTGTTATTGAATCGTTCTTCGTTATTACTCCTTCTATTAATTTTTCTATTTCCAATTTAAATGGTGTATTATTTACAACTTCTAAGGTTTCAGTTGGTATTGTTACTTCGGTTTCCTTTGTATTTTTTTGAAGACTTTCCAACTCTATTAATTTACTCAGTTGGGACTCATAATCACTATATCTTATTCTTTGACATAGCGGATTAACTTCCAACAACAAATTATTACGAAGAATTTCGTGGTTTATAATTTCGATTTCAATTGGCTCTACAAAAACGAAATCGTCATCATCCTTTTCTACATTTTGAACCAGTAACACTTCATGCTTAATGTTTTCTATCAGTTTTTGGGGCAACTCAACTGTGCTTATGATATGAGATTCAATTTCTGATGTCTCATCTGTTGGAGTTTTGATATCTAACTGAACAACTGTTTCCGTCAACAATTCTTCGGAGTCAATACTTGAAGACTGAGATTCACATATGTTATCATCTCTTTTTGTTGATATCACATATGGGACCTGTTGGAAAGCATTTCTGTTCTCAACTTTTATTGTTATATCATTTAAGTTGTCAGATATATGTGTTTTTTCATCACTTTTACTTAAAACCACAATTGGACTTTGTTTGGAAGCTGTGTCTTCAACTTTTTCAGTTATAATATCCGTATCAATACAAACTGGAATTTGTTCTGAAACTATTGTATCCTCAAGTTTATCTGATAAAATATTTGAAGGTCCCGATTTAAGTGCATCAACATCGCTCTTATTTGGCATCAAAATTGGGGCTTCTTCAAGAGCTACTGTAATTTCGACTATTTCTGTTTCGATATTTGAAGGTACATATTCACCTTCATTTGAAATCGAAATTGGAATTTCTTTGACAACTGCTATATCTTTACTTGAAGTCACAATTGTATCCTGGTCTGGAGCAACTGTATTTTCAATATTTTTTAATACAATATTTAATGGTTCAGATTCAAGTATATGAGTATCGTTTTCAGTTGATACAATAAATGGAATTTGTTCGAGAACTACTGTATCTTCAACAGTTTCTGATACAATATTTGATGACTCAAATCCAGGAGTATCGGCATCACTTTGACTTGAAATCAAAATTGAAGCATTTTCTTCAACTTCATCTGTAGTCGGAAGTGTTTCGCTTATGTAATGTGGCTCATCTAAACTAAATGTTACCTTCATTTTGACATTCTCGTGCTTTACTCGACTAGTATCAGTTTTGGGCGAGTCCTGAATTTCAGGTTCAATAACTTCATTTTTGGTTGCAACCGAAGTAAATGTAACAGTGGATTGTGATGAATTGTTATCATCTTTATCACTGAGAGTTGTGAACTCTTTAAGTGCTTCAACAACAGGTTTAGAAAATACTGTGGATTCTGTTTGAATTATAGCTGACCATGTAGTTGGTTGCTCTAAAGGTGACTGTACTGATACTTCATCCACCGTTTCAGGTATTTGTACTACAATTTCTTTTATTAATTCGCTAGTTGATATCGGTGATGAAGAAATTATGTTCACATCTTTCTCCGAATTTGGTTTTAATGTTGCAGACCAATAGGAAGTTTGAGAAACAAAAGGTTTGTCTTTGACAGATGCACTTTCTTGATCGACTGTTTCCGGTACAGCACTGTGAGATGTTTTTATATTAATTTCAGTATTTTCTACAGTGATATTTTTTATTTTAGTTGCTCCTTTTTCCGTTTCCGTTTGTAATGCTGGATGAGATTTTGCTTTTTGCTTTGATTTTTTCGATTTTTTAAGCTTTTCTACTTGTTCCGTCTGCACATGAAGCGGAATATGGAATGCTGTTTCTTCAGTTGTAACGCTTTCTTTCACTAGAGGAATTACTTTTGCAGGAACACTTTCTAGAGTACTTATTATTTGCATTGGTTCTGGAACATTCTGAGCAGCAATTTCTGCCCAAGAGAGTCCAGATGATATTAATGTAGGCGCGCTTATTTCAAGAGTATTTGATTCTATTTCTTCAGGTACTTGCTTGATCGCGATTTGATCTTCTTCTGTTTGGCTATCAGTCGGCAAAATAACTATTTCTGTATTTGCAATTTTAGGTTCCTTTTTGTGTTTTATCTCTTTTTTCTTGTGTTTTCTTTGCTTTTTACTAATTGTTTTGTCAGAATCACCTTCTATTTCAATAAATTCTTCAGAAAATGATTGTTGAGATCGGGAACGTGATCGCCTTCGCTGTTTTTCTATCTTTGACACATATTCCAAAAATCCTTCACTATCAGGTAACTGTGTAAATTCTGTATTAACGGCAGGTGATTCAATCACTTTTATAACTGGTCGTTCAGTATGGCGAGACGGTCTATTTATACTTTGGAATGATGTTTCAGTATCGAGTTTCTCTACTTCTGGTGTTGTAAAACTGCGTACAATAGAAGCCCAACTGGACTCTTCCTCCATCATATCTTTCCAACTCAAAGATGAAGAATCTTCAGGCCATTCTGTTTTAACAGGTTCACCATAATCTAAATTATGTGAAGATTGAATGTTCAGTTCGTTTTCATCTTCAAAGTTCTGAGTTTCTAGAGGAAGATCGTGTACAACTTGTTCTTCTAATTGTTCTTGTTGTGGTTGTTCTTCTGATTGAATAACTTCTACTTCATACTCAACAAAATGTGTACTTTTTGCCGGTTGTGAAACCAGTGTTTGTTCTAGTTGAATTCTTGGTTCCTGAACGGCTTCAAGATAATCAGATATATTTAAATCATGACTTGGCACAATTTTTTTCATTTCTGTAACCGGTTCAGAAATAAGTGTCGGCTTTGTCTCCAGAGCTTTTCCATATGTAACTATACTTCCATTGTCAGTATAACCAGATTTTTTAACAACCTCAGCATATGTCTCCGACAGTGACCAAACTGATGGTGGTACACTGACATGTTCTTGCTTCGGACTAATTTCCTTATCTGCAACATTTTTGTCTTTTACCGTCACATCTACAATATTACTAATATCCTCAACTGTATCTAGTTCTATTTGCTTCTTGTTCTTGATTCTAGTCTTATCATTCTTCTTGTGTTTTAATGCAGTCTGGGATTCTAAATCTTTATCACATATTTCCATAACAATGGGATTACGGTCTTCTTCACTTTGATGTACAATTTCAGACCAGGGCGAAATTGTGTGTTCTGTTAAAGTTTCAGAAGAAATATAATCAGGTTTAAGTTTTTGCACAATTCTTTCATTCAGGTCATTCTGATCTGTTGGAGTCACTTCAATATTAGAACTTTCTTGCACGACTTTTTTGTTTTTCTTATTTTTATCCTTCTTTGATTTGTCTTTTTTAGATTTGTCGTGAGGGTATGAAATTAATTTCTCCTGTTCCTTTAAAATAAACTCCTTCGATGCTGTTTTATCATCAATAACATTTAAATCTTCAAATTTGTTTGTGCTTTGACTTACAATTTCAGACCATGATAACGTCATAGAAGACGGATGTTCTGTAAGAGCTTCTGATGTTGTTGTAATATATTGTTTTATATCCACATTGCTAGACTTTTCCGGTAAAAATTGTGTATCGGGATATGTGGTTTCGTCAACCTGGGTCTTTATGTTATGCGAAAGTATAGCATTGGTATCTCTTAACACTTCAGGTTCATCATTTACTTTTTTACTTAGCGATTGCAATTTTAAAGGTTTCTTCAGTTCTTTTTCATTATCTTTCTTAGGTTTCGGTTTAATATGTTTTTCGCGTTTTGGTTTAGACTGAGAAACTAAAGGCGAAATATGTTGAGGAATCGCTTCCATTACATTCGGTTTTTCATCAGATGAATGTTGGCTTACGATTGCGGACCATGACAACTGATCTACAACTTTTTGGTCCTGCGTTGAAATGTCAAATTTATCTGTAAATATTTCTGGTTGTGTTGATTTATCACCAGTGAGTTGTTTACTTATACTATGATCTTCGTTCACATCATCAACATTAAGCTTTGGTGGAGATTCATATGACTGAATTAAAGTTTCATCACAAATTCTTGTGTATGACACAGGCTGTGATTTAGATGTTTCAGATTTAATTTCTTTAGTAGGTTTACTAAATTCCTTTCGTTTTTCTCCTCCTCGACTTTGCTTAGATGTATAAGATTGTCTTTCCTGTTCGATAAATTTATTAATTTTTTCCGAATTTCTGTCTTTCACATCTTTATCTGGAAGATCGTTTTCAGTACGACTAACAATTTCACACCACGATAAAAGTTTACTTGGTAACTGCTCTTGGACTGGAATAACAGAATCAGTCGAAATTGAAGGCAACCTAACTTCGTTTGAAAACTTATCTTTTTCATGGTCTAAGATATTCTTCGAGGATATTTGCTCTTCAATAGTGTTATCTTTTTTATATCCAATAATATTCAAATCAGGTTGAAGTGCTATATCTACTGTTTGACTATATTTTTCATGGTCTGCTACAGTATGAGTTGATTCATTGTTGGGTATATCAAATTCAATGTTGTCAATAGTATGACTCACTATATCTGACCAAGACATCTGTGTTTCTTCAGTTACAGGAATGACATCATCTTGGCTAACTTCATCCATTACAGTCGTCACATTAGTTAATTTGTTTTTACTTTCAGCATCCATATTCTCAAGATCTACAACTATGTCTAGGTTCCTTGCATCTTTTTCACATACATTTTCAATACATTCAAATTCAGACGTGTTATACAGAATGTTTTCTTTGGTGGATTCTATTTTTACAGGATATTCTGTCCTTTTTGAACTGTGCTTCTGTTTCTTGCGGTCTTTCCCAGGTTTAACTACATCTATTTTTACTTGTTTTTCAGCTTTGCTTTCGATGATGGGTGGTTTCAATGTAACTGCAGGCTCCTCCAAGTTCTGTGAAACTATTTCAGACCAAGTCAATTGTATTTTCGGTTTAAAGTCATTGATTAGTTCATTTTCTTCATTTATTGGAATTGTGAGTTTAACTTCAGCAGGATCAGGTATTTCAGACAGTGCTTCGGAAGAATTAATATCTTTATGTAACTTTGATTTATCTAACTTTTGAATTTTTTTCTTAACGTTTTCCTTTGCTTGTTTTTTCGATGTAGGCTTTTCTGACGTACTTTCAGTCATAACAGTATCTTCACTACTTTTAACTAAATGAGTTTCCCCTAAAGGTTTTTCTATTTCAATATCAATATTTATATTTTGAGGTTCTTCAATTGTTTGGCTTACAACTGTAGACCAAGACACTTTCTTTGTGAACGTATCTTCTGGATTTATTTGTAACGTGATATCAGAAACTTCAGTACCATCTACAGCAGTTGATAATTCCACATTTGAAGATATATTGAACTTTTCTTTACGTTTGTCTTTTTTTGATTTATGTTTCCTTACTTTCTCAGGTATGACTGGAACATTTTCTTGATATATCTCCTTAATTTGTCTTTCTACAATTTGATATCTGTCTTCTTCAGGATATTTATCAAGAACTTTTGGCACTAAAACATCATTTTCAGTTTTGACAGTCTGTTGTAAGCTCTTCTTCTCCAAATCGATAAAGTTATTAGTTTGTTTCACAATATCAGCATAAGAAACAGCCACATCTGGCAGCTGCACAGGACTTTTAACTTCACTAGTCGTTGAAGAACTCATTGTTATTTCCTTCCAAGGAACAGATAATTGAGGCAATTCAAAAGCATTAGATAGCGAAGTCACACTGTGAGAAGACTTCACATCCAATGCAACTACTTCCATTTCTTTTGATATCAGATCAATAACTACATTTTCTCGACTAACAACAGGCTTAATAAAACCAGAAGCATTGAATAAATTATCTTCTTTATTCTTTATATTCATCCATTTATTAGAAGAATCAATAATTGGAATTTCGGCACAGGATGGCTTATTAGATTCATTTGGTATTTCCTCAAAGGATTCAATATTGGTTGTAGTTGTTGTAATCAGTGTTGCAATTTCTGTAGCAACTTGTTCTTTTGGCTGTTCATCGCGTGTTTGTTCAACTACAATTTGTCCCTTAACCTTGACAGGAAGTATTATAATCTCCTCCACTGGTTGTTTTTCTTCTGGCACAGATTCTTTTTCAACTGGTTCCATCAATTCTGTGATCTTTTCAACAACCACTGGATCAGATTTAATTTTCTTAACATCAACGTCATTATTTTCAGTTAATATCACCTCTTCATCCATAACATCTCTCCATCTAGCAGATGTCTCACCAATTGGACGAGCTGCATATGCTGATTTCTTAGGTTCTTCAGGAACTTTTTCAACTAATTCAATATTGGTTGTAGTTGTTGTAATCACTGTTGTAATTTCTGTACTGACTTGGTCTTTTGGTTGTTCATCTAATTTTTGCTCAACTGTAATTTGTTCCTCAACCTCGACTGGAGCTATTGCTATCTCTTCCACAGGTTGTTTTTCTTCTAGTACAGATTTTTTATCAACTGGTTCTATTAATTCTGTGATATTTTCAACAGCCACTGATTCAGGTGCAGATTTCTCAACAATATCAGTTTTAGTAACCTCATCATCTTCAGATAATACTATTTCTTCATCCATGACATCCATCCATGCATTAGATGAATCGTCAATTGGAAGTCCTGCATATGATGGTTTCTTAGGTTCTTCAGGAACTTTTTCAACTGATTCAATATTGGTTGTAGTTGTAGTTTCTCTAGTAACTTGTTCTTCCTTTTGCTCAACTGGTGATTGTTCAAAAATAATTTGTTCTTCAACCTTAACTGGAGCTATTGCTATCTCTTCCACTGGTAGTTTTTCTTCTGGCAAAGACTCTTTCTCAACTGGTACTATCAATTCAGTGATCTTTTCAACAACTATTGGTTCAGGTGCAGATTTCTCAACAATATCAGTTTTAGTAACCTCGTCGTCATCAGATAATATCATTTCTTCATCCATGACATCCATCCATGCATTAGATGAATCGTCAATTGGAAGTCCTGCATATGCTGGTTTCTTAGGTTCTTCAGGAACTTTTTCAACTGATTCAATATTGGTTGTAGTTGTTGTAATCACTGTTGTAATTTCTGTAGTAACTTGGTCTTTTGGTTGTTCATCTAATTTTTGCTCAACTGTAATTTGTTCTTCAACCTTAACTGGAGCAGTTATAATCTCCTCCACTGGTTGTTTTTCTTCTGGCAAAGACTCTTTCTCAACTGGTACTATCAATTCTGTGATATTTTCAACAACTATTGGTTCAGGTGCAGATTTCTCAACAATATCAGTTTGAATAACCTCATCATCTTCAGATAAAATCATTTCTTCGTCCATGACATCCATCCATGCATTAGATGAATCGTCAATTGGAAGTCCTGCATATGCTGGTTTCTTAGGTTCTTCAGGAACTTTTTCAACTAATTCAATATTGGTTGTAGTTGTTGTAATCACTGTTGTAATTTCTGTAGTAACTTGGTCTTTTGGTTGTTCATCTAATTTTTGCTCAACTGTAATTTGTTCTTCAACCTTAACTGGAGCAGTTATAATCTCCTCCACTGGTTGTTTTTCTTCTGGCAAAGACTCTTTCTTAACTGGTACTATCAATTCTGTGATATTTTCAACAACCACTGATTCAGGTGCAGATTTCTCAACAATATCAGTTTTAGTAACCTCATCGTCATCAGATAATACTATTTCGTCATCCATGACATCCATCCATGCATTAGATGAATCGTCAATTGGAAGTCCTGCATATGCTGGTTTCTTAGGTTCTTCAGGAACTTTTTCAACTGATTCAATATTGGTTGTAGATGTTGTAATCACTGTTGTAATTTCTGTAGTGACTTGGTCTTTTGGTTGTTCATCTAATTTTTGCTCAACTGCAATTTGTTTCTCAACCTTAACTGGAGCTATTACTATCTCTTCCACTGGCAGATTTTCTTCTGATAAAGACTCTTTTTTAACCGGTACTAATTCCATGATTTCTTTAACAACTAGTGGTTCAGGTGCAGATTTCTCAACAATATCAGTTTTAGTAACCTCATCGTCATCAGATAATACTATTTCGTCATCCATGACATCCATCCATGCATTAGATGAATCGTCAATTGGAAGTCCTGCATATGCTGGTTTCTTAGGTTCTTCAGGAACTTTTTCAACTGATTCAATATTGGTTGTAGTTGTTGTAATCACTGTTGTAATTTCTGTAGTAACTTGGTCTTTTGGTTGTTCATCTAATTTTTGCTCAACTGTAATTTGTTCTTCAACCTTAACTGGAGCAGTTATAATCTCCTCCACTGGTTGTTTTTCTTCTGACAAAGACTCTTTCTTAACTGGTACTATCAATTCTGTGATATTTTCAACAACCACTGATTCAGGTGCAGATTTCTCAACCATATCAGTTTGAGTAACCTCATCATCTTCAGATAATACTATTTCTTCATCCATGACATCCATCCATGCATTAGATGAATCGTCAATTGGAAGTCCTGCATATGCTGGTTTCTTAGGTTTTTCAGGAACTTTTTCAACTGATTCAATATTGGTTGTCGTTGTAGTTATAACTGTTGTAGTTTCTCTAGTAACTTGTTCTTGTTTTTGCTCAACTGGTGATTGTTCAACAATATTTTGTTCCTCAACCTTAACTGGAGCTATTACAACCTTCTCCTTTGGTTGTTTTTCTTCTAGCACAGATTCTTTTTCAACTGGTACTGGCAGTTCTACGGTCGTTTCAGAGACCACTGGTTCAGGTTGCTTTTCTTCAATAACTTCTCCTTTTTGTATTTCTTTAGTTAGTTCCTCAGGTATTTTTTCGACAAATTCATTATTGGTTGTAGTTGTTGAAAGCACAGTTATTGTTTCCGTAGTTACTTGTTCTTCTGTTTGCTCAACTGGTACCGTTTCAACTATAATTTGTTCCTCAACTTTAACTGGAACTATTGTAATGTTCTCCATTTGCAGTTTTGCATCTGACACAAATTCTTTTTCATCAGGTACTGGCAGTTCTGCAATATTCTCAGCAATGACAGGTTCTCTGTTAGGAATTACCTCAACAGATACAATATTGTTTGTAGTTGTTGTAATTGCTGTCGTAGTTTCTCTAGTTCTTGTTGGTTGATCAACTGATAATGGTTCAACTACAATATGTTCGTCATCTTTGACTGGAACAATTGCAGTCTCAGCAAAAGGTTTTTTATCTTCTGGCGTATTTTCTTTTTGAATTGGCACTTCAAAGTCAAACAACTTTTGAACTGGAACAGGTCTAGGTTTAACTTCTACAATTAAATTTGTTTTAAGAACTTCATGTATGTTTTCAACGGGCTCAATAATTTCTGTAGTAACTTGTTCCGAGTATTGTGCCTGTGGTAAGTATTTTTGAGTTGGTACGTCATCATCTTCCTCTAGTAGATCTTTCCAGGATTTAATACTTGAATCTATATTGGCTTCCGCAACCTCCTCAACTATATTAACATTCAGTTTCGTTTGTGGTATATTTTTTTCTTCTGTTTGTTTATGGCTAGATATTGACCAATTAAAATCATCGAGATCTTTAGGCGCGGATTCCGTTACATGAATGTTATCGTTTTTAACAACTTTAGATTTCGGAACAGGTGTTTCTTTCGCTTTGTAAGCATGTGACCTTTCCGTATCAATAAAGCTTGTAGTGGATTGACTTACAATAGAAGCCCAACTAGGAGTTTGTGCATTTTCAAAATTGGTTTCAAAACTTATTTTTTCTTCATCCTTTTTCAGACGTTTCTCAACTTTTACATTTGGAAAAACATGTGATTTATTTTTTTCGATATATGACTGGTCTGGAGAATCTTCATCGAGTTTTTCAACAGCATCTTCACTAAGTTCTATAGATGAAACCAAATCTCCTCCTTGTGCCTTACTCAGCAAGGAATTGTCATCTTTTTTCCGTTTATCCTTTGTTTTTGAAGATTTTTGAGTTTTTTCGGATTTGCCTTTCGGTTTTTCTTCAGTTTCAACTTTTTTGTTTACAATCTTTTTACGTGAATTTATATCATCTATCCATTCGCCAGGCTTTTTAACTAATGCCGCCCATGAAAACTCATTCAAAACGTCTTTATGTGTATTAGTTGCAACATCATCAACCGGTTCAGGTTCAAAGGTTTTATTTACGTGTTCTGCTTTCGCGTCACTCTTTAATATTTGATCACTTTCGTCAGAGCTAGTGGTTTGAATTTTATCACGTGTAAGAATTTCTTCATTTTTCTGTTTTGTTTTTGATTTTTTATTCCTGTGTTTTTCAGGATGTTTTTTCTTCTTCTCTTCTCTATTTTCTGGAACAAGCTGTTCTGGTTTTTTATGCCTTGTCATGATATCATCGACCCACTCTCCTGGTCTGCTAACCAAAGAAGCCCAAGATAACTTATTCGGTTCTGCTTGAGAAAGCTCTGAAGTTGTATTTTCTTTCTCAGGCACATCTATTGACACTTCTGCTTTACTTTCTTCTTCTGATGAAACAATGGGTGTAATGGATTCTTGAACAATAGCACATACTTCAGAATTTTGGTCATTTTCCGATTTAGGGGTTTTATCTTTCTTTTTATTTTTAGATTGCTTTTTCTTTTTTGAAGGCTGTTCGAGCTTATTACTATCATTGTGAACAGTTTTATCTTTTCGCAGAACTGTGGTATCTATCCATTCCCCTGGCCTTTTCACTAATGCCGACCATGAAAACTGATTATTTTCCACTGACTTAGGTACTTCCGTAACATTATCGATGAAATCTAATTCCGTTTCAGAAGTACTAACAGTTATTTTTTTCACATCTTCGTGTGGTTTAATGTCCACTTTATCCACTTTTTCCACTTCAGTAACATTAACCTTAGATGTCTTTACTTTTTTCTTATTTAATTTTTTTTTGTGTTTTCTATCAACTTCTTCGTACAATATATCTTTGGTAACTTCTTTTACTTCTGGTATATCTTCAATTTTTTCTTTATTTGAAATCGTTTTTTCATCAGACACTTTTTCTTGCCCCATTTCCCCAAAAAGTACGTCAGCATATGATTTGCCTCCAAATATCTTCGAAGGTGGCTTTAAAATCAACTTTTGTTCTGCACGATTAGTATTTTCTTCTGTCTCCTGAGTAGTCATCTTATTTACCTTCTCAGGCTTTTCTATAACATTTGGTTTTCTTTTAACTTTTGCCAAGGAAGTAACCAGGTTATCAGAAAGGTTCTGGGTATTGTGTAGGTTTTGTTTTGGAACAAATTCACTGTACATTTTTTCATTTGCTAAGAAAGTGTTGGTTTGATTCGAATATGAGTGCTTAAGAAAATCTGGAGTAAACTCTGGAGCATTCGGAGATAAATTTGAAGATAATGCAATGTTAGTAAGAGAGGATGATGTATCTTCTAAAACACTAGACCACGTATCAATTTCCGATTTATCGTCTTGTTTTGACTCTATAATGAAATCTTCCTCAACTTTAACTGAAGCTATTGTAGTCTTCTTCATTGGTTGTTTTTCTTCTGGTACAGATTCTTTCTCAACTGGCATTGGCAATTCTGAGCTCTTTCCTGCAATCACTGGTTCAGGTTGCTTTTCTTTAACAATGTCAGTTTCCTGAATTTCTTTATTTAGTTCCTCAGGTATTTTTTCGACAGATTTAACATAGGTTGTTGTTGTACTCACTGTTGTAGTTTCCGTAGTTATTTGTTTTTCTGATTGCTCAACTGGTACCGATATTACAACTTCTTCCTTTAGTTGTTTTTCTTTTAGAACAGATTCTTTTTCAATTGGTATTGGCAGTTCTGAAGTCTTTTCAGAGACCACTGGTTCAGGTTGCTTTTCTTCAATAACTTCCCCTTTGTGTATTTCTTTATTTAGTTCTTCAGGTATTTTATCTACTGATTCAATATTGGTTGTCGTTGTAGTTATCACTGTCGTAGTTTCTCTAGTAACTTGTTCTTCCTTTTGCTCAACTGGTGCTTGTTCAAAAATAATTTGTTCTTCAACCTTAACTGGAGCTATTGCTATCTCTTCCACAGGTAGTTTTTCTTTTGGCAAAGACTCTTTCTTAACTGGTACTATCAATTCAGTGATCTTTTCAACAATTATTGGTTCAGGTGCAGATTTCTCAACAATATCAGTTTGAATAACCTCATCATCTTCAGATAATATCATTTCTTCGTCCATGACATCCATCCATGCATTAGATGAATCGTCAATTGGAAGTCCTGCATATGCTGGTTTCTTAGGTTCATCGGGTATTTTTTCAACTGATTCAACATTCGTTGTAGTTGTAGTAATCACTGTTGTAGTTTCTCTAGTAACTTGTTCTTCCTTTTGCTCAACTGGTGCTTGTTCAAAAATAATTTGTTCTTCAACCTTAACTGGAGCTATTGCTATCTCTTCCACAGGTAGTTTTTCTTTTGGCAAAGACTCTTTCTTAACTGGTACTATCAATTCAGTGATCTTTTCAACAACTATTGGTTCAGGTGCAGATTTCTCAACAATATCAGTTTGAATAACCTCTTCATCTTCAGATGATATCATTTCTTCGTCCATGACATCCATCCATGCATTAGATGAATCGTCAATTGGAAGTCCTGCATATGCTGGTTTTTTAGGTTCTTCAGGAACTTTTTCAATTGATTCAATATTGGTTGTAGTTGTTGTAATCACTGTTGTAATTTCTGTAGTAACTTGGTCTTTTGGTTGTTCATCTAATTTTTGCTCAACTGTAATTTGTTCTTCAACCTTAACTGGAGCAGTTATAATCTCCTCCACTGGTTGTTTTTCTTCTGGCAAAGACTCTTTCTCAACTGGTACTATCAATTCAGTGATCTTTTCAACAACTATTGGTTCAGGTGCAGATTTCTCAACAATATCAGTTTGATTAACCTCTTCATCTTCAGATGATATCATTTCTTCGTCCATGACATCCATCCATGCATTAGATGAATCGTCAATTGGAAGTCCTGCATATGCTGGTTTCTTAGGTTCTTCAGGAACTTTTTCAACTGATTTTATATTGGTTGTAGTTGTTGTAATCACTGTTGTAATTTCTGTAGTAACTTGGTCTTTTGGTTGTTCATCTAATTTTTGCTCAACTGTAATTTGTTCTTCAACCTTAACTGGAGCAGTTATAATCTCCTCCACTGGTTGTTTTTCTTCTGGCAAAGACTCTTTCTCAACTGGTACTATCAATTCAGTGATCTTTTCAACAACTATTGGTTCAGGTGCAGATTTCTCAACCATATCAGTTTTAGTAACCTCGTCGTCATCAGATAATATCATTTCTTCATCCATGACATCCATCCATGCATTAGATGAATCGTCAATTGGAAGTCCTGCATATGCTGGTTTCTTAGGTTCTTCATGAATTTTTTCAACTGATTCAACATTCGTTGTAGTTGTAGTAATCACTGTTGTAGTTTCTCTAGTAACTTGTTCTTCTTTTTGCTCAATTGGTGCTTGTTCAACAATAATTTGTTCCTCAACCTTAACTGGAGTTATTATAATCTCCTCCACTGGTTGCACTTCTGGCGCAGATTCTTCTTCATCTGGTATTGGCAATTCTACGGTCTTTTCAGAGACCACTGGTTCAGGTTGCTTTTCTTCAATAACTTCTCCTTTTTGTATTTCTTTAGTTAGTTCCTCAGGTATTTTTTCGACAGATTCAATATTGGTTGTAGTTGTTGTAATTACAGTTATTGTTTCCTTAGTTACTTTGTTTTCTGTTTGCTCAACTGGTACCGTTTCAACTACAATTTGTTCCTCAACCTTAGCTGGAGCTATTATAACCTCTTCCATAGGTGGTTTTTCTTCTGGCATGGATTCTTTTTCAGGTGTTACTATCAATTCTGTGATATTTTCAACAATTATTGGTTCAGGTGAAGTTTTCTCAACAATATCAGTTTTAGTAATATCATCATCATCAGATAATATCATTTCTTCATCCATGACATCCATCCATGCATTAGATGAATCATCAATTGGAAGTCCTGCATATACTAGTTTCTTAGGTTCATCGGGTATTTTTTCAACTGATTCAACATTCGTTGTAGTTGTAGTAATCACTGTTGTAGTTTCTCTAGTAACTTGTTCTTCTTTTTGCTCAATTGGTGCTTGTTCAACAATAATTTGTTCCTCAACCTTAACTGGAGTTATTATAATCTCCTCCACTGGTTGCACTTCTGGCGCAGATTCTTCTTCATCTGGTATTGGCAATTCTACGGTCTTTTCAGAGACCACTGGTTCAGGTTGCTTTTCTTCAATAACTTCTCCTTTTTGTATTTCTTTAGTTAGTTCCTCAGGTATTTTTTCGACAGATTCAATATTGGTTGTAGTTGTTGTAATTACAGTTATTGTTTCCTTAGTTACTTTGTTTTCAGTTTGCTCAACTGGTACCGTTTCAACTACTATTTGTTTCTCAACCTTAACTGGAGCTATTATAACCTCTTCCACAGGTGGTTTTTCTTCTGGCACGGATTCTTTTCCAGGTGGTACTATCAATTCTGTGATATTTTCAACAATTATTGGTTCAGGTGAAGTTTTCTCAACAATATCAGTTTTAGTAATATCATCATCATCAGATAATATCATTTCTTCATCCATGACATCCATCCATGCATTAGATGAATCGTCAATTGGAAGTCCTGCATATGCTGGTTTCTTAGGTTCTTCATGAATTTTTTCAACTGATTCAACATTCGTTGTAGTTGTAGTAATCACTGTTGTAGTTTCTCTAGTAACTTGTTCTTCTTTTTGCTCAATTGGTGATTGTTCAACAATAATTTGTTCCTCAACCTTAACTGGAGTTATTATAATCTCCTCCACTGGTTGCACTTCTGGCGCAGATTCTTCTTCATCTGATATTGGCAATTCTACGGTCTTTTCAGAGACCACTGGTTCAGGTTGCTTTTCTTCAATAACTTCTCCTTTTTGTATTTCTTTAGTTAGTTCCTCAGGTATTTTTTCGACAGATTCAATATTGGTTGTAGTTGTTGTAATCACAGTTATTGTTTCTGCAGTTACTTTGTTTTCTGTTTGCTCAACTGGTACCGTTTCAACTACAATTTGTTCCTCAACCTTAGCTGGAGCTATTATAACCTCTTCCATAGGTGGTTTTTCTTCTGGCACGGATTCTTTTTCAGGTGTTACTATCAATTCTGTGATATTTTCAACAATTATTGGTTCATGTGAAGTTTTCTCAACAATATCAGTTTTAGTAATATCATCATCATCAGATAATATCATTTCTTCATCCATGACATCCATCCATGCATTAGATGAATCATCAATTGGAAGTCCTGCATATACTGGTTTCTTAGGTTCATCGGGTATTTTTTCAACTGATTCAACATTCGTTGTAGTTGTAGTAATCACTGTTGTAGTTTCTCTAGTAACTTGTTCTTCTTTTTGCTCAATTGGTGATTGTTCAACAATAATTTGTTCCTCAACCTTAACTGGAGTTATTATAATCTCCTCCACTGGTTGCACTTCTGGCGCAGATTCTTCTTCATCTGGTATTGGCAATTCTACGGTCTTTTCAGAGACCACTGGTTCAGGTTGCTTTTCTTCAATAACTTCTCCTTTTTGTATTTCTTTAGTTAGTTCCTCAGGTATTTTTTCGACAGATTCAATATTGGTTGTAGTTGTTGTAATTACAGTTATTGTTTCCTTAGTTACTTTGTTTTCTGTTTGCTCAACTGGTACCGTTTCAACTACAATTTGTTCCTCAACCTTAACTGGAGCTATTATAACCTCTTCCACAGGTGGTTTTTCTTCTGGCACGGATTCTTTTCCAGGTGGTACTATCAATTCTGTGATATTTTCAACAATTATTGGTTCAGGTGAAGTTTTCTCAACAATATCAGTTTTAGTAATATCATCATCATCAGATAATATCATTTCTTCATCCATGACATCCATCCATGCGTTAGATGAATCGTCAATTGGAAGTCCTGCATATGCTGGTTTCTTAGGTTCTTCAGGAATTTTTTCTACTGATTCAATATTGGTTGTAGTTGTTGTAATCACTGTTGTAATTTCTGTAGTGACTTGGTCTTTTGGTTGTTCATCTAATTTTTGCTCAACTGCAATTTGTTCCTCAGTGTTAACAGGAACTCGTGTAATCTTTTCCTCGTGTAATTGTTTTGGCACGTTTTCAACTGGTATTGGTTCATGTGTTTTCTCTTCTTTTAGAACTGTGTCCTGAACTGCTAGTGGTAACGCGGATATTGTTTCAGTATTCCAGCTTTCTTTAGGAGTTTCTCCTGATTTTATCTGGTAATATAGCTCTTCAGAATGCTGTATTACGCATGTGTCGTATTTAGGAATTTCTAAGTATTCAAAAGTATTTTCCAACTCCTCATGTGAAACTGTTGTAGTGGCTGATATATCAATCGGAGTGCTCTCTTTTTCATCTTTGTGTTCGTTGATGTGGTAATTAAGTTCAGCAGAGCGGAGCTGCGTTAAATTATATTTTGGAACTTCGAAATCTTGAACGGACGGACTTAAGGAAAACGTGTTAATTGCAACTTCTGGTTTAAGATCAGTGCTTGAAGTGTTAGAAACAAATTTGATATTTTTTGCCTCATCTGATTCAGCGGTTGCATTTTGGTTAATATTAGCTTCTATGTTAGTAGAACTTAAATTTTCAAATAATCTAGTTGGCTCTTCTTCTACATTTTCTGGTAATGGTTTGTCGGTAATTTCTTTACTGATTCTAGTTAAAACCTCATTATAAGTTGTATTTGCTTTATCAATATCACACATTTTAGAGACTAATAGTAGTGCTGGCTCTAGCGAAATATTTCTAATCAAATCTGTAACTTCTACAGTTTGTACGGCGCTATCACCTACAGTTGCTATATTATCAGTTTCTGGAATTGAGTGTGGGCTTCCTAATATATTTATTTTTGCAGCGTCAGTTGGGCTTACAGTTTCTACATTCTCTTCAGAATTAGTAAATTCTTTTTTATAAAATTCTTCTGGAAGTAAAGGTCTTTTCTTTTTATCTTTCTTAGAGATTTTCTTCTGGAATTCTTCAAATAATATTTCCTCTTCAGTGGTCAAATCGGGTAGAATATCTTTTTGGTCAATGCATTCCAAGGGCTCAACGAATTCTGAATTTATATTCAATGTTTGATTCTCTACTTGTGAACTACTTAATCCTGGTGTAATTAATGGTGCAGGGATTTCACTACTGTCTACGTCACCTTCTATTAAAACAGGCTCACTAATTGGGGTTTGATCACTACAGACAATCATTACTTCCGAAACAGATGAGTTTGGCAAACCATTACCCAAAAGTACACTGGATTCAATAATAGTTTGTTCAGTTTGTTCATTGTGTTCAGTATGTTGATCTGAAGCTTCTACAGTTTCAGTCAAGGTTTCTGTAATTTTAAGACTAGTTTCGGGAAGATCTAAGTGCATTTTAACTATAGGGGTTTTATGTTTTTCCTCATGAGTAATAAGTGAAATTTTTTGAATCGCACCTGGTGGATAGGAATCACCAGTGTAAATGATATTGGTACCGTCTTCAGACTCGAAACTACGTTTTTGTGTCATTGTTAATGTCGTATGTTTCGTGTTCGTCGTCGTGGTTTCAGTCACTTGCGTAGAGCGTGAAAACTTGTTCAAAACGGTTTTGTCAGTTGAAGTAGTGGTAATGCTATGTTTAAAGCTGTCAGGGTCTATGTCTTTATTGTCTTTTTCAAAAGTCGGTAATTTTGTTGTTTCAATGTCAATAACCTTAATGCCAGGTGTCACGTCGTCCTTTTTAATAGTTTGCGGCGAATCAATAGTTTGAACCTCATCAATATTAGCCTCATCCGAACTAATTTTATCAAAACTATCTTTTGGCGTGCCCATCATTGTATAAGTGGCTGAATCCGTTTGTCTTGGCTGATCAGGTAACTCAATTGTTGATTTAACAATAATGTCGTCTGGTGATTCTGTTTCTTCTAAAATAATTTTACCATCTTGTGAAATTTTCTTAATTATTTTCACGGTACGTATTGTTGTTGTCTTTATTATAGCTCCATCTACTGAAGTGTTAGTAGTTAAAGTTTCTGTTGGTTCTTCAACAATTGATGGAGAAATCGTAGAATTAGTTGACTGCAAATCATCTTCATTTGTTAATATTTTCACTTCTATTTCCTCTGGTGTTTGAATTTCTGGAGAAGTTCTTTTTATAATTCTTGTCGTTCTAATTGTTGTTGTTTTAGTTACACCTCCTTGGTCATCCTCTGAAAGCTTATCTGACGAAACTTCTTGTGCTATATTTTTACTATCTAAGTCTGTTGTATTATCAAAACTATGCTCCATGGTTTCATTTTCGATGTTTTGCGAGATTTTCTTTACAACCTTTGTCGTTCTTACTATAGTCGTTTTTATAACGTCACCTCCTTCAGAAGTTTCTAAATTTTCTGTGTTATTAATTAAATGCTCTTTATTTAATTTTTCATCGAGCGTTACTAAATTTCCGCTGGGTACTTTTATATGATCTTCTGCAGGAACATCTTGTTCAGAAACATATGACTGTTTAATAATTTCTGGCTCAATATTTGTTTGTTGTGCTTCCTTTTGGGATAACTCTTTGTTAACATCCCTGTCATTGTCAGTACTAGTTTCTAGTGACAAGTTTTTGTCTTTGATTTCTGAAGCATTTTTGGTTTTTAAGGTCCGAACTGTTGTTGTTTTCACAACACCGGTATTAGTTTCTTCTCTTATAACCGACTCAGATTTTTCAACAGACGCGTCTTCTTGTGCTTCTTCAGCAATTTCAAAATCAGTGTTTGGTGGAATGCTGTTTTCAGTAGTTTCTGAAATTATTTCTTGATCCTCATTGCTGTTAATTTTTTTGACAATTTTTGTGGTGCGTACAATAGTTGTCTTGATCACACCATCATTTATTGTGGGTTCATTTATTTCGTTATTTGAATTTGTTTGTGTTGAACTAGTGTCAGTAATCAGGGGCTCTGTTGTTTTTAAGTTGGATTGCGAATCAATAACTTGTGTGGATGTCTGTTGCAGCGGTACATGTTCTTTATTTGTGCTTCTTTCAATGAAAATGAAATCAGCTGTTGATGATTTGGCGTTATTTTCTTTGGTGGGGTGTGGTGGTTTCGAAGGCGATACCGGATTTAAAGTCTGTTCCGTCGTTGTTTTTGTTGTTATTTTGGACAATTCAGCCTTATGTCCAACATTCTCCACTTCTTTTTGTTCTTTACCACCAATTATTTTGTTAAGGAAATGTTTTGTTTTTGTTATTATGGATTTTGTTTTTACAACATCACTTGTCTCTGGTGTATCTTTCTCTTTCTCATTTTTATTCGGATTTTGAATAACAGAAGATATATTTTCGGGAGTGGCAGATATCGACAAATCAGTTTCTGATTTTAGTACTTCTTCCGTTATTTTGGGTTTATCCTTTTGATTTTTCATATGCTTTTTGTGTTTATTTGCTTTAACAGATTTTTTGCTCAAATCTTCTTTTATGGTTTCCTTTTGTGACTCTGGTTGAGCAAGTGTTTCAGTAGCGATTGTTGTTGTTTGCTCAGTCAATTCTACTTTCGATTTCTTTGATTGTGGTTCAATTTGTTCTTCAGATCTCTTGTGTCCTTGCATAGTTGCACTTTTCACAAAGTCTGGTTTGTGTTCTATATGATCACTATCAAATACTGTAGGTATTTGTTTCTTTTCCTTTCGTTGCTTCTTTTCAAATTGTTCGTGAGGTATTAGCTGCGTTTGAAGCGAATTTTTGTCTTTTGGTTGCGCCAGCTGAGATAAGTCCAATGTTTCTACAAAAGTTGTTTTCTTTACTTCTTTTGTAGTCTCTCCTAAAACAATGGGCTGACTCGATGGGACATCCTTTTTCACTTTTTTAATGTCTTTGTTAACTTTTTTGTCTTTTTTATGGCTTGTGGCTTCATATTCTACAGGCTTGTGAATTTGTGGTTCAGGATCATATCGATGAGTTTGCTGTAAATGTTGTTGATGATGACTTTTATCTGATTTCTGACGAACATATGGCTGATCCACTGGAGTAGCTAGCTCACGATTAATTGGTTTCTGTTTTCTATTCTTGGTAATTGTTGTTGTAAAAGTAGTCCTAGATGTTGATGCTGTGGTCGAAGTCGAGGTCGGCGTCGGCGTCGTATCAGAGATGGGATTTGTCGTTGTCGTTGGTTGTTTATTTGTCGTTGTATTTTTAGCTGACACGCTTTGTTGCTGTTGCTGTTGCTGTTGCTGCTGATTTCTAACATTATTAGGGAACAAAGAAGTTGTTTTTACATAATTTGGTTCACTTTGACGTATTGGCTGACTGGATGGCTGGAAAGTGTTTCTATTATTCAAACCAAACAAAACCTCGGCGTATGTTGAACCAGGTGTTGTAGTTATATTTGTCAAATTACTTGAACTTGTTTCATAGCTAGTATGTGTCAGTAAATCCGATGTTTGCGGTACTTGAGGTGTTTGTAGTATTTGATGTTCTTGCTCCATTGGAACATGTTCATCTTGTCTTTGTCGTTGATCTAAAATTTCACTGAGCGTATTGGAAGGTAGTTCAATATGTTGTTGATTGTTTATATATTCTTCAATTGGTATAGATTCGATTTCGTTACTTTCAAATTGTCCAAATGTAATGTCGGGACGAACTTCGTCTACATCCATTAATTGAGCTTCGTAAGCATTTGGCGTTTGGATAGGATTGTCATGATGTTGTGTGTAATTTTGAATTAGGGGCATTGTATTTGTTTGTGTCGTTTGTTGAACTAAAGATGCTAAAGTAGTTACAACTTGATCCAAAACACTTGGTCTTGTTGGTTGTATTTGTTCATCAAATTGTTTGTTATAGTCAAGTAAATATTGAGGTTGTGGATGCGCTTGTTGCATGTGTTGCTGAGTGTGTTGCTGCTGCTGATGGTCGATCGTCTCGTAAACAGGTTCCAATTCTTGGAACTGTTGATAAACTTGAGGTTGTGTCATATACATTTGGTTTTGCTCAGCAGTATATATTTGCGAAAAAGTTGAATCCGGTTGCTGGGTTTGATAATAGCCGGATGGTAGTAATTGATATTGACTTGATGTAGGGGCTTGGTATGGATAACTTCCATATGCTGCAAGAGACGACGTTCCTTGTGGGTACTGCATTTGTATAACTTGTTCGTAATAATTTTGATTTGGCTGAGTTTGTTGTTCTTCCATAGGCAACGGTTGTGTTTGATCTGTGGCATAGCCCCACTGTTCATTCTTGGCAACATTCTCATACATGCTTTGATAGAGCACTGGATCAGGTTGCAGGTATGTCGCTTGTATTTGTTCAGCTGTCATAGGTGTATCTTCGTAAGAACTTTTGAAAGTTGTTGTTGTGATTAATTGAGTTTGTTTCTGTTCTTGCTGCGACATTGTTGGCAATTGCACTTGCACTTGCTGTTGTTGTTGTCCTTGTGGTACTTGTTGTTCATTTTGTATGAACATTTGTGATGTCAGACCAGTATCGCTTATGGGCAAGTTCTGTATTATTTGATTTTGTTGTTGTACTTCTAATGGTGGTTGTGAATATGTTTGAGTCATTAGTGGAGCAGAATTATTTATTTCCGGTAAAACTACGCCTACATTACTATCTTGCAACAGCGCCTGCGCCATTGTCACATGTGGCATTTGAGTGTTTTGTGAACTTTGTTCTATTTGGGTTTGTGTTGCTTGTTTGCCACTCGAATAACTTTGTTTCTGATTCGCCCGTATTCGCTCTAATTCTAATCCCCGCAAGACTTCAGCATATGAAGTGGAGCCTGGTACCCAAATTGGACTTCTGGAACGAACTCGTTCCTCAGCAGGTAAATGCAAATATGTTTTTGCTTCTGCTTTTGGTTGATTAACAATTGATGTTGTTGTACTCGTCGACATTGTTGACGTATGGATATTATCTTGCGGCGGAGGTTGACGTCGTAGCGCACGTCCTCTGCGTGGAGGTGCATTTGGTGGTCGCATTTGTTTATGAAAGTGTTTTTGTCCTCTTTCATTATCGATGAACTTATCAATAGTTTGATAGGCTTTATTAGGAACTTCAATTGATCGCTGAGTTTCAGAAGGGAGTTCAATGTTGCTAAACACTTGATGCTGTTGATCTAATTCGCTTGTTTGTGGATGTTTAAACATATCATCAGCACTTGAATCAGTATATGAAGGCGTTTGATGCGAAATTACTGATGTCGAAGTTATTATTGCTGTTGAAATAATTTCTTCTTGTTTTGCCTCCACTGGATTTTTAGGTACTTCATGTTCACTTTCAGTTTTTTGAATATTGAAATCCTCATCGGAATAATGATCTAGACTAACAATTTCATGTTTCTCTTCCCGCGGCGAGGGTGAAAATGAGGGCTGCGTTCGAGTTGTAGGTAAAACGTCTTGGCTATATTCATAAATATACTGTTGAGGTTCAAACTCTTGGTTTTTCACGGTAGGACCTTCAATGTTTATATATTGTGTAGTTGTGGTTGTTGTTGTTGTTGTTACATTATTATCCGTTAAACTAACTGGACTTGAATGTCCCGACAGGACCTCAGCATACGTTAGGCCTATTTTTGACGGCTTCAAGAGTATTGAAACAGAAGACGAGGTCGTCACAACTGAATGTGGGTCCAGTTTATATGATAAAGCTGCAATTCCATCAAAGCTGTGTTGCGTATTTTCAATTGATGAACGTAGAGCCTAGCATTGTTGAAAACGGGAAATTTGCCAAAAACGTTAGGTTTATTGCGCAAAAATTTTACATGTATAATTGAATTTCAAATACTATAAATAACTAATAAGCGAAATCCAACTCCTAACCCAAAAATCCTAATCTCATTCATTCCTACAATCCTACAAATCTAAAAATCCTAATAAGTTTTTTGTTTTATTCAAAAAAAGAAAAACTTTATAAACATTTAATGTTGTTTTTTTTTATTGTTTTATTTTGCGCTTTGATTAAATAACTACATTGATAAATTACTCTGAACTTACACTGAGAAAAATTCAAATTTTCTTAAGTGGGCAATAAATTTTTTATACTGATTTCAAATTGGAACAAAATTTAAATCAAGCAATTTTTCAATTTTTCAATTTTTCAATTTTTCAATTTTTCAATTTACAAATTATTACTTTTAAACTTTTAATTTCGATTTAAAATTCACAAAATTTAATTTTGATTTTCGAACTTCAATCTTCGAATTCAACTTTTAGAATAATAATTTTGACATAAAAATTTACATTCGTAGATTTCATTATCTAATTTTTAGTTACGAATTTTTAGATTTTTGATTTCAAAATATGATTCTCGAATTTTGATTCTATAAGTTCAAATATTGATTTTCAAATTTAAAGATTTCAATTTTCGAATTTTAATTTTAATTATTTTTTTTTTTTTTTTAAATGAATATTTTAATTTATTGCCTACTTTATAATGAAAATGGGGTCATAAGGAGTGTGGGCGATAGCTGCACTTTTTATTTATATCGTCAGTATCAATTGTGGTTATGGTGAAGTTTCTTTGGTTTCATTTTCATAAACTATATTAAACTGATTTATATTGAACAAAATACAAAGAAGAATCGAATTCAATTAAATAAAATTATTTTAATTTAATACGTGTAAGCAAAATGAATTAAAACAAGAATAGGCAAATTTAACTTAATTAATTAATTATTAAAATTTAAAGTAACTACTAAAAATTATTATAGACGGATGCGCTGTGGACTCTCTCAAGGATCAGACTAAGTCTCTAATATTGCATCGTCTGGTGTGCCGCGATGGATTAAGAGTTTTATGCGTTCGTTCCGTGCTGTTATTTTGGAATAGAGATTCTTAACGCGTTCCCGACACGCCTACATAATGTAAAAATAACCCGAAATTCATGCAAAATGATATATAGATACATATATCGATTTTTATGCGTTTTGATGTGTTTTTATATATATATACATAAATAGGTTGAGACGAGAAAAGCCCATTTACCAGATGTACAAAAAGTAGAAGAAGGCATTTCGATAATCGAGTGCATGTTTATAGAAATGTGTGAGTGGAGTAAGTGGAGTGAGTGAGTTCGATGAGTAACATAATTCATTACATAGTAATTATATGCAGAGTAAACAAAAGAATAAATATATATTTCAAGCGTTAGTGCAAAAGCATGTCAAAGCAATTCCGTATTTGAGTTAAATAACAGAGTTCGGTGTTGTAATTGAGTGAGTGAGTAGCGTGAGTGAATTAATGTATGAGTTAGTGAGTAAATAGTTGAGTGCGTGAACATGTATGAGCGAGTGAGTTTTGAAGTTAATGAGCATTGTTTTTATATACCATTACCGCATTTTTATTTTTTAACAGTTTTTACCAAGATATTCAAAGGAGCAACAACACCAGTTTTTGTTTTCAGGTTCATATATAGTGTTTTAATAACAATATATATATTGTAAATAGTTACAAATGAAAATGTAAAAGAAAGAAAAAAATACAATTGTTAAGTATATGTTAAAATCATACAAATCCCGTTAAAAATAAACTAATTTAGAATAAAGACAACCAAAATGTTAAATTAAAAAATGAAAACAATATGAAATTAATTATTTGCTTATTGTTGAGCAATGACAGAAAGACTTCTGCTAAAAAATACATATAAATATAGCTAATTTCCATATAAACTTATATTATGAGAATATAATTAATAAAACAATATATTATTAAAAAGAAAATATAATGAAATTTTTAGTATTCTTATCCAACGCTTAATTATGCGATAATTCGCAACGTAATGTGGTTGTGCGTAGCGAATTTATTGCTACTTCGCGTATAATTAATGACGCTCAGACTGTAATAAAATTTGAGTGAAACAAAATTCCACTCAAAATTAAAAAGTTAAAAAAAAAATAATACAATTAGAAATGCACAACAAAAATAATTATTCAAAATGTTGAACTTTATGCGCTGTCGCATCCGGTGAAATATGTCGCACCCGAGTGCGGAAAATCGGACAATTAGGCGTTGGACATGAATTGTTGTACGTATGAATAGTGCATGTTCTGAAAAACTGATTTTGGGTGTTTCGGGTATTTTGGGTGATATTAAAGCTATTTTCAGATTATAGCCTTGCGACAAAACAATGATAGTGAAAGTGCCTCTAACGACTTACATATACTATTTTATTTGGAAATATCAATAGACTGCCATTTCACAACAAGAACATATATGTTCTATAGAACCGAACACTGCACCAAAGCGCAATTTACAAACAAAACAAAAACATTACAAAAAAATCATTAATATTAAATATATGTGCAGTTGCTAGAGACACCAAATAAAACAATATATGTATATACACCGATATTAAAAGGTTGTACTAGAAAATAAAATTAAAATATATATACATATATATCCCTTGCAATTTTTTCATGTTTTAGGAATTGTTTTCATGGAAAGATTAAATAAATAAACCATGAAACAAATGAGTGCTCTTCAAAATAGTTTCAAGATTATAAGGTGAGTATGTTGTTTAATGGGTCTTGTTTTTGTGTTGAAAATAAAAAAAAATTAAATAAATGTTAAAAATTTTCTACAAATGGATATGATTTCTGACTGTAGTAGTCACCATTAAAATTCGTTGTGGACATTTTATTCTTTGTACTACACTCGCGATATATTTAATTTGAAACAAGAATCTAAAACTATTTAATATTTATTTAAAGACTTACCGTGTTTATTTAAATTTTAATAAAGTATTTAAATTAAATTTTTTTTAATTAAAAAAACTTATTTCTAATCATGAGAAAAAATTAAAGTTAAGAGTAATACGAAATATACAATATTAACAATTAATCATCAGCACACGCATTAACGTGAAACGTAGACGACAGTATCGTCTGTACGTTCCTAAGCGTAAAAAATAGTGCTTTGTCTATAAATTTGTTGTCTCTGTTGGCCACGAGACAGAAAATTCAGAACATTCAAAAAATATCTAAAAATAACTCTCAAGTGATCTGCGATCGTTCCGTCATAAATCTTTACTAAGCAAATGAGTTTAGAAAATTCAATTTCCAACTAAAAACGTGTTTCTTTAAACGTAAATTCAATTTTTTTTTTTTTATATATATATATATATAAAATTTGTACTTTGAATAAATTATGTTCCAGGTAACTACTCTACTATATTTTTGACCTCCAAGACTACCAAACAAGAATTTTGCACATAATGAGGCGCACTCGTATTAGAAATTTTGCAAACCCAAAATTTATGGATAACATATGAATTGATGCTGCACGGCGAAACTTTTATGATTCTCATACACTTTAAATGCAAAATGCAATAGATAAAATGAGTAAACAAAAAAAATGGTATTGCCATAGATGGTATGAACATTTTCAGCATTATGAAGTTAAATGATAAGATAGATACAACTTTGCCAATAGGAAGCGAATACAAAGAAAACAAAAAAAAATTTAAAAAACGAATATAAACAGAAAATATAATTTTTTAATTAAAAATAATAATAAAACCAAAGAAAGTAAAATAATGTTTATATAAAAAATAAAGAAAAGATCTAAAGTTTTTATTGCAATTTCGATTTTGCAGCCACCGTGCAACGTTTTTGCTTATTGGAAAAACCTCAGAATATCTGAAAGTTTAATTACGATTTTTATTGTCCTTAATACTGTTTTAAGTTGTTATTCAGTTGTTAGTTAATATGTAATTAAAAACAAGATAAAAAATATTCATAAGTATATATATATAGAAGTAGATAACTTTTATTGTGCTAATGCAAAACATTTTAAAATGTTGTGTTGTATGATATATGTTGCAATGTTGCAATGTTGCAATGTTTCAATGACTAACAAACACAACTCCCTATCACAACTTCTTATATCACATATATAAGGGAAAGTCTTTTATGACAGTAAACCTATAACTAAAATATACATGATAATCCTATACTAATCCAATTTACGATACCTAACCAATATTTTTGTATACTGCATATATTTAAAAACAAAACTATATACATACCTGTTGCTCTGCTAATGCTCGCTCACGATCGTGAGGCAAATATGTGGGAGCCATAACGAGTCTCAATTGTTGTTCTTCTTGTAAGATTTTTTGACGTAAATTTTGCATTTGCTGTTGATAGACATCGATTTGTCCTAAAGTCTCTTCGAGACTTGATGTTTTCGATTTAACGAAATCACCAAGCTCGTCCATTATCTTCAAAAGCTCATCGACATTTTCACTAAGGCGTGGATCACCACCCATGCCGTTACGGAAATGTACCTAAAAAAGAAAAAATAAAAGAACAAAAAGAAAAAAAAAAAGAAGAAAGGAAAAAAAAAAGAAGAAGAAAGGAAAAAAAAAGAAGAAGAAAGAAAAAAAGAAAAAAAAGAAAAAAACAAGAAAAATTTTAACATTTTGATTCAAAGTAAAATTCTGTTTCTACTTTTTTTTTGTTTTGCCCTATGTATATGATATTTACCTCCAGCTTCTCTATTGATAATCTAAGTTTTGTTTTTTGCACGTTGATATCAGCCATTGTTTTTTCACAAAAGCCTAATTGATCACGTAATGGTTTCTTTTTGTGTTGTGGGGAGTCTATTGACTGCTTAGTCTTTTCAATCCAACTTCGTATATCTTTAATTTTGCGTTCGCATTGATCCCATTCTTCGCAGGCTTCTTCCAGTAATGAATTCTATATTTGAAAAAAAAAAAAGAAAAAAGTTACGTTACTTAAGATCTTTTCAATTGAAATGACTTGAATGACTTGAACTTTAAGAAAGTGTAAACAACCAATAACTCTGAACTGTTTCAGTTATTAGTTAAGTTGTTCACGGTTTATTGAAAAAATTGTACATAATAGACCATCAAGTTACGTTGCATAATATAATAATAGTGTATGGGTTCAGGGTCTACGTTCCGGAACTACTCGTCGAATTCGACGACCAAATACCTTGAACATTCCCAAAAGGGACTAAACAAGCAGTTTCTTGCAGACTAAAATAACAACAACGTAAAAATATTTCTATTATAATACTTACTCTTTCTAAAAGTATTGTTTCAACACTAATCTTTGCATCTTCAGCTTCTTGTAATTTTTCTTTGAGATCGCCAGCAGTTGTTACTTGTCCAATGTGTTCCAGTTCCTTATCCATTTCATTTAAGTGTTTCGCTATGGGTTTAATACTTTTTACGACTGTAACGTACTCATTTAGTTTTGTGCGTGCTTCAGTCAGTGTTCGCAATTCAATTGTCTGTTCAAGGAATATACGTTTTTCTGCTACCCATGTCATTACGATTTGATATAGATTCATAAAACGTGTCCAGGCATCCAAACTATCACCAACTTGCTGTTTCTTTTCATCTAACCAAGCACGTACCTGTCCCAACTGTTGCGTCAACTGTTCAATTGTCGTCTGTACTAGCATTTTCTCCTCATTATTGCGACAATTTTCCATGATTATTTGTCCGTTCGATTTGACTAACGTAAATCGTTCATATATACCAGTAATTTCCTGATTGATGCGATGCAAAAGTTCCTTCATTAATGTGGGTGCGAGAGTTCGATCTTGCACTTGCATCTCAGCTTGCATAAGCCATTTTTGTATCTCATCAACGCCAGTTAGATATTCTGTACGTACAGTCTTGGCACGTTTATAGTCCTTCTGTTTAGTCTCCATTGCTCCTTGTACACGTTCTGATAATAGTTCCAAAGCCGTAAACTCTTGTGTTATATCGCTTGGTATTAGATCCTGTTGTTTTAAGTACTTTTCCTTTGTAGAAGTAATTAAATTTGTGCTCTCCTCAACCGTTTTTCTTACTTCGTTCTGTGTATCGTTTAATGTTTGCTCAATTTTTTTAGTATTCTCATCAAAAACATGTATATCTAAAATTTTCTCCAACAAAACATTGAACTTATCCTGCAGTTCAGATATGCTTCGGAAAACTTGCTGAATTTCTTCGAGATCCTTAGTAACTTGACGATCCTTGTCACGCAATATGTCGTTTAATCTATCAAAAAACAAAAAAAACAAAATTTTATTAAGTGTCTGCACTGAAAAAAATTAACACAAATTAAATAAAATTCAAATATTTTGGTTATGTTTATTAAAATGACACGAGGCCAAAAGTTTGTTTAGATTTTATATATATTATAATATATATTTATATAAACATATATATATAAATATATATATGTATTGCGATTTTGTATAATTTTTTTTTCTTTAATTTTGATTTTTAAATGCGAAAGATCTTTAAAATGCTTTTAAATCTTTTAGTTTCTTTTTTTGGGTGCGCAAAATAAAATTTTCAGTTTTATAAAAACGATTTTATTTTTAATGTTCTGCGCTGTGCTTTTCTTTTTCTGCTCAAAACATTAATATTTCCGTGGTGGATTATGTGCGGCCTGTTAACTACAAGAAAATTCTCAGAATGAATTAAAGAGCGGAAATACGGTAAGGCATTTTCAAAAATTTTCATGCATAGACTTATTATTAAAAGTCTAAGAGGCTTCAGTATACATTATCTTTGAACATTTCACTCAACATTCTCTTCTAGGAGGCTGAAAATCTATGTTCAAGTACAAATAATATATCTTACAAAATTCCGGCACACAATTTTTATACTACAGACATTTTTCAAGGCTAATGGGGAGAGGAACAGGAAGAGAGAACAGTATGGAACAAAAAGTTTTTCTGTACATTTCAAGTGTATGAAATGAGCTCCGATGAAACATTTTCGATGTGACTAAGAAACAACATATGCTGTGTTCTTCTGTGTGTATAGATGGTGGCGAAAGAGAGAAATTTGGGAAAGCGCTGAAAGGTGAGGGATTTACAAATTCGATCAATTGTGTGCTGCATTAAAAAATTTATATTTTCATTTACGAAGGGCAATGTATATGCGCGCAATTTAATTTCTCAAAAGTGTTCTAAACTATTTTTGAATTTTTTCGAAAACAGCTTTAAAAGCTCCTCAATACTTTACTGCTACTATAGCTAATGCTATACTATTTGGAACGCTTCCAAATGTACTAACGAAACAGCACATTTTTAATAAAACATCCATTAATGCGTCGCAATTTTAAACAATATTTTAAGACCAACAGATCAGATCTTTCAAACGACTTCCATCATAAATCATATGGCATTAAATATTTTTTCAAGGCTCTACTGAAAAGTAAATGATCTTACTATTTGTCAGAATAGTAAGGTAGGAATTTCAACTAATGTTGTTGTTGAATCCCGCATAGGTCTTGGTGATAGGATAGGTCTTGGTGATGTAAGAAGGGAAAGCATTATTTATGGATTGAGGGATAAATTTATTTCAATTAATAGACAACATTAGTAATAAAACAAATTCCATTAAATTCTGAGAAGAATAAAAATGCTAAGTAAATTGAGATTAGTGTAATAATACTTAAATCTCATAAATTTTTTTCTATTTGTATAACAGAAAGAATTTTTTTTTTTTTTTTTTTTATACTGACAGACACCCACAAAAGAATTCTAAAGTATTTTTATTCCCATTTCTTTTTTTAACAAATTTTTAAAAGTGTACGTATTTTACGTATCACTCAGCAATTAAAAACAAAAGCAGAAACAAAAACAAAAACAAAAACAACAGTAAAGAATAGAATTTAGCAAGCATGCGGAAAATCTTACTACTTCTTTTGCTGTTTGCACTCTTCACCTGTTGCTTCAATTGCCGCGTGAGTAAATGAGTAGTAAACCCAAGCACTGAAAAACCGCAATGGAAGCAAAGCAAAGTTTGATCAATTTTTTTTTTTGCTATTGTTTTTAGTTAATGTAATACCGTTGGCATTTGTTGACTCAAATTGGGTCAACAATTAAATTTGATAATGAATTGCAAATGCAGTGTAAATAAAAGAAGCACATAAAGTAAATCAAGCAGAAGAAAAGCACACAGTTTCCCATATTAATAAAAACTCTAAAAATAGCACCCTGCAATTGAGAGATGATAACCAAATGCAGTCATAGTCATGCTGGTGAACAGGACGGCAGGAGGGTAGGAGGGCAAACAACCAAACGGATATATATATGTGGCGAAATTATCTTGGACTCAGTAAAAAATATGGAAACTGAAATTTACTCTACATTACACTCTCTCTATTTCTCTCTATCTCTCTGTCCTATATGAATCCTGTTCAACAGAATCTGTTTTATACGCTGTAAATTGCTATTTACATGTGCTTAGTAACGACCACCGCTCTCCTCACTCCGTCCCCCCAACAAACAACCAACAAAAAGTTTGTTCGATTTGTGACTAATTTTTAAAAATTTTGCTAATATTTTTAGCGCTCACGTAACAGTTTTACTTGTATTAATTTTTTTTTATGATTTGTTTCAATTTTATTTGCTTCTTGTTATTTTGCATTAGCTTTTTATAGTTTCCTACGTCATCGCTGCTAAGTCAAAGTTGTAGCCGCCGCGTAGACCGGCCGAGTGAAGTGGCCTCTGTTCAAAGACCTCGAAATGACTTAGCTCTGTTGCTGATTTGAAGCGGCTTGAACTTAGCATAATTTACAAGTTTAAAGCGGGTTTGTTATGTATTTATTATTGTTGTATTTTTATACTTTTATTATTATGTATATATGTTTATTTTATTTTGCTAAATTATAATCTGTATAGTATATGTATAACGCGGAATTATTCATGACTATGACTTAATCAATTTGCAAATAATTAATTTCAATTTTAAATTCAATTTTAATTTCAATTTTTTGTCTTTCATTTTTAGTTGCACTCTCTAATATGATTTTTTTTCATTTTTTTTTAGTTCATGGAGCATGTATTAATTCAATCAATCAATTTAACTAAGCAACCAACCAACCTCTTTCTTTGACGACAATGACAATGGCTTCCTTTACGCTTAGTTCACGAGCACAAATTGACTTTTTTAAATCTCTAATATCCAAATCAGTCTTTTAAAGAAAATTTTTATCCACTAAAAACCTAAAAACACTACGATCCGACCTCCCCGTGTTGCGGCGTTATATGGAGCAAGAGGAAGGGAGGTTGGTGTGTGTATTGAGTTTGCAATTATTTACAAGCTCCTTCTCTTTTTTTGTTCTTATTATTGTTTTGTTACTGTTGTTGCTTGCTATGTTTGTTATTCTTATTCTTATCCTTTCCTTTATCCTTTTTAGTTTATTTTGATATTCTATTTGAAGTCCACTTCTTTTTAGTATCAAAGTGAGTCAAATTCAAAATTTGTTGCTCATACGCCCGTTGCACAGCTCGGCCCGTAACAACGTTTTCAATTATCTGAAAATTTAATAATTACTTCAAAATATTTCAAATAAAAATTATTTGCATTCGATTTGAAAAAGAGCAAGTTTCTTCCTTGAATCGAAAAATAATTTATATTCAAATTTACCACCGGTTAGATAATTTGTCTTTTATTTTTATTATTTGAAATTCCTAGAAAATTTATGGTAGTATTCTCTTTTATTAAAAAATCCCCTTTTATTGCTTCTGCTTCTGCTTCTGCGTCTACTGCTGCTTTTTCTTCTTCTTATAATTTCGTATTTTTCATTAACTTTATTCCTATGCATATAACTTTTTTGTTTAATTTCCAGCCATCCAGTTAATCACATCCATCCACTTCTAAGTCTTAATTAAAACTGAAAATTTTGTACGTTCGGCACCGTTAAACAACCGCAACAGCATTGGCAGCGCAGCAACCGCTACAACAAAAGCGAACAAAAGTTCTTGTAGACGAAAACAGAGCAGCGGAGCAAGAGTTGATGATCGCAAAATATTTCGTATGAGTTAACAAAATGTCTTGAACACAGAACACATTTTAACATTTTTATTTTAATTATTTAAAATTTTTGTTCTTATTTTTATTTTTATTTTTATTTTTATTTTTATTTTGATTTCTCGCTTATGAAAAGAACAAACTTTTAGTTTTGTATTTGCTCATATGCTAGTTAGCTACGAAACACATGTATGTAGTTAGTTTATAACTGTGTACATATATATGTTATATATATGTGTTGTGTGTGTGTGTGTGTGTGTGTGTGTGTGTGTGTGTGTGCTGTGAAAGCTCTTTTTCTTGTGTGAGTACTCTCCCACTTCCCACAGAATTCTCTTTCTTATCAATTATAACCCAAAAATACAATCAAACGCACAAAAATGCTAATAATAAAATAAAAAACGTAAACAAAACAGCGAAAACAATAACAAAACCTTAACGAACGATTACATATGATGTCAGCATGAGATTTTTTGTGTGAAAAAGCAAAATTCCTGAATTAACAAAACCAGAAAAAAAAATCATTTCAAAATAAACGAAAAAAAAAATCATTGAAAAGCGTGCCGTTTAATTTCTATAATTTACTTTAAGAAGTTTATTTATCAGTAATATTACTTAACGAATCAAAAGTAAAGAGAAAAACAGCAAATACAAACGAGAGTCGTACACGCATTGGAAAAGATCATTTCAGAGAAGCAGAAGAATGCATGTATAGTATGCATGTTTAGCGCTAGAACACCATGTGCTTTACTAAGAGTTTTCTTTCCATATAATATATTTATATGTATATAATATTTCAATTTTTACTACGTACATATTAAAATAATTGTGTTATTATTATTATAACAATTACAATTTTTCTATTTTATGTATTAGTAGATTGTGTTGATTATACCAGTGGTATTCACGATCTTGTGTAATAAGCTCAGTAACCAAATTACATTATAACAGTGCAAAGTGAAGTACTTTATTATTGCCGCTTTCTACTCTGTTACTCAGTTACTCGCTGATTGAGAGCGTGAAAATCCCTACTTTAACTTTCACCAGTCTGATACCCATTAGTATTGATTGTTTTACTATTATTTTTATTTTTACCATTATTTTTATTTTTATTATTATTATTATTTTTACTATTATTTTTATTTCTACTATTATTATTTTTACTAATATTTTAATTTTTACTATTATTATTATTTTTACTATTATTACTATTTTTCTATTATTACTAT